CAATAAAATTGCAGAAATAAGGGTTCTTTGTAAGCAAACTTAAGTTTGTAGCCCTAACCGTCGCAAGTGTTTGTAGTCGGTATGCTCAACTGTGACATGCCTCGTCTGACATATTTCTGTAAATAGAACTTATATGTAATACGATTTTATTGAATGCTGAGATTATTCCGTGCTGTATTGAACAGCCAGCGCGTAGCCTCTCTGTGTAGCTTCTCCTACGTCACAGCGACGTAATCAGTCGTGGCCTCGCTTTTCCCCTTTCTTTCTCTCTCTGTCGTCCATTTGCAACTGCCCCCTGGGTCGCTGTTGCCGTCCCATGAGTTCACATTAAGACCTCTTTCACTCACACAGAAATAGCACCGACCCCGTCACGCCATTTTTTTTTTTCCTTACCTCTCTCTTCGTTAGTTGCTGTTTGCTCTGCCGCACTACTCGTAAGCGAAGCCGAAAAATGCCCTTTGCAGGCGGCTGGATTGTGGGTTTGAGTCGTCATGGTGGAGGAAGTTGCTGTTCTTGGTTCGATGACTAATCGAGAAAGAAAGAAAAAAAAGAAAGAAAGAAAGAGAGGAAAAAGAAAGAAAGAAAGAGAGGAAAAAGAAAGAAAAAAAGAAAGAAAGAGAGGAAAAAGAAAGAAAGAAGGAAAGAAAAAAAGAAAGAAAGAAAGAAAGAGAGGAAAAAGAAAGAAAGAGAGGAAAAAGAAAGAAAGAAAGAAAGAAAGAAAGAAAGAAAGAAAGAAAGAAAGAAAGAAAGAAAGAAAGAAAGAAAGAAAGAAAGAAAGCGCTGCTCGACCCACGTCATTGGTAAAATCTGAGAGAGCGCTAACTCGCAGGGCTTGCCCTATTCACGGCAACGTGTCGCGCGTAGGCGCCGCCGGCCGAGCAAAGAAAAGGCGTCCAATGAAGCACATGTGCGTGTGATTCGAGTTTGGCAATCGCTTCTTGTTAGCGGAGCCTGTAACGGAAGGCCTTGAATGGAGGACATGCTCAGCACTGCGGCGCTGTTTTCCCGGAAAGCGGTAGCTCTTCATTTCCTTGCTCGCGACGTTCGTTAGGCCCGATGCAGAACTATATAGCGCTGTGATAAATTATGGAGTTGGTAGAACGCTTGGCATTTCGCGGGGGTCCTTTACAGTTCTTGTTTAATAGCGGGAGCACGCAGTATGCGAGACGTTGCGAACGTCTTGGCGTTTTGATTTTTTTTTCATCGCGTTGGAGACCTTCGGCTTAATCAAATGAGCTTGCTGGAAATTCGTGAGCTGCAAGACGTTTTATGAAAGGGGCGGTTTTCCTTTTCTGAAATGAAACAAGAAACGAAATGAACTGGAGCTTTAGAGATTTTTCTTTCACGTTTTATGTCGGCTTGTGAAGCGTGGTGCTTTTATGTCGTATCTGTTTTGTTTATAGTGAGACACCTCCGTTTGGTCGGAACTCTTGTTTTTTTTTTTTTTTTTTTTTTTGTAACGGGCTTAGCGTCAACTTCGTAGACGAGTGGTCTTCTGCACTAGTTTGTTATTAACCCATTTTCGACTACGATTACGGGGATGCAGCTTGCAGTCTCTCTCAGCACATCCCGTTTCTGATAATTGATGATTTAAGCGTTGCGTTTATGCAATACGTCTTATACCGCGGGCTTTTTCATCCTACTTGTTTCGGATATACTATCCAAACTTGGGCGAAAGTAGTTTTTGTTGTTTCATTTTGTCATAGAACATCATTGTATACTTCCACTTCATATTTTTTTCTCTCTGTCTGTCTCTCTTCCCTTGCTCATTTTGTCTGCAGCTCTTCATTGCTGCAGTCGTTCGTTGTGTGCGTGCAAATAGATGGCTTGCGTTTCGCAAACACCGACAACGAAAGCATATATACTCGTTTGTTCTACTGGTGTTTTTTTTTTTCGAGCAGAGTTTCGCGAGTTTGTCGAAACAGTCGAGCGAGGATTATGGCGGTACTGTGTAGGAGCCAATGACGTATCCAAAGAGGGGCGGTAAGGGCGATTGCTCCCTCCCCCTCACTTCAGTTCCTGCAGTCCACCTCCTATATCACCGATTAGGACAAATGAGTGAAACAACTGCGAACACACATTCACACTACTTATGCGATGAAGGGGGCTTTTGCTAGTAAAAGCGAAAAGGCCTGGCCATGCCACCCTTTCCAGTGTTACCCCCCCCCCTCATCCCGCCCCCTAAAATGAGTGGCTGCATCCGTCCCTGGTGAGAGCTCTCGTTGCAAAAGTCCACACACGGCTGTGCATGGCCCACTCGCTCCTATTTATAGGCCTCGTACATGGCTTTGCCTTCGTGGGCTTTATCTATGGTTTTGACGCTAACGAATAGAGAATCTAGGCGGCGCGCGCAGCTCGGCTTGCTGCGTGGAGCTGCTCTCTTCCGCTGATCTATAGTGGCCGCCCAATACCCGGTCGCGACGACTCCATTCGTTTTTGGGTCTGCGCGAAATGCGAGACCTCCCGTAGCTGTACATTCGGCGCCCGTTCGAAAGTGGCTCAGGTGTTCGCTGCTATTTGCATGCGCGCCACGCAAAACGACTCGGGCGCGCAACGCTGCAGCAGAGCGCGACGTGCCGTAGCCCCCGCCGTATATTATTCCGCGCGCATGCCTTCAGCCGTGCTCCCAGGTGCAAGGAGGTCATTATTCTAACGTTAAGGCATAAGAAAAAGAACCTAACGCCTCTCTCCTCCTTTTTTTTTTTTTCACTTATCACGCTACTCAACTGCAGTGGCAAATGTTTGAGAAACTGGCGTCCGATGAGTTTCTCAAAGATGCATCAAGCAAATAAGTGTAAATTTAAGAGTTCCTTTTCTTTTGTTAGACGCAGCATAAATGAGACACAAATTATTGAGTCTGTTAGTGTTCATTAATATTGGGTCTGTCAAAGATGCATCGCGATTCGGGTTATTATAGGCTGTGTGATCGATCGATCACGTGACGTTGTTATTGTTGGTGAAGTAAAATGATCACGCAAACGCACGTGCCTCAACTTCGGTGCAACTGTAGCCCATCTCGAACATTACAGTGTTTTCCTGAAATTTGTTCTCAACGAAAAACGCGTTGTGGCGGTCCCAGGTGGACCTGGCGTTATAGGTTGCGTCGCGTGTATCTCAAATGACGCGAGGATGCGTGAATCTACGTTGTCGAGGAGTGTGTCAAGCTTGTTGAAACTCGAATAACCATAACTAGTGTGCGGAAAAACGTCCCAACTCAAACTAGGTCGCACAAGGTCACAACGGACAAAGCATCCTGTGCTTTATTTGGCTTCATATTGTCGCGTTTGTTGTGACGGCGAAGGAAGCTGCCGCAAAACTGGGAAGTGTGGAACTTTTATTCGGTAGAATGTGCCCGGAAATGAAAACTCAAAAGTGACGCGTAGTAGCAAGAACAGTCGTCGGGCGTCGTGTGATTTGATCATCGGGGGAACCCGTCGTCTCTCATACATCAGTGGTCTAGACTTCCAGCGTTATGGCAGCTGCTCGCGTAAGTTCTCGAATAGTCTTGACTGCTCGCGACCTGCGCGTAGTCTCTGAAGCATTGCGTTGTGGTCTGTGTCTGCCGTTGCTAACAGTTTTTGTGGGTTGAATACGTTAAAACGAAGCAATAAATGCTCGTGGCAATATGGTTCCGTCCAACGGAGTATATGGGATGTTATAGCACCGCTCTACAATTAAGCTTACGAGACAGTGGATTGCATAACAGCCATCGCCATATATTATATGCAAAGCTTAGTTATTATAGCACTGTATACACCTTGTGTGTAGGCGGCAGGGTCGGCTCTCACCGGTGGCATAATAGTTATCCGTTCTCCTACAACCTCTAACGCTAGGGTTTTGAAAGTGAGCTTCGCCGCTTTGCAAAACTGTTGTGTGGTGAAGCATATAAAAATGGAAAGGAGACGTCATGGTTATGGCGTACATGGAACATATGAAGGTCCAGTGGCGGATTTAGAGGGGAAGGGGCGATAGGAGGGGCGATCGCTCCCCCCCTTCCCCAAAGCCCGTAAGCATCCCCTCCCCCTTCCTTCAGTGCTTGCCATCCACCTGCAATTCACCAGTTATGACAAATGAGTGGGACCACAGAGAACACACATTAACAGTATTTGTGTCATTACAGGGTCTCTGTGCTAGTAAAAACAAAAAAAGGAATGACCACGCTCTCCTTTCTGGTGATAATTCAAGCGACCGCCCCCCCCCCTCCGCCCCCCCCCCTAAAATAAATGGCTGTATCCGCTTTAGTGAAGGTACGCTTTGCCTCAATGCATTTGTGCTGCGTAATGAAGCGTTGGGAGCAACGAGGTGGTATTTAATAAATGCACTGGCAGGAATTCGGTGTACAGAGCATGACTCCGTAGCGGACCCTGCTCTGCCATTAGAGAGTTTTAGTACTGCGTACGCTGCGTACGTGGCGGCGTTGCGTACGTAAGGACGCCACGTTCTGCGTAGTGCGCATGCGCAGACCGCAACGCGCACGTATCGCGTTACGTACGCAGCTGCTACGTACGCACGCATGAGATGCGTGCGTGCGTACGTATGAGGTGATCGCGCCGCTCTCGAACAAATTCGCGAAAGCGCAAGACTTCGTTTTGCAAAATGGCGGCATCGAAGGCAAGCACCGACCGGCTCTGTGGCTTAAAGTATGGCCATAATCTGGCTATAACACTTGGATTGGCTCACATTGGCTGTCAACAACACGTACTTCTACTTTGATATACCAGATGACGCAACACGCTTCACGCTCGTTACGTACGCGGGTACTACGGCGTACTAAAAGCCGATTAGTGGCAAACGACGCCACGTAACGCAAGGCGCTTGCGTGATGCGTACGTAGCACCGTTCCGCAGTACTAAAACTCTCTATTATCTCACACTTTTGTTTTGAATGTGCCGCTGCATTGCAACCGCGCGCCCTCTCGACGAATACGTCATTCTCGTTGCAGCCTTCCCGCGTGTACCGTGGTTGCAGTGCACTAACCTCGGTGTCTCGTTACCTTGCAGCCACGAAACGCGGACGTCATCGTGGTTGCCCCCGGTGGACTCGTGGAGCTCGGCATGTACGGGGCTGCCCTACGGCTGGGAGGCGGCCGTCGACAAGAGCGGCAGGACGTACTTCATCAAGTGAGTGCGCACACCGTGCGATGCGGCCCCCACTTCGGCCGTTGATTTCGCGGCGAGTTCTCTTAGCGTCGTCGCTGCAGAGTATACTGCACGGCGAGTCCGGTGCATGCCGAGTCTGTTCCCCTTGCGCGCACTTGTGCTTATCTAATGTTAACAGTGTGAAGAAAAAAGTTAAGATGCACTTCTTTTCTTGTAAGGAGCCTTAGTTGTATTATTTATTATAAATATTTCTTTTGTGTCGTTCGTGCTTTTGCATATTAGATGAAAATTGCTCAATTTCTTTTTTTTTTCAAATGTATTTCATATGGTGCCTAGTAATTATGTCAAAAATTTATTTTTGTTGTATTTTTATCTATATATTTTTTATATTGGTACTGCAAACTGGTGATGACTGTAATGTGTTATTTCAAAACGTATGTGTCGACATCTGTTATACTTGTTGAAATTGAATTTTGTGTCCCCTCATTCAAAAACAGAATGAAATTTGTATCCTTTGTTCCACTTCACCTGAGTAAATGTATGGGTGGAGGGACCTTAGTCAGGCAGAGGTAATATGCCTTTAGTCCCTTCAACCTAGGCAATCATTGTTTTTGTCTGAATAAACAGTGAATGAATGAATGAATGAATGAATGAATGAATGAATGAATGAATGAATGAATGAATGAATGAATGAATGAATGAATGAATGAATGAATGTTCCGCCTCGTCGGAGAAGTTTGCTTGGCCCATTGTCGACGCGTTATGTTGTGCAGAGGAGAATGATGCGCACGGTCGGTTGAGTGGTGCAGGAAAGAAGATAAATTGTCTTCTTGTCCCGGCGTGTCCGTTGTTTGTAATGTCTGAATGTAAATCAGTTAGCTCAACTTAGAACGGCTTAGAAGTTTTTCAACGTCACGTGTTACGCCAACTGAGCCGTTCAGTTTGGTGTTAACTGCTGATGTTCAAAGAATTTAGTTGATATTGAACTTATTCAATTAATGAAAGCTCTTTCTGAAAAAAAAAGAAGAACCTAGTACATTTCGGGCAGACATTGTTCGAGTTCAAGCAGTCCCAATCATCACGTCCTAGACAAGGGCTAGCTTGCTCTTACCTAGGAGGGAAGTGCTCTTCGAGCTCTATAAGTTTTCTAGTATCTCTAGAGGAAGTTGACTGCCCGTCTTAGTACTGCACTGCATCGATGCAGCAGAAAGATTAGCGTGTTCCTATTTTCCTTTACATGTGCGATGGCTTTCAGTAAGTTAGTTGGGTTTCCCTAATGACAAAACGGTCACAGTTCCCCACCTTTTGGGCCTTGTTATCAAGTAATATGCTGGGTCAAACTCTCTCGCCCCGACACAATTGGTGCGGCCCAGTCTTCGGCACCAAGCCGCAGGAGGTAAAGTGAGACGAACTGCGGGCAGTGCGCTGATTAACACGCAGAACGCCGCCGGTACGCCAATGTTCGACTTCATGGAGGAAACAGGGGTGGAAGTGGTGCGCCATTCTGCGCCAATCTGACCCGCTGCGCCAAGCTGCTCCTGAACGTCGATTTGCGTGTGCAACGCCAAATTTAGCCGAGTTTTATCGTCAAGCGAGCAACAGGCGTGAGCTGCACGAAAGGCGCAACCGCGTCGATATCGAGTTAGTTCGGTGACGTCGTATTTCGGTTCATGCATGAATCTTGTTAAGGTGGTGTTTCTGTGCATACCTCATTATGCGACTCTCTTAATGTTTTAACAGCAAAGCTGTTAGGCAAACCGTATAAACCGAGGAAAATGAAAATCAGCTTCACCGGTGAAGTGATGACTGCAATAGCGAAAATTTGTAATGGTAATTCCGCGCGCGCTTTCCATGTTTGCTACCGTACCATTACGCTTGTGATTTGGATGCACGTTAAAGAACCCAAGGTGGTCGAAATTTCCACAGATCCCTCCACTACGGCGTCTCTCATAATCATATGGTGGTTTTGGGACGTTAAACTCCACTACCATTACTCTAGTAACGCTGCCTTGCGCAATCCGCTCCCGAATGACTGGGAACAATCTAGATAATCTTAGCACCTTCCGAGGAGATTACGCGCACAACGCGTACATCAGCGTTTGTTCTGGAACTTAGGCAGCCGCTAGGGATAACGAGGCAATCTTCGATGGCACATGTATAAATGCCGACGCACGTTGCTGTTTGGCAGATTATCGACGGCCGACGCTCTGGTTTGCAGAGTGACGTTTTGTTTTCTGGGCACGGGTTCGCCCAAATAAGGTTCACTCATGAAAACAGCGGATGCTGCCTTCGTCAACCTCATGACCCCGTGCCAATCAAGGAGGATTAAAAACAATTGCTGGAGTGGAAATGACTGCTTAGAAGGCAAGATGGCGGCTGTGGTGGCCATCTTACTAGGGGCATGATAAATTATCACCGTTCAATGATAAATTATCACCGTTCAGCGAATAAAAACTAAGCGTTTGCCTCACACGCCCGAACAAGTTTAATGTGGGAACTTTTTCTGGCCACATGGCGCTCCAAGTGCGTCTTAAGGTTACTAGTTTTCCTTAGTGAGCCTTTAATTAGAGGCAAAGTTCTTTGAAGATTCAGTCATCTATACTCGTTTCTGTGTGTTCTTTCGCCGGGAACAACTATCTTTTAACATAGAACTAACGTTGCATTTACATAACATATCAAAGCCCCTTGATCTTTAAGTGGGCACCTTCAGAAAACAGCACGTTTCCGCCATCTTGGCAGTGGCAAAAGATGGCTTCACTTCTGCTGGCAAGGCATTGCTGGAGCTTCCACTGCAGCAATTTTTCTTAATCCTCCTTGGTGCCAATACGAAGGTTGAAAGCTAACGCTTTTGAAAGCGACATCGCGACACTCTGCAAAACGCTGGTGCAAGAAAGAACGTACGGCCGCTCCAGGGAGAAACGCTCTTATCGCACAATATCTTCCCGTCGAGAGCGCACCACGTAGAACGACGGTTTTTACGAGCCGCACGTTGATGCTTGCCGATAGCTTGCGCGCCAGCTTATCACAACCCTTAGAATCAAAGCATTCACCGCTGCTGCTCGAGTGACCCGTCCCCCCCTTCCCCTTTTCCCCCGCGTATTGTTTCGTGCTTGTTCGAGACGTGCGGCGTGTTTCCTCTCTGCTTGAGCATTCGACGGCAGGTCTAACACGCGGTGGTATAGTATCAGGTGCGTCCTCCAAGCGACCGAGACCTCGTCCAATCTCTGCTTGCGCAGCACTCACCACCCTAGCTTGCGCAAACTTTACGCGCGGGTAGAACGTATATATGCGCGGGGAGGGTTACCAACTTGTAACCCTCCCCGCGGAACATGGCGGTGGCGGTGAAATTAAACCCGTCAAGTGCCCATGTAGGTCCCTATCCTAATAAAAAAAATCACTCAATTACCTAGCAGTGGCGTGGCGAGCCCATCTAAATTTCTTCGTGGTTCTCGTGTCGGCTGCGGCACTTTTCAATGACCGGAACATAAGTTTTTTTTTTTACATTTATTTTATAGAGCCATATCGGTTTAGTATGAAGATAACTTTTGTTATATTAGTTCATATCCAGTCTTGAGTTGCTGTTCATGTTGTATGCGGTGTTTTAATCACATTTTGAACATTGCAACATTTTAACATTAAATTTCTTTATTCGTCTGAATAGCTGTTCAGAGTGCCGCTTATGTTTTTCCTTCGAGTTGCTGTGCTTTCAACTTTCGACGGACCTCTTGCATGCGAGGCTGATGTTCCAACCGCTACGCCATTGCTGTACCATATATATATATATAAGGGAAAGAAGTGTATACCTAAGGGCTCGTTTTTCCGTGTTTTAACACAATATTAATGAGATCTAACAGACAGTAATACCAAGGAATGTACAGGGGAAGTTATTAGAACCATGTATATATATATATATATATATATATATATATATATATATATATATATATATATATATATATATATATATATATGTGTGTGTGTGTGTGTGTGTGTGTGTGTGTGTGTGTGTGTGTGTGTGTGTGTGTGTGTGTGTGTGTGTGTGTGTGTGTGTGTGTGTGTGTGTGTGTGTGTATAATATATGGGTAAGTCTGGTCACTTGATCAGCACTAAATGGTTAGTAAAAACCACTGAATTTTTGGTATTGATGGGGAAGCAAAGAGAAAACGAAAATTCTAATTAACAGTGATGTGTGACCCAAGAGCTAAATGCTCCAAAACTAAATATTGATGCTTTAAAACACGCCTTGTGGTGCTCAAGAGCTGCTCCAAAGCTGCTCCAAAACCATGTTATTCCTGCTCCCAAAGCTGCTCCAAAAGTGTGCAGCATGCTTCCACCCCTTAGGAAAGAAGAAAAAAATTTTTTAAATAGAAAAATGAAGACTGGCAGGGAGCGTCGTGCCGCCAGCCTCGGCAAGTCGACCTCTGACTCCGCGCCCGTCCTGAGCAGCGCGTGGTGCCGCCCGGGTGGGATCATACCCCCGCAGCTACCCGCAGCAGATGCAAGCAAAGCAATCATACCCCTGCAGCTACCGGCAACAGATGCAAGCAAAGCAAGTCAACAGATTGTAGTTCTCGCCTATCTCGTGAAGAGCGCCTATTCCTGCCTGGACTCGCTCGCTGGATTTGGTGCCGACCGGTTGTGCCCTCGCGATCTCCGACGACAGCGCATCTCTGGCCGACTGGATTAGCCCTACCCCATCTCCTGACGCCGACAAGAGCTCTCGTCGAGTGGTGCCTCGTCCTCGGACTCCTGCGACCGTGTCCATCTTTCCTATGTTCTCCTTACGGCGTCGTTCGCTGTCCCTGCGCCTCGCTCTCTCCTTCCTCTCTCCCTATCTCCTTACCTTTTAACCCTATCCTTTTGATCCCCCCTTTACCGCGACCCCTCGTGAGCTACTGTTGAGGTGTCCTCCCCCTGAGAGACAGTTACGAGGCCCACTTTTCTCTTTTTTTTTTCATTTAAAATCACTGCCCCCCCCCCCGGCTATTTTCTGTCTCAAATTCTTTATTACTAGACTTTAAGATTATCACGTGTCGCACTCTCCTAGCTTTTTCGTTTCTTCACGTTTGTCTTACTCATTTTCTTTCTCCTCTCTCCTCTCCTTTTTACCACGCACGTTCTTCTGTCACCTCTCTCTCCCTCCCCCTCCTCTCCGTCGCGAGAAAGGACCCGCTCTATCCCGCACGTCATCCAGTCAAACGGCATTTGCGGGCCGAATAAACCATATACGCGCGTGTCGCCGCTCGTTCCTGCGGGACGGCCTTCCAATACAGTCTTCCTCTCAGTCTCGCGCCGATACTCATTATGGCGTTCCCCCGCTGCTTTCATTACTGGCGCAACCGCGCGGCCACCGATCGGGTTGGTCGCATAATCCTCCTCCGGGGCCACCCTTTGCCAACCCGTTTTCTCTCGCGCTGTGGACATCCATCACTGCCTTGTCGCTCTCTGCGATCATCAAAAAAAAAAACAAAGAAGTCATCCTCTTCCGTCCCTTGTGTGAGTGAACCATCGCGCCTGTAGAGTCGAGGAGGGCCTGGGGAGATTAACACTGCAAGCCGAGCGAGTCGGCGAAGAGTGAGCTGCTCATCTTTCGCCCGGGGTGCCACGAATGTGCCTTCGCCCCTTTGGATGCCTCGTTGTATGCCAAGACTGAGAGTGCCGACCTTGATTGGGATGCGTCTCCGTAACTGGGTTACCGCTGGCGTATTGATCTCTGGCCCGTCACAAGTATGGGATGCTGCCGTGGAGCGCGTGTCAACACAACTCGCATGCCAGGGAATTTGGTCGTTTCATCATAACGCTCGAGCTGTGCGGTAGTTTTTTTTTTTTTTCTCATGAAGCTCGTAAATGTAGGTTACGAAAATTGTCTACGATGCTTGCAGAGCCGGTGATTATCCTTCCCAAGATGACGGCGTAATAAATGTCAACAAAAAAAGGCTACAGCCACGAAATTCATCTGCACTTTACCATTGCCCATCAGACATTGAGTGATCTATTTATGCATTTTACTGCGATGTCAATTATGATAAACTTTACGTGAATTCTAGCCGCTGGCGGCGCCGTCGCCGTAATGTTCTGGATATATTTGTATATATTTTTCCTAAAGTGTGGCACAAACATTTCAACTTTTTTTTTGTTGTTGTAGAAAATTCTGGATCTCTAACTTGAAACCAATATTCGATATTGTTCGAATATTCTGTATGTTGTGGATGTTGTCTACTTGTATAAGTGATGCGCTGCACCGTGAAAAAACTGAAATATTTGTTACACGTTGATTTAGTGGTTATTAAGCTGAGGGCCATAAGAAATGTGCAAGAAAGAATAAGAATTAAAATCCGTGACACAGGCTGACATGTCGAACTATAAGCATGGTAATTGACTTCTTGAATTACTGATTTCTTTTTCGATATTCTCTGCCCAAGAGTGACAATTCATGTGCTTGTTTTCTGTTTTCTGGTAAAGGCTTGTGTTGACGATCAGTGTTGCGCTCACGGCTTTTTTTTTTTCTTCGTTTTCATAGTCTGAATATTGAAAATGTTGCTTCTCCATATGTTGCCATCATGACTGAAGGTTTCAACGTGTGGACAATTCTGTAAGACTTTTTGAAAGGCTCTATGATTCGTATGACTTTTTGAAACGTACTCGTCTACTGATGTACGAATTGTCGCTTTCGTTTTCCATCGGAATGCTGCGGCTGCTTTTGCATGCACAAGTGCAGCTTTCTGAAGAGACCTGCGCGGGAAATAGGCATAGGAGAGAGAGGGGGGGGTGGTGGTAGTAGTGGTTAGAAGATGAGAAAAGGCGCCTAATTTCCGCAACCCAGTCGGGAGCGCGGCGCAGTGCCTGCGGGGAAGGGAAAAGGGAGAAAACTGGAAAGAAGAGAAAAAGATTAAGTGAGCAGTGGCACGGTCGTCATCAGCACGAACAGCAGTCCGGAAGCAAGAGTAGGGGTGGCAAGAGGCCCGTCCTCAGCGGTAGAGAGAGAGGGGGGGGGGGGGCGTGGCTACGCAAAGGTGCGTGCCCACTCTCTTCTAGGAAGAGGGCGCGGCGCGCGTCAGAATTCTACGCGCTGACGCTCTGCAGCGGATGCGTGTGGTCAGGCCTTTAGGCGCCGCATCAAACGAGGTAATTGATCGTCGGCGTCCCGTGGCGTCGGGGAGAGCAAGAGTGACGCAAAACAGAAAAAAAAAATTATCACAGGATAACGTCATAACGACGTCACAAACGTTGACAATCGGCGACGTTCTGCGATCATTATTTGCGTCACTGTTGCTGTCCCTGACGTGACCGTAACCTCACATGACGACGTACCTTGTTCGAACGCCGTCCGATTGAGTGGCCAGCGCGAAAGCTGGTGAGGCGCCTCCGATCTTGGAGGCACTGCAAAACCATGCTAGGTGCAGAAAGCTTCCAGAGGGTGGCGGTGCAGGACCTCGACTGAAAGAAAAAGGAGATAGCTTTCGCCAACCAGTCGTTTTAGGTGAATGCATGAGCGTAGCTTCTTTTTTTTTTTCTTTTACGATCTGAGAAAATAAAAGCTGTAGATCTGAAATAGGAATGCTCGAGCTTGACCAAGATGTCGTCAGAAGTTGAACGAATATTTTTTCTGCTATTTTCTTTTTTCGCCAGTCACGTGAGCAAAACCACCACCTATGAGGATCCTCGTAAGGACTACGAGGAAGAGCCGCCCCCGTCTCCCAGAGAAGTGGAGCTCTTCCGGGATCCGCAGCTGGGCTTTGGCTTTGTGGCCGGAAGCGAGAAGCCCGTTATTGTGCGCTTCGTGACCGAAGGTGAGTGGTGTGTCGCGCCACTTGTACTCCTTTGTTCCGGTCCTGCATGCGCCGAGTTCGGACTCGCGTGCTGACCGCCTTTTGGGAGCGAAGCTGGTCTTGGTGGGACTATTCCACGAGTGCCCAGGTGCATGCGTTCTTCTCCTAGCGGAAAAGTCGCGAAACGTTTTGGTCTGGCCTCAGCACGCCTCTCTATCTAGGAGGCTTTCGTTCTGGCTATCCTTGTTGTCTGAGATCATCCGAGAAAAACTTCGCCCCCCCCCCCCCACCAAAGTCTAACAGTACGCCAGAGGGCAGCACAGGAAAATGAAAACTGCGACTACTTTCCAAGACGCTCTTATTCGTTTATCGAAAGTTTACATCTGGTGCCGATATGCTGGCTACCGGATTTACGCATGTATTAGAGGCTCCATGAATTTGATAAACCTGTTATGTGCAATGTGGCAGCCTGCGAGGGTGCTGTAAGAGGAAAGTCCACCTGCAGGGTGTCTTAGCAACTGAGCTTTACTCCGTGGCATAAGCAAAAAGAGAACTGTTGCTAATCACCGCCGGCGAGCTGCCTCCTATTCAAAGCCAGAAATTTTAATACTGATTGAGCCCATTCTGCTTGGCCTCGTAGATCTGGCAACAACAGGAACGCTACAGTTGACTGTCGATGTTCACTTTCCTTTGAGGTGTGGCTTCGTGGCAATGCACGTCTTCTTGCAGTGAAGCTGCATTGCATTTTAGTAGGAAGTAGCTTGCGAAAAATGCCGCTCGCAGAACGTACTAAACACAATTGTCGCTGAACCTTATTTTGGACTTGTATATTTGTGTGAGGTTTGTGTTTATCGTCGTCTACACTCACATATTAACACCTGTCACTTTCCCTCATTTGTCCGGTACACTCCCGAATGTCGTCCAATCCGCGATTACCCGGGCGCGGCCACAAATCTCTCCTTGAAAAGTGCCCTTTTAGACACTGCAGGTTGTAAACAGCGCCTTAACTGGAACGAACTTTTCCAGTACATACAACTCATTTTAATTTTCGCACAAATATAAAAATCATCATAACAGTACATCCGTCAACCGCGTTGTTAAAGGGCTTTCGTAAAGACAACTTTTCCGCATTTTGATGCATCGTGCGGTGAAGTATCTTGAAATATGGAAGGGGCCATTGTTGCGGTACATTATAGTAAATTTTGTTCCTGAATTGCGCGCACGCGTCATATAGTTAAGAGCGCAAATGCAATTGATGACATTTAAAAATGTTACTGTCAGCTGCTCAGCACTGTTTATGACGTCGCTCTGGCCCCTGAAACGAAATTTTTCTTTTATCTATTTGAACCTGAAGGTGGCCCTAGCGAACACAAACTCCAACCTGGGGATCAAATTCTTGGTATAAACGGCGAAGATGTCAAGAACGCGCCCCGGGAGCACGTGATTGAGTTGGTCAAGTGAGTGCTCATTCGATATGGAATGGTTGACTCAAGATCAATGCTTGTATTAACATTGAAGAGGAGGAAGGTGTAGGTTGCAGACAGTTTTAGCTTTACGACATATCAAGGCAATTGCCCTGCTAGGTTTCCTGCTTTCAGGCTAGGTTGAAAACAGGATCATTTTTATTTTTAAGTGAATGCAGCCAGGCTATCAAGGACGTGCACCCAGGACCACACAGCAATGCACATACCTTGCGTCCCTATAATGTAGCATCGCCTTCTGCTCATTTTTACACCATTTTTATCATACACCACTCACAGCATACCGATAGTATTGATAACATGGCGAAACCATTTCCTGGCCACTGACAGTGCCTAACAAGACATTAGTGCAAAAAAAAAAAATAGCATCGCTACTAAACGAGAAGTCAGATTTTATTGCTTCAGCTTAAGGAAGGAAACAGTATAGTGAAGGTTAGTGTGTTTGTTTCTACAGTCTTCCTCTGTATTAACCCTACGTAATCTTGAGCCAGAGCCAGGATCACAAATTTCTCTCTTTTTCTTTTAACACAGAAAATAAAAATTTTTCAATTAATTTCTTGGCTTGTGCTATATAAAAAACAAAACAAAAAAACTATGTTTCAGTGTTTCTAGTAGAAGTTTCTATGCATATCACAGCCAAAGCATAATGTGGGGCTAGTACAATCATTTTTTCTTGTTTCCATTGTATACATTCATTATACAGTAAATAATCAGATCTCAAAGTTGTTAATGAAGGAGCCACACATTATTAAATAGGCAATGTGATTAGTGCTCTTTCAAAAACATGTCATTACTTCAAATGTTGTTTTGTTGAGCTAGATTTGAGCTGTATTAAGCCCTGCTAGCAACATTAGTGAGTGAGAGAAACTACTTTGCCCTATAGTCTGAGCCATGCTCCTAACATAACACAATACCGATTCCCTCCTCTATTTCTGCGCATTGTACTCAACCACAAGACAACTTAGCAACACAATAAAGTCAGATTTTCAGTGTTTATCCTGAAGGTTCATTTTTTTTAGCTGACAGGATAGAATGTGACTTCAAGAAACTTTTAGAAAATGCAAAAAAAATAAGTAAAAGTTTGTTTAAGGAGGCTTCAGTTGAATGATTCAGTCTACTGTGTAAACACTTTAGCATAGCATGCTCTTGACTATACCTATTTCTACTATGAGGTATGGACCAGGCTGGCATATGTGTAGCACCAGAGTATCAGGTGCATCCCTTTAAATGGATAGAGCACTTGTATGTGCAAAGTGATTGAGTTTTTAAAGCTATACATGTAGTTAAACTTGTCATATTCATACAGACTAAGTGTATCAATTTGTTTCTCATTGCACAATCTCAGAGTTTTTTTTTCTGTATTTGTTCAGATCATGCAAGCTCTCTGTCAAGTTGGTTGTCTGTCAACCTCATGTGAACAATGTAAGTCTCATTTATTCTTCATTGCTCTTACTTAACCAAATAATCAATTCATGTAATTGATTGGTAATATTCCTTAGTTCATACTTTATTATTTCCTGCATCAAAGCTGATCATTTCTACTCATTTATGGCACATGGAATTATGTCTGTTACATTTTGTGCTCATCTACTATTAAGTGCTCCTAGGATTTCTTATACATGTCATGTTGTTGCACCCTAATGCACAGTTTTCTTTTTTAACTGACACTCCTAACTGAAAGTGAGCAGTTGCATTCTCTACTAATCCTATAGTCTTTTCTGTTTATTTTAATTGTTTGCAGAAAGCACAAATAAACACAACAAAACAGTGCAAGTTTGTTCATCTTGTTAGAAATCTAACCTAAATGAACTTCATTGGAATCTGTAGAATATGAAGCTTCGAAAATGGTAATGAAGTTTGTTAGAAAATCAGGCTCTCTTATGAGGCTTATACTTAGATCGTTAGATATTGACATCACTCAATAGCATTGTGAGAAAACATGTGAAATTAAACTCTGCACAAAATGAGGCAAAAAGCTTTGCCAGTAGTGTATTACTTAATATTTAAGACTTTACCAAGCTTCAAAGGAAGCAACTATAACGATGTGCACCAATTTCAGTCTCACTTGTGACCTGCGATTCTTTTGTAAGTAGTTTCATAGAGCTCATACAATGTTCTTACATTTTGCTTTTGCAGACAACAAGAAAGTCAGCCCTTCTAACTGCAGCAAAGAAAGCGAAGTTAAAGACGAATCCCTCGAGGGTTCGTTTTGCGGAAGGTGTTGTCATCAATGGTTCACCTCTTTATTCCGTAAGTTGTTTATTACTTAGGAGCTCTATTTGACTTGGCTTCTGAGAACATTGCATAACACAGAGTGTTTGCTCGTCTATTCTCAGAACGAAAATATATGTGGTCACTATTTGTATATGTTTTTAAAACCACAGCTGTCTTTTTTTTTTCTACAGTGCAAGCTGTTACTAGGAGATCAACAAAAGTGCCGTAGCTGTCTTCCACCACCGGTGTTTGTACCCACTACAGCGCAAAATTAAAAAAAAAACATAAAATTTTAAGCAAGCCCCCCCCCCCCCCTCAACCCTGAAAATAAAGTCGAAATTGCCGGCAGTGGGGGCGGGAGGGGGGCGCTATCACAGAACGGCTCAAAATTTCAAATGGCAGCAAATTTTCGCGCCAGAGAAAAAAAAACGCAGTGTGAGGGATTACAATTTTATTACAGAACGTGAATGGATTACAATTTTATTACAGAACTTTATATAGGCCCAGGATTTGTAGTTTTTAATTGCTTTCAAAAATATCAAAAGGCTCCTTCGAGGCAGTCACAAAAGAACAGGTCACAGCGTCTCGCTTGAAGTCTGCTGTGGTCTTTTGGCACCACAGCTCCAACATCAGCCAGTCCACTGTGCAGGTCATTGTCCTCGTCATCGAGGACAATGACCTCATCATCGAGGCAGGTCATTAAGCGCGTTACTAATGCCACATTCTTGAAGGACAGTGCCACTATGTCCTCAAGTACAGCGGCTCATGCCTCGGCAACAAAATCGAGTATGTGTTGCCGCCACAGCTTCTTCAAGTTTCCTTTCGGTGTTCGCGCTTCCTCACGCATATACTGTTCCCACAAACCCCGCTCCTACAAAGGCATTTGTGGAGGCTTGTGTCTTATGGGTGGGCACCTGGCCGAATACTAGTAAGCGATGCATGTCATCAACGTTTGGGCCCCAGATTCTCGACAGTCCATTCTTGCATTTTCTCCTATGTCATCCAGCTGTTCTTCGGGGCCATGAGATGAACATTTGTTACGAATCGGAAAAAAAGGTCAGCGTTGTAATAAACCGAACTCGGCAATGATGTGGCTCCTCGCTCTCATAAAAAAAAATTCTCTCTTGGCATTCGAAGGCTCGCAAAGGCCCTGGCTGGAATTTTTCCGCTTTGTTCCTTGACGATAACGAAGGCCGGGAGCATGTGGCTGGTGGTGCATGCAGCTAGGCAAACCATGAAGCCTCGCCGGGCACATCCAAGTGTTCACAATTTGTATGGTGCTTTCGCCGACCACGTTGTTTGTGTTGTTGGTGGGGTTGTCTATTTGCACCATTGTCTGATCTATGTTGGCCATGTTTCACATGTATAAGGTGCAGCTGTTGTGCCGCCGCAGTGAGTTCGCGAAAGACAAAAAGGCACTTTCTGTATCCAAAATTCCTCGGGCGTATTCTGGTTCTCGTTCGTAGCACGGTGCATTGCAATGCCAAACCGCTGTTTCCAGTGATTTATGTAATGGCTGGAGGTTACGAAATTTCTCAACTTCATGCTGTTGGCAATTTCGACAACCTCTCCTGAAAGAATTCGGTTGCCGACAGCACGTCCTGCACTTTTTTCGCGCTCAAGGTACTCAAAGAGACCATCGTCCACGTGTTCGCTAAACACTGGTGCGCCGTTACTGAGCTTCCGTTGAAGTTTTGCCTTCCCATAGTTTAGCTTCAGCAAATTATCAAGTTCTTCTCCCGTACCCATATTTCTTTTCAGTCGAGCTTGTAATGTCAAGACATCTGGTTCAGGCTCCTATTTTCTCAATGCCATCGAATAACCTCGATTTTTTTTTGCCACTGTGTAGGATCGCATAGGCATAGCTTACCCCAAACACAAAGCAACAAATTGTGCGGAGCATGCTCAGAGTAATTGGTCAGCAGTGCAAAGCAGGATTGAATTGGATTGGATAAGATTTGATTGGATTCATAGTAGTAAGCAGAGCCACAAAAAAAAAATCACAGTATATCCACGGAGTAAATGATGATTGGTCGGGCAAAGCGTTCGTCAGTTCGTCCGTGCTTCTGTCCGTCCATTCATTTTTGCTTCCACTTGTCCGTGCGTCCATGTGTCCATCCATCTGCGTGACCATCAAAGCATCCATCCATGCATCACGTCCGTTCTTCCGTCTGTCCATCCGTGCAACTGTTCATGCAGCCGTCCCTCTTTCTGTCTCTACGTCCGTCAGTCCGTCCATACATCTGTATGTCCGTCCGTCCGTCCGTCCGTCTATCTAGTGAACACTCCAAGTACAGTCATCTCACATCTTTTCATCATGTATTCATCATATACAAGTGCCCCCATCCAGCAAACATTCGAAGGACCGCTCTTTCAGGTATGTGGCACCGGTGGTTACACACTACAACGAGGGACGCACAAGCTACGCCATAAGGAGCTTCCCCTCTAAAAAAAAAATATTTGTGGAAAAATCCACGGAAACTTTTTTTTTTTTTGTCAACTGGATGTAGCAGGCCACTGTTGCCTGGGCGCGTTGTCGCACGCAGAGCAGTGAAGGAGGGGGGGGGGGGGGGCACTTTCATGGAACAGGGCAGATATTTGAAATTGCCAGTGAAGTTGGGGGGAGGGGTCTTGTACGGGTTGGGGCGCTTGCTCAGACTTTTACAGTATCTAGAAAAGAATGAGGGTCTAACCTGGGTCCTTTTTGTGGCAGCCCAGTATTCTATTACAGAGTCACACTGGTGCTCGAAACTTCACTCCCCAAAAAATCATATGCAAGCGCTGTCAATGAAGGAACTGCATTAGCATGCGTAACATAGCGTGTTGGGAAAGTAAAATAACAAGCATGTGTCACACACTTCTAATTATGCAAACAAACAGTCTTGTAGTACTATTCGAATAATGAATGGGTTGTCGTACGCTTTTTACTCATCACAAAGGGTTCAGCCATAGTTTTTCATTGTCATAAGGGCTCACACAAATTAACGCTGTAGTGGGTACCTTGCAAGTGTATTAGTTGCCCCAAAAGTGTTGACAACAGGCTCTAGAAACGTGGCTTTTCCAGCTTTCATGTGACTGTGCTGCGCTTTCCATGCAGGCCTGGCCTCTCTTTCTCTCTCTAAAGTGCTTTTTTTTTTTCTGAGATTTCTACAAAGTCAATCACGCATGTATTATTTTTTGCCAGGTCAGAAATATACATTCTAGATACATCCATAGCATAAGCAAAGCAAAAAGGTAGGACAGAGTAAAATGAGCAAAATAGGCTTTTCAAGCTCTGAAGCTCTAATTTTGGCAAGAGCGCAAGCCTGTCACAATCACTTTTGTTATGATAATTTTATGGATATTGTCATAGTCATATCATGAATCATCAAGTCTAACATTAGTGTGTTTTTGTGTATAAGGGTGGATATGTCTATTACCAGGTTACGATAAATATACCGATGTACACTTCAATTCCACACATCAGTTGCTTGAGATTTTTTTTTATAGCCCATCTTAGCAGCACTCTCTTATTCATGTGAGCTGACAGTCCCTATATTTCTGTTTCGTGCACCTTCTTTTCATCGTTATTTGCCTTTTGCTTCTCAAACTTTAGGCAAAGGAAAAAAGTAAACAGGAATCGTGTAGCGGGGCAGAAAGTTTTTAGCATGATGCTTTACAATGAGATGCATTATTAGCCATCTTAGTTTTCACAGTCATGCAAGTTACTGATTGTTTAGACAATTCATTTTCACTGGTTATTTAAGCATTAACAACAAAAAACTTTTGTAGTATGCCTGCGATTATCACTGGCAAAACATTATCACTAGTTGCCTTGCTGCACCTTATTGCACTCTTTTATTAGTATGGCTCCAGTTGGCTGCGACACATTCTATAAGGTTGCTGCTTTGCTGACATCCCAGAAGTTAATTGAATTTTGGCTTTAGTTAGACCACTGCAGTCAAGCCATCTAGTGCTATGTTTCTTAGTGCCCATTCATATTACTATTTCATGAGGTGCCAGTAATGTTGATGCTGTGAAACCAGAAAGTGGACAAATGATTTATTTCTTCTGCGCCCTCATGGATTGACATGTTCTATCACCAGCGGCTATTGTGCTAGTGCCAAATGCACAGCATGATCAACTCCCACGTCTGGTTTTTCACTTTCCTCACCGCAGCCATCTACGTTCGAGTCGTGTGTTCCCTTTCTGCCCAATGTTATGAAAGTGTTCCTTGAAAATGGTCAAACCAAGTCTTTCAAATATGACAGCTCGACCACTGTGCAGGTAAGCCAGCCTTCCATGCAGTTCCGTATTTTCTGAAGTTGTATCATTGTGTGACACATTTCAGCAAGTCCACAGTGACAAATCCTGTTACAAAGCTTAATTTATTTCCTTAGTACAAGCTCGGAGTGTCATAAACTTGTGCCAAGAAAGGGCATAAGAGCTTGCAACTTAAAAATATGACATTTCTTTTTACTATAAATATACTTACTATATACTATAAATATGCCGAGGACAGATGTCAAACTATGAAACGCCATGGGGGTGGTCATTGCAATATTGTTAAAGTTCTGAACATGTTTTTATTCTGGTGTTTACTGACCGTCGTCCGGTGAGTACTGTGTTGAGTCAGTTTGGGTTTTATCGGAATGCCTAGGCACCAAGGACCCTTCATTTTATCTTATAATAGATGCTTGGTTTGCACAAATCTAAGTGGACTGGTGATCATGAAACATCAATTCGTGTTTTAGTAAATGTGCTGTTATTGAGTTACTATGATTCTTGAAGACTCTTTGTTATGTTTCTGTTGATAGTGACACTCGAAGCTACTCAGTGTAATGTCTGCATGTTATCATAATGTTACCATAATTGATAGTACTGAATAGGTGCACAATAGACCTTTGTTCTTCAAGAGTCAGCTAGGCACTCTGTTGTTTACTCCCTTAGGCCGGTCTACAGATTGCAGATTAAGCACAGAGAAATGTATTCACTTTTATTTTCCAGGATGTCCTCAATTCTCTCCAAGAGAAACTCTCTGTGAAAGCCATGGAGCATTTCGGCCTTGTAGTGGAACACATTAAGTCAGTTCGTCGGAACAAGCTCACTCTCCTTGATCCAAAGGACTCCCTGGCAAAGGTAGGCTTCTCACACACTTTTTTTTTTCATCTTTTGTTCCACTGAAAGCAAGGAGTAATCATATGAAGCCAAGTACGTTGCCAGGAGTATTTCCTTATTGTTTAGGTTGAAACATTTAAGTCAATAAAGTAAAATTAACAATCATTGATATGTTCATTTACACCTCAAAGGTCCCAGGGAGTTATTATGTGAGAGCTGGGGGATAAGTAAAGGCAGTAGTTTGCATTAAACATGATAGGTTATGGATTTCAAGAGCGGTTTTGAAGTGGGTTCAATTCATTAATGTGGCAATGTGGGTGAGATTGTTGTCCCAGCCTCATGCAAGAGTGTGCACTTGTCCCCCCATGTAACTGATTTCTTTTACCTCAACTCAATCATATTGTAGTGGTATCACACCTCCAAAAAGTTGAAATCAACTCTAGTATCCCAATCTTCATTCCATTATGCAGATTGCAGCACGGCCTGGTGCTCACCACTTGCGGTGCTTGTTTCGAGTTGCCTTCGTGCCGCTTGATGCGTATGACCTGCTGCAAAAGGACCCTGTTGCCTTTGAGTACCTCTTCATGCAGGCATGTGTAGCTTTTTCTAATAGTGCCACTCTGGCCTTTTCTTGTGTTTGTCATAGCACCCTAGACCACCTGCAATAGCTTTTCAACATTTCAAGCAAATGCACGCACAGAGTTCAAATGCTGTCACGATCAACAATGCCAAATGCAACAGAACTACAAGCCGTGGGTGCCCAACACATTCCCAAAAAAAGTTCCTTCTCCTCCTCGGTTATTTCAGTAGTTCTTCATCCTTAATCTTTACCAGGACTTCATTATTGTCGTTTCGTCATGTCCTCAATAAAAAAGAATCGGTATGCTTGCAGATCTTCATGCAGGTATCTGAGCTCAATTGCTGCTCTTCCTCCTAGCATGGTGAGGAGGAGTACTTGTCCAGGAGCAGAGACGAGCCAACAAATAGACTGTAGTGAAGGAAAGAGCTGAACGAGCAAGAGTGTATTTTGTATAATCAAACACCTGTAACTCCAGTATTATGGCGCTATTTTGAAAAACTCTCACAGCTCCGTGTTTATTGTAGACTCGTGGGTAACTGCAACACCACAGCTAAACTTGACCTCTGGGCAGTTTAGGGGACCCTTTATGATGCGTGTTTGCTCCAGTGTTGCATAATGGGTGCCTTCATTTCATTCCAGTTCCATTCGAGAGAATTAGAATTGTTGCAGTTTCATTTCTTTCATTTTCTTGGAATGAAAAAAATGTGGCCCATTCCCACTTCAAGAATGGCCAAGCAGTTCAAGTTCATTCCTGTAATTCCTCAATGTAGGAGAGGCATCTTCAGAGTATTATTGAGTCAAGAATGAACGCCCCCATAAAGCCAATGTCATCAGATGCATTTAAAACTGCAAAAGTACAGAAAATGTGTTACCAAGATCGAGGGATAGCAGCATGGTGACATATCTCGTGTAGTACAACTAGCATGCTAATTACCGTTGCAGTAGTTCTCCTATCACCCATAGTATATACATGGTCAGCATGCTTGAACGAATGGTGATGTTTTAATATTGTTAAGGTTTAAAAGTGTTAGTGCTAAAATGATGACATGGCGTATTTTAACACTGATAAAATTAGTGTTCAAGCAGACTAAGCAGTTTTTTTTTTTGTGTCTAGAGAAGCCGTGAATATGGAGAAAACAAAGGTTTGTTTAATGGGGAACAAAACCTTCTAGATCTGCTCGTATTAGTTGGAACCACGGTATTAGAATAAGTTAGGTGACGACACTGCACCCGGCACCGCGTCCAGATTGCATTAGCCGCCTGGGCTGCTTCCGTTTGATTGGACGGATGGCGCCCACGGAGGGTGAGCACTAGAGAGCGACTCCGATCGGCGTGTAGATCATTGCTTCGGAGCCTCGCTTGATTGTTACGCTCGATTTACACATCTACATGGATGTCAATGAATTAATACACTGTGACTCTGCTGTAAGGAAACTGATTTCGTAATTTTATATGCAGCCTATTTGCCGACAGTGTTTTCCTCATATAAATGCTCTGACAGCAGCAAATATTGGCCTGGAGAGTGGTCACATTTGAGGTGACAGCACTAAAGATCTCGTTTCACTGAAATTCTGGTGTCGGCGTCGGTGGTTTCGGTGTCGGCATCTTTGATTCAGAACAGGAAAGCAACGTTGTCCATGAGAGAAAATTTGAGGTGTTTTCCAATAAGGATAGCAGCCTGACGGCAAAAGCACGCTAGCTATATGGAAGGCGATAGTCAGTGTGCGTGTGTGTGTGCGCACGAATATGACTGTTCCATTCTAGTTGCTTAGCAAAATCAACGAAAAAACTCAGAACCTTTAACTTATGTATTGTGAAGCATACACACGTTCTATTAAGAACTTAAATCGACACACTACCTTTGCCAGTCTTGCTGTTAGCGTCAATCAGATGACTCCATATCGGCCTCTGGCAGTGTAAGCAGCATGTATAGTGGGAAGAACTTCATTGGGTCCCGAAGGTCGACCCTCGGTTAAACCGTACCTCACCCGTGTCGGTACTGTTGGGCCAGTGCCATCAGCCATACTTTGCGCTATTTTATTTAGCCTCTCAAACATTACTTGATGAAGTGCTTATCAGAATTTGAAAGTGAGCACACTACTTAAAGCAGCATATTTTGTGCAGCTCGTCCCTTACGCTGCTTGGGCACCTTGGGCACCTTGTGTGCTTCTGCGTGAATACGAAACACTTGGCGACACTGCTTCAGCGTGAATCGTCACATGGAGCAACACCGTCTATATTAAGACAGAATTATAGTAGGCACATTGCTTATAAATGTACCATGCTTGTAATCAGCCAGGCCGTTTTAAAAATACTGCTTTATTGTTGAATTCGAGGCTATGACTTACTAATTTTGAAGTTTAAAAAACAGGTGTTGACAAAAACGTGCTTGGTTTTAAGAAAAAAGATGTAATTACATTCCCATTCCGTTGCTCCAAACACTGACCTCATCTAGTCCAGGGCCGTAAAAATGTGGAATGATGCCAAAGTCATTTCTATTTCGAAGTGGCAACTCTGCAACTCTGGTGTGTTCGTATGTCTACCAGACAGTTCCTGCGCTGAGCTATACATGATACAGTCAAGTTGAAACTGCATTTTAAGTGTTGTGTAATTTTATTACTCATTTCCTGGCTGTCTAAAATTTTTGATAATAACCACATATGCCCAATAGAGTGTTATCTGTTGTCATCAAATCAGAGAATACTTAAATCGCATGCCAAAAATGAGAACACCAGCTGCAATACACAAAATTGTGCATTAGTTGTATTACTATCAGTGTGTGCTATATTTTGCTAACCACAGATTCCCACAACATTCCAAGCAAAAATTCTAACAGAAAAGAAAATAGCCTATTTGGGTATACACGAATATGTGTATTAGAGTATATATAACCTGATAGGCATCGAGTTTTTTTATTATAACTTTTGCTAAGGAAATTTACTTTACAGTTCTTGTGCCCCCCGTTTTACTTACAGTGCTGCAATGACATGGTTCAGGAAAGGTTTGCTCCGGAACTCAAATACGATGTGGCCCTCAAGCTAGCCGCCTTGCATATCCACCTGCATGCACTCAGCAGTGGCATCCAGGGCAAGGTCACCATCAAGTCAGTCGAGTGAGCTGCTCCTTATTCTTCTGCGGCGATCTCATTCTGCACGAGATATCTGTGCAACACAGATATCGCAGGTGGTTGTCTGCCTGATCTTATATTTACGACCAAGTCATGGCAACACTTAGAGAGACAGTAAAGAGCAAAATGATTTTTCGGGTATTACTAAAGTACAATTTCACAATTCTGAAAACACCACTCTTACTGCGACGCAACACTTACCGTATTTTCGGGTGTATAATCTGCACCAAAATCTCGAAAATTTCAGTGGCAATTTGGGGGTGCAAATAATGCGCGGGGTTTTTCCTGTAGTGCTGCTTCACAGCAACAAGTGTTGTGCCATGAAGCCTCTTAACAGTAGCGAAGTATGCGGAGGCAGTTTCCGTAAATTTGTGTTGCTCCGCAAGTAGTACGGCAGCTTGCGGACAATTTTGGTTTCACTTGCTTGCATCTGCGAAGCGTTTAGAAAAACACTTGGGGAGAGGCAATTCGATTGTTCAGTGTAAACCTCACTGTCATATTACAAGTATACCTTTTTGGGCATTTGCGACTGAACAGTGGACCATCCACCACCCTCCACATGCCCCTACGTCAAGGACGCCATGTTTACATTGGAAAAGGGCTTGCTGAAAAGTAGGTGCTATCTAAAAAAAATTGAAAAAAAGGGAAGGCATTTTTGCAAAGTGAACAATACCCGTATTTTATCTACAACTTCCCGCAACCCAACCGTTTGGGTTCTGTAATAAGTAAAGCAGTATTTATTTTAGCAAAGCAAATTACATATTATTATTAAATTTAGGTACTATGTTCTGGCACGATAGCAGGCATGCCTTTCGGTTTTGTTGCTCCCATTGAGCTTTCAAGATAAATTTTTTGTCGAGTGTGAGCTCTCTTTGCCTTTCTGGTGCCACTAGTTCTTTACATCTTGACCCGTTCGTCAAGCCTAAGTCGATCTGTTCTGTCATCACGAGTACTAGTGTCTGGCGGCAGTCCTTCACCACGCAGCAAAAGCTTAAAATCATCACTGTCGCCGAGGAATTCGGAAACCGCGAAGCAGGAAGACTGCATGATGTGGACAAGTCCTGCATGCGACTGTGGAGAAAAAAGAAAGACAGCCTACAAGTTGTGCACCGCGACCGTAGATCACTTCGTGGCCCCAAGATCGGTGCCTACCTTGAGCTGGAGGTGCGGCTAGTAAAGTTCATCGAAGATGTGCGAAGCAGGGGTGATGCCGTATCGACTGAGATGGCCCAAGTGGAAGCGCAGCGACTGTCAAGAGAGTTGGCCTACCTCGTGTATTCTGTGTGAGCCGTGGATGGCGGCACTGCTTTATGAAGCGCTAAGGGCTCTCAATCAGATGGCGGACTACAATGTGTCAACGCTTGCCGACTTCGAAGTTGCTCAAGTGCCAGAGATATGTAATTGGCTTCAGAAAACAGCATAACTACATTTTTTCACAAATCAGCAATGCAGATGAAACTCCTGTTTATTTTGAAATGCAGTCTGACACAACAGTTGAGAAAACCGGCAGAAATTCGGTGAACATGCTGACCTGCGGGAACACGAAACTGCGCTGCACAGTCGTGCTTTGTGCCCTCGTCGATGGCACAAAACTGCGACCGTACGTCATCCTGAAAAGGAAACTCTTCTGAAGATTCCTTTGCCTGCCGGTGTGGTGGTGCACGTACACGAGAATGTGTGGATGAACAGTGTTTGTTCGTGGACTTGGTCGAGACGGTATGGGAGAAGAGGCCCAGTGCGATGCTCACAGAGGTTCATGCTTGTTCTTGACTCATTTCGCGGCCACACAAATGAGGAAGTGAAGGGCCGTCTTTCACGCAACGGCACTGACTTAGTCGTTATACCCGGTGGAATGACGTCAATGTTGCAGCCTCTAAATGTGCCGCTTAACAAGGCGCAGGTCAAGCGCAATTACGCCAAGTGGATGGCCGAAGGCCTCAACGACTTGGCACCAACAGGACGCGTCCGAAGGCCTGATATTGCCCTATTCTGCAACTATATTGCCAAGGCATGGAAGGCAATTTCAGGTGAGATAGTGCAAAAAAGTTTCAAGAATTGCTGCATCACAAACACCATAGATGGAACCGAAGATGACCTTGTGCGTAGCAGTGAGGACTGCGGCTCAAGTGATAGCTCTAGCGAGAGCAATGACAGTGAGTGAATTGTGGCTGGCCTTCCAGACAGCGTATTCTGCTTGCTAAATAAAGCTTTTTCTGTCTGCATATGTGCTATATTGCTTGAGCAGCTTTTGTACAGCCTTTCCTTTATGCCACTTTATATGAAATGGGGGGGGGGGGGGCAATATGCGAGGATTTTTTTTTTTTCTTTCTGAGCTAGCTGAAAGTGGTGATGTGGATTATATGCAGGGGTGGGTTATACACCTTAAAATACAGCAGTAAGGAAGAAAACACGTGAAACGAAAATACGGGGGGGCGAAGTCACCTTGAGGTTTCTGCGCCAAGCACCGTTGCGCAAAAAATTTTGAAGGCTTCCAGAGGGTCCTATGTAGCTTCCAATCAATAATAATAAAGTACATTGTAAGGTATGCGAGCCATAGACTTGGTATATGAAGTTTCCGAAAATTTCATCGTACCTATGCCACGAAAATACCGAAAGTACATTTCGAAATTTCACACGCGGAGATTTTTGTGCCAAATTTAAAAATGAAATTTCAACATTGATTTTCTCGCTTATATTGAAGTTATGGCAGTGAAAAATATGTCATTATAGTTCTCAAAGTGCAGTTTACAGTATAAAGGAAGTTATTGTTCCTCTTTAGTATCCCTTTAAGCTCATGTAATGGTGTTCCATGTCACCTGGTTTGTTGTGTGCCCAACATCGCTGCTGAAATCAGCTGCCAGAATTGCATGATCCTCGAACTTGCTGATAGAGGAATCAATTGCATTGCAACATTCTTTACGGCCAATCGTATGGTCTATAGATTGTATTAGCTACCACATTGTTCCGCTTACTTGATGCATGCATAGCTCCAGCTTCGTTTCAAACTCTCTCTTGCTGGTGGGCAGGTGTTAAGCCCGATTTGTTAGAAGTGCACAGTGCCGTGATATAATTATGGCCTCTTTCATTAGTGTCAGTGTTATAACAGCGTGCAACTACACCTTCAGCAACTACGGAAGCATACAAACTCAGCTGACCAAGTTTTCACAATGGAGGTTACAGAGCTCACCAATATTAATTATCATCGACTACATAAAGAAAAAAGATGCAGAACAAACCACACAAGTTTTTCAATTATACAAGTGGCTATGTGGTTAAATGTTGTGGCTTCATCATAAAAAAAATTCGGGTTACCTGTGTCGTACATCATCTCAATCTCTGAAATGCACTAAGTTACTGCTGTGTAAAACGCTTTACACACTACTAAAATATGCTTCATGTGTCTGAAGCCTGTATGAAACATGGGATGTTAACAAAATTGAATCTGTACGAAGGAAGGCGATTCGTTTCATTTGTCATCGATCTAACTTTTCACCTTCATCAGCAATGAATTCCTTGAAACTCCCTCTCCTATCCACCAGAAGGGATACCGACTCCTTGAAGCTATCGCTCTAATTTCTTCACTCATCTTATTGACTATCTTCAGATGGTTACATCTCATATTGTCACATGCTTGCGGCAAGAAAGCAACAAAGACAATGATACAGTTATGCATGTACTGTGAAGGTCAAGAGAAAGAACGAATACCTCGCTTGCACGTTCTATTAAAAGGAGCCCAACCTGCTTGTGGTATTTCGATCTCTGCAAGAAGACCTCTGCTTTGACGTCGTGACAATATGCTAATACTCTTTCAACTGGACGTTACCACAGCCTCAACTTAAAGCCTTTCTTTACGCACACGAACATTTTCAAGAACAGTTATTGTCCTAGAGTTATTAAAAGGCGGAACGAATTACACAAGAGTATTTGTGAATTGTGGTTGTCGGATTTTGTAGACGCACTGTTATAATAAAACATTGTTTTTTTGTTTTTGTTTTATATGATGTCAACCTTGTAATTGGTGTGTTTTTTTTCATGTCAATGTATCACACTCCTGCAATATAGGGCTGCAGTATTTGAAAATAAATAAATGAAGCCTTGTGTAGTGGTTCAAGATGTGGTAGTTAAACAAAAGCTATCCATGAAACTTTACAAGTTGATCACACTTGGAAACATCATTTAGTCCTTGATTGTGTGCTCAAAATATTTCATCTATGTGGACATAACGAGGTGTATTTTCTTTTTTGTTTTTCTTCTTTTTCTTCTTAGGGAAGCATGCCCTTAACCATAAAGTGGGTGCTGGACACGCAGGTTTTTTTGTCTAGGGCCGCTGTGTGCTAGGTATCCTATGGTGGACAAGAACTTGAGGAGGATCACATGCCTAGTATACCACATTCAGGCTACGTTTCTACATGTTACACGCATGTTTGCTCACAGACATTCAAAATAACCACAAGCTATTGGTATTAAAAATACTAACCGGCACGGAGATTTCTCGGGGCGTAACCCAAATCAATTTGTGCATGAAATTCAAGGTGACAGTTGCCACTTTAATTTGGACTGTGCGGAGCTGTAGGACTAATATTATTATGCATAGAGATAACCTAAAGTGGCGGAGCAGGGAGCATGCGCTTTGAACGCTCTTGTTGCCTCCGTCTTGCACAGGCGGGAGAGTGGACTCAAGCGGTTTGTGCCCGGCTCACTGCTGGAGACGATGAAGCGAAAAGAGCTGCGCAAGCTTCTGAGTCACTTCCTCAAGCAGAACCAGGCAACACTGTGTGCCCCTGGACAGAAGCAGCTGACACCTCTGCAGGCCAAACTGCACTACCTCAAGGTCATCAGTGAGCTCTCCAGCTATGGTGCCAAGGTGTTCGCCACCAGCACCAAGGTAGGCTGCCACTTTTAATAAAGTGACAATAGTTTTTTTTTTTAATGGCTGCTCTTACCACAGGCCTGTAGAGAAATTCCCATGTTTCGTTCTTGTTATTGTACCAATATCATATTTACTAGAATATTTCAAAGTACTATTGCATTTTCATTGTTATAAAAGTACATAGGCAATGTTAGCCAACAGTTGCCAACATGTATCCAGAAATAGCCATTATCGTTTCGCCAACATCAGTGGGTGTAATTGGCTTGTAACTAGAACTAGCTGCCTCCCATTCAGCTCCTAACTGAGACCAGTTGTCCTCCAGCTAGGACTGATTGGTCTGTAGCTGGAACTAGCTGGTGATCATTTGGCATGTAGCTGGAACCCACTGCATTCTAGTTAACTCCCCACTGAGTGGGCCTGTCAGTAACTGGTTCCAGTTGGTTTCCAACTTGGAGCAATTGGTCTGAAATTTGTGCCATCTGGTCCTCAACTTGGGACTGTTGATTTCCAAATGCGACCAGTTAATGCCAGTAAAATTCCGAATTCCAATTTGCACATTTTCATCTTAAGTGCTAGTAGTATGTGAGTTAATGTGGTATGCATGCAACTGGGCCAACTAGCTACCTTGCTGAAGAAAGACTCTTCTTGGGACATGTTGAATTCAGTCAGACATGATCATGAACATCATGCCCTGTTACAGTAAGTTGGTGAAACAGGCCCACCCCCCAAAAAAGAGAAAGCTGTTGGGTTCAGCCAGAACGAAGTGTTCCTTGCTTGCGTACAGTATCTTGGTTGTACAAGCAGTGATTGAATGGCACTAATTTTATGCCCTACAGGACTCTAGCACCGAGACGGGAATAATGATAAGCCCAAAGTTCGGAATCAGCCAGATCAACAATGCACGTGGAACAGTGCCTATTGTGAGTGTTGAGGCCTCTTTATTTTTCTCACTCTCAGTGTAAAGTCACGTAAAGAGATGGTCACACAATGCTGTTTTTTTTTTTTAGCAACCTGTAACATTGGCTCAAATAGAAGAGGTGTCATCCGTCACAGTCACAAGGGATGAGGACCTTGCCTGCCATGTTGAGATCAACATCAAAGACCCAGACAAAGAGGTTGGCACTTTTACATCACTGTATGTTGACAAAGCTTGTGTCCTTATGCACTACACAACGAAATAGAATTGCATCTTCACGAGCTTGACTCATTTCTTTTGCATTTTGCTGATAACCAATTTGACGTGAACTTGCTGTTATTGTGTTACTGTGTACTCGTGCGTAATGCATTTTTGTCTCTGTGAACATTGTCTTGAAATGTACATGATGAAGATCTTCACTCAGGTTCCATGTATGATGCAGACAGTGTTGTACATTTTCTCATCTGCAAAAGTACCAGAGATGATGTTGCGGAATGTACAATGATACATTTTCATATATACATACTCTGAGCTGATACGAGTCGTGACATTAGATTCAATAACTTCCAACTGCTTTCATTATTATGGTTGCACGTAAGTGTCCTTTTGCTTTCTTGGAACAAGGGAGTGCCTAGCTTTGTCATTTTCTATTTTAAGATGGTGATTTCTAATCCTTTTCTATCGGTACAAGGTAACAGTACAAATTATGGGGGAAAGCATTTGTTATTATAATCATGAAACCTAGAAGTAGTTGCCGAAACACCTCCGATTCCTTATTACAGCTACTATCACAAAAAGCCTTCTCATTCGTTTTTTTTTTTTTTTTTCTGGTTTGCTCGCTCGTGTGCTGTTGTGTGTGCTTCTGTTGTGCTATGCCCCCACAAGCCACCGATTTCGACTTTTAAAGGGGGCAAGAAGCTAAGTCTGTTTATCAGTGTGCATCATGACATTGAGCACTTTTTTTTCTCTTATTTCTTTAAAAGTTCAGCTTACTTTCAGTGCGACCACGGGCTTGTTGGTGAAATTCTATACTGTGCTATTCTAAAACTATCAAGCGCAGTGCGGGCACTTCACGGCATCCCATGGTGGCTGCGGTAACTATGCAGGTCACGATTCTCAAATCAGCCACCAACCATAGACTTTGTGTTTGTTCTCAGGAGCCTCACCTACCGATAGACAATGCTTAAGTAGTGTTGCCGATCCACTTTTTATTATCGATTCTGTTTCTATGTTGAACAGAATCTCAAATTTGGACTGGATGACCATGAAACATCTGAGCTGGTGTTCATCCTCAAGGGGTACCACAAACTGTTGGCGTCACGAGACCTTCCTGTTCACTGGGAGACAGAGGATCCATGGAAAGTTGAAACGGGTGAGTCAGCTTGGACTGGTCTCAGTAGAAATTGTGTCAGTTTGCACCTTGCCGTGTTGAGAACACTTCAGGTGTGCAATGTCGTGGTACTTCTGTGAAGATTTCACCCTTAGTTATACTGCTAATAGTCAAATAGTATAAGCTTTCACCACCAGTACAAATAATGAAGATGCAAGATTTGTTTGATGTTATTTACCTTGTATTAATAATATAATATACAGGAACACAAAAGACTGAATGGATGCACATTTCAGTCTCTTGCAGACTATAATAATTTCCTTCTTCAAAGGCATCACCTTAGCTAAGCATTGATAAAGCAGTGACATGTGTGCGCTGCATCATAGGTGAAAATTTTTTTTACCCATTTGTGCTATCTTCAGTGCCAAATGGGACATGGCCAGAATGCTTAAAGGCAGTGGTAGTATGGTCACTTGTTGCAATATTGCTCAGGTATTTGTAATACTTTTGGTTGCTGCAATAGTCAAGTGAACTGAATAAATAATTATTCTATTGGTGTAAAGTAATCCTTAATCGATTCGGTTGCATATTCACAGCACCATGCTTCCATGGAACCCACATTGTGTGCCCAACTCCCTGGAGTTACACACCCTCGGAGGAGACTCCAAATGGCCCAATGGTGAAGAGTGTGGATTTGGCCCTGCCGCCCCCAGCTTATGTTCCTTGCGAGGTGAGCTTGCCAAGCTTATGTTAGACGAGCTAATCACTTTGCCTGTTACTGCACAGTGCTGGCTCATCATTGTGGTGCTGTGTTCGACTCAATGCAGGAAGAAATGCTATCATTGCAATGGAGACAAACTTGTGAGACTACATTATGGGTAAATATGATGCTAGGGTGATAAGGAAAGGCCAAGAGGTTAATGAAAAGTACTAAAGGTGTTGATAGCACCATGCTAAGCTACATTCTTTGCTCTGCGCTCATTTTAGCACTCACCTCAGACCAGTAATTGACTATGTACTACATTTACTTTTTTTAGCCATATGATTCAGTCATGTGACGGCAGCCCAGATACAGTTGAGTGCAAGCTTGTAATGAAAACACAGACTATCCCTGTATATCCAATAGCTCTATAACAATTGTGCTGAGAATGGGAGTTAATAAATGATTTATTTAAATTTTCCTAAAGAGCACACATTAGCAGGAGAACAGCATTAAGATTGCAGCCAGAAAAAGCGTAGCATAGTGAATACAAAGCAGGCACAAAAGTTTCACAACTTATTTGTTTTGCAGCTGCCTGACCGCGGCATGTCGCGGAGTAGCTCGCGGGAGCAGTGCTCTCTGGTGGCCCTTTCCAACTCGGTGGACCACAACATGAACGAGACAAGTCCTTTGCAGCCACTAAGCCCAAGCCGCGTCCTTCGCTCACCTGTGCTCGGTGCAAGCAAGATGGAACAACGCTCTCTGCTGCTGACATCCAATGGCCACCAGCAGGCTTCAGACTCCGCATCTTCTACAGCAGATGACGACTCTGAGGAGCGATCGGTCAAGTTCGACATCATGGATGACGATGATGAAGAGGAGGAGGAGGAGCCTGTTGTACTTGAAGTGAGTGTGGACCCGATATTAGCACGACTATCGCGTGTGTTGACTAACAGCAAGCATCTGTGTGTGATATTGGCGCACGAAACTGTGCACAATGTTCAAAGTTACATAAAATGTATTTTACACATCAGATGAAGGCTTACAAAGAGGCACGTGCACAGCCTTTAAATACATATAGCTTTTTGAATTGTTACTCTGAAGACTCATTCATACCTGCAACTAGAACGGGTCACGCAACCGAGCTAGTTGCAAAGCAACTGCTTTGACGGAGTTTCTCACTGCTCAATTTTTTAGTTGCACGACACAGTCACAAATTTCTCGGCTTATTTTACAAAGCAATGGGAGCGTGAACCATGTGCGACCAGTTGTTAATTGTGTGTGGCGACGGGTGCAAGTGGCACACAGGTGCGAAAGTTAGTCGCCTTGAGTTGCCTTGCAGTCGCACAACAAAAGTATGTCATTAGTGTGAATGAGCATCGAGATAAGTATGCTTTTTGTAAAATAATGAAGAAATGCATGCCACTCCCTGTTAGGTTCCCCCAACACAAAAAAGTCTCACTCGATGCACATTAAATGTGTGAATTTCAATCTAGTAATAATATTGCAGCTTATGAGAGTTACTTTATAATGAAGGGTGTTATCAGTGATTGAAGGCGTTATGTTGTGTTGTTGTTTGGTCGCGATAGACAAGGGACCAGACCAGTCAAGAGAAAAAGTAAAACTGTTTATTCTCCAGATACAGACTTGGAAGTGCTATGTAGGTGGTGCTAGTTGTTAGTCTTTACTTCGAGGGCAACGCACAGATGGCAGCACTTGAAGATTAGCTGGGATACTGCGCGCATATGTAACATGCCCTTTTTTTTATTGTACCATCTTTCAAGTTTTAAATGAAGTCGCTGCTTAAGAGTGGATAGCAAGCGGGAGGCTTGGTGGAATGCGTAGTGTGAGGTGGGCGAGAACGTTCCTCAACATGCTGTGTTGGTCGAAATATTGCGCGGTCGATTCTGAAATTTGGCGAAGTCTTGCTGGAGTTGTTTGGATCAAAGTTGATACTGGAAGTGCTTTATCGTGATCATTCCACTTCGTTGTATTCGTTGCAGTTCTGTCGACTTTGTGCTCTAACGTGCTGGGTACACAGCGTGAAGCTGACAATGTGGGAGTTTCTCCTTCTTTCAGTTGTATAGAATAATCTTCAGGTAGTTTACTGGTGCCTTCAAATGCATCCGGAAAGTTGTTGAGCGCGTCTTCAAGTCACCTTGTTGCTGTGCACGCAGTTATAGTTGTTCGCTGCGGTTGCCTTCTCATGATCAGATTCAGAGCTTCGGACACATTGGTGCCCAGAATTGGCTTCAGTGGTTGGCTGACGATGAGAAATTTTAGTTTAGCATGCACTTTTTTCTTTAGTTGAGCAGTGTAGCTCGCATTGAGCATCGATGTAAATTTGCTGTCCCGTATAAGTTGTCACTTGTGCTGCAGTTGGCTTGAATGGAGGCTGTGTTGGCTATGTGTTGAGCTGATCTTTAGGCATAATGGTAACGTTGGAGCCGGTATCGAGCTTGAAGTTGACATTGTGACTATTTACGCTGACCGTTTCTGTCCACTCCGAGTTGCTGATGTTGTGGAGGTTTGAGACTCTCCAAAAAAAGTGTTGCTGCTGATCCTGTTGCTGTGGATCTTCAAGGAGACCTATTCGCTGGCGGTACGTATAGCTGCCTCGTTGCCTTGTTTACACAGGCTGGCAAAATGCCAGACTTTGCCACAGTTACAACAGCTGCAACCTTAGGCAGGGCATTCGTGTGGACTGTGCATTGTTCCACAGCGGGAACGCTTTTGTTGCAGCTTCAGCTGCGGTTTCTGTTAACGGTTCTCTCTTGTTGCTGGTGTTTGTGAATTCCATTGCTACGGCTTCAGTAGGGTTCGCATATCGAAATTCGGCTTCTAGAGCTCTTTTATGTGCTTCTTGGATATTTCCGCTGCTTTGCACCTCATTACGATTTTGTCGAGGGTGAGGTTTCGTTCACAAAAAAGGCATTCTCCCAATGCTGCCTCTCTGATTCCCATGACAATGCAATCGCCAATAAGTCGGTCATTTTTCTCCCCAAAGTCGCTTCTTTCTGCTTGCCTCAGCAGGTCCATGACAAACTCATCGAATGTTTGGTTTTCTTTTTGTTTCATCATTCAACACAGCAGACACCTGCATTACGTTTTTGTGTGGTCTGTAGAGCGCGTCGAACTGTTCCAGGAGGTGCGTAACCTGGTCCGTCGACTGCTCGCCGTCGGTGCTTGGAGGTGGAGGGGGGAAAGTCAGGGCGACGTGGCGGCCACGGGGCCCAAGAAGATGGAGAAGTAGGACTCTACGCGTTGCCGCGAGCTTGTTGGCATACTTGCACTCTTGCTCGTAGATGTTGTATGCTTTTTACCATTCCTCCCAGGCTTGCTGCGGGTTGACACTTGGCTCAAAATGTGATGTTAGTTGCAAGAAGACGTTGGCTATAGTTGCGTGGTGGTTGCGATCACTCTGATACCATGTTGTGTGTTGTTGGGTCACGATAATCACGAGACCAAGCCATTCAAGGGCAGAAGTGGAACTGTTTATTCTCCAGATACAGACTTGAAAGCACAACGTAGGTAATGCTAATTATTAGTCTTTAGTTTGAAGGCAACGCACTGATGGCAGCACTAGAAGATTGGCTGGGATACTGCACACATATGTAATCGAAGACACACAAAACAATGTTTCATGCACAGTTGTAACAATCAGTGTTTATATGATTCTGTTTTATGTCCTTGACAAAGCAGAATGTGGGAGAAGTCGTAAAAGTTTGGCACTGCTTTACGTTGAATGCTAAATGGAAATTTCCAGCTTAGATTTTGCCCTAAACAAAACTCTAGCAATGCATGGAATGTGAGTAAGCCAACATAGGCCTAGTCACAACGTGGTCATAAGCCTTCAGGAATTAAAAACTGTCAGTTTCATCGGATGGCATTTCTAATCTGATATGCAGAAAAGTGTCGACACAGTGTGCTTAAAAGCCTAAAATTCAAAATCTGCAATTGCTGTTCAAATTGGAAATTATGGTAGTCTATAGTTAGTTCACCATTCAGAAATGTTACAACCAGTGTGTAACAGCAGCTACTTCAAAAGCAAAAGCATAATTTTCAAGAGGTCCCGTTGCATTTGCCTGAAACAATAAGTTGATTCTCCCCTGCCTCCTCCTAAAGCTTCCTGCTCCTCACCTGGTTTTGCACTGCCTCTGTTAGCACCTTACCTCTGACCAAGAAATGGTCGTGTGATGATGCCATCATGTGTCATCATCTTATGTTGCATCACAAATACATCATGATGTTATATGGTGACACTATCACATGCTAATGACCTTTTGCACCACTTGTGCTGATGTTGGTGCCAACGTCTTTAGATGCTGCTGACGGTCAATTTTCAAGTTTTATAAAGCATCTAAGGCTTTTCGCTTTAATATAAGATTATTGTAACATGAACATAATGACAAATACAGTACCTCATTCACGTCTTGTCATTGCAGGTGAAAAATGAGGAGGTGCTGCGTAGGGTGTCAGAGATGCGGCGGATGGTAGCAGATGCTGAAAGCTATCTGTCTGACGGCAACCGGCCAGCAAATCAGCCACCGCTTCCAGCCAACGAGTCGACCAGCAGCGAAGAGCGCGAGGCAGGCGGCCCCACCATCCGTGCGGCCGACTCACTCTTGCTGCTCACGCAGCTGGATGACGTGTCGGAAGCACTCAATGAAGTTGCAGCTATGGCTCCAGACGAAGCTGCAAGTGAGTCAGACACAGACAGCTTCAGCACGCCAACGCAGAGCCCTCTCCACCGAACCTCGAGACTTGCCGCGACAACAGAGCCGTCTGCTCCAAACAAGCGTGGACGCAGCGGCTCCAGTTTTGGCCTTCACAGTCCAGATATGCTGCCAGGGATAGGATCTGGAGACCGTGATCTTCTTGAGTTGCTGAAGCAGCTGCAGTCAAACCCTGACATCCAGCTCCCATTTGATGAGGGAACGCTGTACTTGGACCCGGACATTATTGATCTGACCATGATCCCGCCTCCGATGACGCCTGATGCAGATGCCATGGGAGATGTCCCAGGCACGCTGGACGTGCCTCCAATGCCTTTCTCGGATCGTGGTTTCCCGGGTAATCCTGCCTTGACAAGTGCGTTTCACTGTTCAACTCTTTTGCTCTGGCGTGATTCTTACAGATGCTGTGATGCCTAAAGGAAAAACAAAGCTTGTTCTGCTGAAGTTAATGTCTTCCAGTGATGACGACAAAAAATTAATGCGGACTCATAAGAAGTTTATGAACTGTGCTTATGCCAAGCACACTGATTCCACTCCTGTGCCAATTGCACCTAAGTGCACCGAATTAGATTTGCTGCACTATTCTGATAAAAGCTACGTAAATTGCACCAAACTGCATCGTAGTTTCCAGTTTGACAGTGTTGATTATTGGCAACCACACTTCCGGCATGTCACACACATGTGCATCATGATCTTAGAGTCACCGAAGTCACACTCATGACCAGGGATTATTGTGCAGGCAAACAGCACTTGGAAGTGTGTCCCAGTAAACAGTGATGCCACGGAAGGTGCGGACTCAGCTTCTATTATACAAGTTGGCTCAAAAGCAAAACGCGCTCTTCGCAATGGCTCTTGGCTTTTAGGCCAGTTGGTGGTGGCGATTCTTTGGCATAATTCTTTGTTCTATAAAGGCTGCTGGCAGCTCATTTGTAGTCTTGAATTGTGTATAGTTTATCAAATAATCAATCAAAAGTATCAGTACAATCGAATGACAAGAAACAGACGTTGGCTTTTGTCTTCGAACAATGCGTAAAAGGGACCAATTTTTTGCGTGGAGGCATGGGCTCTAGCAAGGGTGGTGCGATGAAGCAATACCCCCCTCGCTCGTGATGAGCTGATGACACGTCTAGTTCTTGCATAAATTTCATTTTCGAATGAATCTGAAAATGTATATCTTGTGAACTGAAGAACGTGAAAGGGGGAAGCTCAGCATGGTCTATTGCTCAATAAGCAATGCTCTTTCCAATGATGAAGATGGCTGTTCGGGCTTGTTTGTACAGTAAAATCTTGATACAATAAATTTCAAGGGACCGCTAAAAATCATTTTTTATTTTGAAAAGTCGTTCTAGTGTAAGTATTAAAATTTGCACAAAAATCATTAACGAAAACAGGAGAGTTGCCTGCCTGTGCTGTGTATACACTTGCAATTGCGTTATGCTAAAATGAGCACAAAAAACAAACACGAATATTATGGAACCAGTGCACATTTATTTGAGGAAGAGTGCGATCCATCCTGATGTGGTGAGCACGACTGCTGAACTCTTGAATGTGCACATCCTTCTTACGCACTACAAAGCGCTGGCGTTAAACACCAATTCTTCATTTTTGTTCACGTGCGATGTTTCAACGTCATCTTTGCTCTCGTTTGCTCTTTCCTTATCACGACAAATGGTATGGATCTTATTGGTCGTCAGCTAAGCCAACGTGCATGCTTCGTCATCGCACTGTGCATAGTGTGCGAGCATTAGTGAAGCATGCACATGTAGTCATGGGTGACCGGGCGACTTCATCCCATAGGTTACTGGCGTTTCATTTTCCACTGTCGTACCATTCCTTTTGGGCTGCTCATCTTGAACGTTCAATCACGAACCAAAAGGCTGGAATACGGCCATATAACAAGAGCGCATGTAAACCTGCCCGACGCAGTCAAAGGCAATGGGCGAAGCCTGACGCGAAAAACGAGTATTAGGCAATGATGATGGCGAGGGCTATCACACATTTGAATATGGCTAGCAGATAGAGAAATAGGAGGGCATTGTGATGATGATGATAGTGGCAGGTACGGAGCTAGGCATTGTTTTCACAACAGCTCGTAACTTTTTAAAATCACTATTCGTTATTTTAAAGTGTTGTGAAGATACAAGGGGGATGAAATTCAATATGTTATTCAATATATTCGCTATTCTGAAATTCGTAGCAGTGAAATGCTATATTTTCATTAACCAATAGACATTTTGAGGGGTATTTTCGAAAAAGTCACTAATCTGGGGTTTGCTGTAATGATATTTAACTGTATTGCATAATACAATAAAAGCTCATTCACTCAAACTCAATGGGGACTAAAAAAATTTTCAAATTGAGCGGCATTCGAATTCTCGAATGAACTGACATCGCATCGCACTGCGCAGGCTAAACTCACTGTCATCTCTGTACTCATTATCACTGACTAGGCACTACTCAATGTTTGTGGCAAGTGATTTTGCAAAGTAAGTTTGGGGAGCTCTAATAACGAACAGAATTAATTGACCAGCCAGTGATACACCAGTAGCACTGACATGCATTCTTGTGAGCAGTGGGCCTGAATGTGAAATATGACATTATTTGTGCTCCAAAACATGTTCACTTACATGGCAAAATGGAAGAGTTAATGCAATCAAAATGAAAAGTACATAATCAGAAAATGGCCTTTGCTTGCACTCCTGTGACTCCATGGCATCGTTTGCAGCTTGTCCAAGAGCTCCAATACAGCATCCAAATTCTCATCTGCTGAGAAATGCTGCTATTTTGTATCTCGAATAAATTTGGTTTGGTTTGGTTTTACAATAATTGTGATCACCTTGGGCCAGCTTCTGCAAGGAGCAATCAAAACCAGGGGCTCCCATTTCAGTTCAATTTAACCATTGAAGACGCCGACACGTTTGAATCATCGGTAGGTTTCTCCCATTACACATGACTGTGCTGGGTCCGGGGCCTCAAAGTATATCCTAGAGGGATAAGCGAATAGTAAACCAGCTGTTTAAGGTGAGTGTCATGTTATGTCAAGGGTGCCTTTCTTTTGTCTTGGTCCTTAGCCTGTGCTACCATCAAGTATTACTCTTCGCAACCCTAGTCTCACTGAAGAACTGTGCACGGTTTTATTTTGTGCTCGTCTTTTCTGTCACTTGCGCAGACTGCACACTACAGGCCACTGACACCGACCAGGTCGACTCGGCGCGAGTAGTGGCCGAATTGGACAACCTGCTGTGATGCACTGACCGAGATGCGTGCTTCGGGCAATGAGCTGGGCTGCGACGCCATTTTTCAGCAGCTGGGCTGCCAAGATCTGGAGAGCTTCATCGCGAGTGTGACTGTGCCCCCGCCCCCAACGTTATCGGATGACATGCCCCCGATGCTACTGCCAGACAGCGATGACGACATCGCCTCATACATCATCCCTCCGCCACCTCCGAGCTGCGACGAAGAGCAGAACGAAGTGCTGGCCCGCTTCGAGCGTGCTTCTGAGGACATGCGTCGCTTCATAGGCGGTGCCAGCACGGAAGTCAACAGTCCCGCCTTGGAGCCACCCGCATTTGAAAGCCTGAAAGTGCTGTCGTATGGCAGCTTACTCGAGCCTGCCAATGCACCAAGTCCCACAGTGAGGGAGCGGCGAGGCTCTGACGACAGCCATACGTACGAGAACTGCGAACTTTCAAGAGGGTCGCAGGAAACACACTCGGCCCCACAATCACTTCAGAACGGGCTTCATGAATATGAAGACATGGCTTTTGGCAAACCGCGAGTGCCACCAAGGCTCCGGAGGATGGCAGGTGGCAGTAGTGGTAGCTCTGATTTGACAGCATCTGGGACGGCACCAAAGCGAGACCGTACAGGGAGCTGCGACAACATCCAGGTTTCTGGAAGTTCACTAGCTCAGCGGCAAGTGGCTCGGTCACATTCGTGGACGAATCTCCAGGGTCCCGTGAGCCCAGGTTTAACTAGGAAAGGAACAACTGGGAAGCCTCCACTTGCCTCCAGGCCTCTCCTTTGCACAGGTGGGGAGAGAGTAACATTATCAATATTGATACTATCTACATCGAATAGCACAGTGATAAAATAAATGCATTTAGAAAATCATCTTGCTACTTGCCAACAAGTGTCAAGTCTGCAAGAGGAAAACAATAAAAGATACATCCTGTCTGTAATTTTTTTTATCCTGACTGTCAAATTCGCTTCATCAAGCCATTAAGTTGCATTAGAACTTGCGGTATAAGCCTACACATCCTACTAATTTGGAATGTTTGCATGGCACACATGCAATTAGTTCAATGAAGTATTCAATGAGCTGTCACATAGATACAACTGTGGCCAGTTTTGACAGTTGTGAGATAAGCTAATAAATGGGTCCTTATTTCATTCATAGCAGATCTATGCTTGTGTCATTGTCGGATTTTTCATTGTAGATCAATTGCACTATTGTTTCCTCTCTTGTTACTACAGGATCACCCAAAGCAGCCACTGCCAGGTGGTTTGGACCATGCTGGCATTGCACGCTGTGGGTCAGCTAGCCCCCACCCTTCCTCGAGTCCACTAACTTCACGTAGGGCAGGGTCGCTCCGCTCCGGCTCCGTAGGCCGGGCCGGCGGCCGCCACTTGAGCAGCAGCTCGCATGGACGCTATCATCAGCGCAGTAGCTCTCTCAACTCGGAGTCTAGCAGCACTGCCTCCCTTCTAAATGGTATCAATGGCTGCACCTGCTTTCCACTTGGCTCAGGCAGCCCGTCTTCAGCCTGCCCCAGATGCCAGGCTGCAGAAGACACCAGCAGCTCAAAACAACCAGTGGCAGACTCTCCCTTCTTGCGCGCACAGGAGGAGGTTTGCGGAATGGTGCTACGACTCGAAAATGCCCTCAGGGCTGGGGACGCTAGAGGCGACGTTGCTACCTCGACTAATGACAGGCAGGCCAGGGAGACCCTGCTGGCCAAGTCGCGTCAGTTTGTGACTGCTTCCAAGGTGTTTGTGCGCAGTGCAAGCGAGAACTCTGAGCAAGTGACCGCGCAGCTGGCCGCGTGTATGTCGCTTCTGGATAGCATGTGTGCAGCTGCTGAGCAGCTGGCCCTCTCCGGCCCTGCCTGGGCATCCCTGGTCGAACAAGTCAAAGCAGTGGCAGTGGCATACTGCACGTGCCACCGGGGCGGTTGACGGTGCCACCGTGGGCTCACTCATGCACCAAGCAACGGACCTAGCCTCTACACTGACGGCACTCATGCGGACTCTTCGCTCACTGGACAGCTCCTAATGTGCCCCCCCCCCCCTTTTTTTTGCCCCTTTTTTTTTCTCGCAAGCTCAAGGCTGCTTTCTTCCTCTGCTCTCAGCCTGCACGAATGGCACCAAGCCAGTTTTCGCATTGAGGCGCTCTCTCACAACTGCATTTATGATAGCCATAGAAAAGCTGGAAAAAAGATGAAAGGTCAAAGAGTAAGGAAACTCTCAGCACGTGCTAACATGTATGCACTGACCAACGCTGCCCCCAACGATTCCTCTAGCAGTGAGGAAACGCTGCAACAGTGGTGCTACCACAATTCTGCTTCGAGCTTTTTCTTTTTTTTTTTCCATACAAGGCAGATAGGGACCAAAATATAGTCCATCAATGGGCTCATTTCGGTCTCCTCACGGTGCAAGCGGATCTCGCTTGGGCAGACAAAGTGCACCTCCATACAAGGTGTGCCGTGTTTCAGAAGGAATACAGTAGTCAGTGGGCTTTATGAGGACAATGTGCAGCTGTGGGTCAAAATGCTCAGGAGGTCATACAGGTACATTGTGCACATTTTGTGAGTGCAACGATTGGAATCGTGGTGGAGAACGCTCGGCAACAGATGGTACGTTGCTTACTCTCACCACCGAGTTCTTGTTTTGGCAGCCTTGCTACATTTTTAATTAACAATAGCAAACCTAAATGTATCCCACCAAACATTTGCAATACTGTTGTAAACAACAGAGTGCAAAAAAATGCTTTATAAAGCAAAGTGGATCGACGTATGGCTCAGACTAAAGCAGACAAGATGTTTCACCGCTGGTGACTCGTAAAACCGATGCAATTTTTGCGACGCTGCAAAATTTATGAGCATTCACTTTTGGGCTAAATGTTGTGCATGATGCAGCTTTAACAGAGCCATGCAGCAACGCTCGAACAATGTCGATATGTGTACATTTTCGAGAAGCTGTGCTGAAAAAAAAATTTGAAGCATGTTACACTCTGTACGATGTTGTATCATGGCTGTATCGCTGAAAGGCAAAAGCCTGCTGCACACTTAATAATATATTAAGTTATACTATCTGAAACAAGACTTCCTGCAAGACATAACGAGACGAAATCTGAGAGACACTCATTAAATTACCCTTACATTGTCAGTCAATTGAATTGTTCCTCCCCCACTGAAGGTTTCTGCATGTCAGACATCACGTTACCTCCAGGACAGGCCCACCTTTGACCAAGTAATGACACCGTGTGATGAATTCACAAATTTTGGCAATCTGTGACTTCACGGCATTATGTCATTAATGATATAAGTCATTTGTCTGCCACGTTTCAAACTAGAGGCCACTGAAGAAGACGCTTCTGGTTTTCGCTCATTTTCATGCCTATCAGTTAATGCATGTAAAATTCAGTGTAGGCCGAGAAATTTTTGGAAAGGCAGACAACCATTTCATTTCATTAATTTGTACATCACATAACATAGGAAAATACCGTACAAGCGATGCCTCACACAGCAGAGTCTGCAGAACAGAAGTTCGAAAGTGCAGTCTTTCATGCATTATACAAACAAACTACTTCATACAATTTTAAACTTCTCCACATTTACCTATGCCATGATATATCCATCAAGTGCATCAGGCGTTAAAGAAGTGTCTTCATGTTTCCTAGAAGGTCCCAAGACATTCACATCTTTGACAACCTCTGAACAGTTACTTTCACTCATCATTGAACATCAAAGAAGCGACAAAAGGGTGGGATAGGCCTGTAATCCCATGGGTTCAGAAGAAAGGCCCACATTTAGCTTAGTAACGTTCTTTACTTTGCAAGCAGATTGTGGGAGCTCGTATATCTCATTTAACAACGAAGAGCCCTGAAAATGTTCATGTGCGTAACTGCATTGCATACCAGCTTAGGAAAGCGTGTGTTTCCTGCATACTACATCATGGCAACGGCAGTGAAGTATGTGACTGGAAGTGCGCATTCAAAATTTTAGGCATTAAAATGGGCACGATGGGCAGCTATAGAAACGACAGAGGCTGGGGTTGTCTACGGTTCCACCTCTGATATGAGATTGAAGAGCATACTTTCTCACGTGACTTCCAATGCCATAAATTAAGGAATGCTCCGTTCATTTCAGCCGATGGCACCTTGCATGATCTACCGTCTCCACCAGATATATTGAAAATCTAGAGTGCCCCGCTTTGCAACCAGGCACAATGCCGGACCTTGAAGTGTGAAAATATGAAATCACCATTGAAAGCTTCAGCACATCCCAGAGACATGCCAATCGATGCTGCAGCTCTTGCGTGTCCCTGCTATCCAAAGCCAGTGGTCTATTTGTCTGCGTGGTTGCGCCGCAAATGTTGGTTCAGATTTGCTGCATTCCGTCACATGTGCTATTTTTATTTTCTGGTCGCTGTAAAATTGTAGCATTCAGCACAGGACTACAGGAAAGGGATATTACAAAAGGGAACCATAAACGATACTCAAGCTTTCATCTTTTTTGTTACAAGTATATTAGGAATGGGATGTCCAAACTTTTTTTTTGCTTTACTGTCCACTATCTCACAGAGTTGCCTTGAAAAAACGTGTTGGCCGACACGCATTCCTACACGTGTACAGTGTTGCAGATACAGAAAGCAGGTCTGCCAACCTCGTACAAAGCTTTTCTGACATGTCTCTAGCCATGGTGGCCACGAGATGAAAAAAAAAAAAGTGTCCCAGCAAAGCGGTTTCTATAAGCGGACAACTTCGGCTTTAGTAAATCTGTAGTAAATCTCGGCCAGGTACTAAAAAAACAAATGTAAATCTCAGTTGGTATCATGAATCGATCAAATCTTCGCTCCTATTTCCGACATGTCTGGCTCATACAGTTCATTCAAACCAGCAGAGTAACATTCATTCAAACAACAGCGAAGTATCCTGCTGTGCTAATTAGCGTCAAAATGTTATAAACAGAGAGTTTTATATATTGGTGCAAAGCCAACAGCTGATCGCAACCCTCACTGCAATACTGCCATCAATGGTTACCATCAATGAATGTCTTAGAACTGCTGGTGTATGGCTTATAAAGTTGAAAGATAAGCTTATACAAGAACTAGAAGAGTAAGTGCAATATTATGACTTAGGGAAACCCATGGATAAATGACCAGTATGAAGCATGCATGTTTCCTGCAACACTTTGCAGATCTTAGATTTTTTCGCTGAGTGCTTTTAACATGGCAGCTAGCAAATCCACTTTTGTTGTGGCTATATTTGCAAGGTCCAACATCATCTGACGGAGTACCAATTAATTAAAGTTGTTTCTATGTACAAGAAGATAGGGCAAGAAGAGAGGGAATAACAGTTGCTAATAAAAACTGATCCAAAGTATCCTGTCCTGAACACTTTTTAATGCTAATCTCGTGTCCATCATGGCTAATGTTTAAAAAAAAAGACCTTACTAGATGTTTTTATTTTAAAAGAGTGCTCATATAGAACAAATAGTTGTGCTGATAAACCATCTCAGTGGAATGTATTGTTAACACCCAAGTTTATGTTTGTGCCAGAATTTCTAGATATATTTGTTGTTATTGTAGTTTTGCTGGCTCATTTTCAAGGAACCTTGTTATAACAGCGCATTTAAACGGCATTTTGCACGGCTAACGGAAGAGTTGTTCTTCCTGTGTGCTATACACTTTTTTTTTTCCTTTGTTTGTGGTAAGAGTTTTCTGACAATGTGCAATTTTAAACATGGACCGATGCCTGCGTTTCCAGGAGAGTTTTTGTGCAAGGCCAGCAATACATAACACCTATCAGAGAATCTGAAGCTTTCACAAAAAATTCTTTTTTAAATACTATATGAGCAATGATAATTTTACATTCTCATTTAAGCCCTGGTCAAGGTGTGGGTTGTAGCAATAAAGTGCATTACGAAGTGCTGGCTTGTCACTGCAGTACTGCGTTGCGAATGTTCCAAGGTATATATCACGATTACGAAGAGAGAGAGATGTTGCTGTTGTAATAAGATGTATTTTTCTCCTGTGTAGTTATACGTTTGTTAGAGCTGTCATTTGCATGTACCAGATAAAATGGAACGAAATAAGCCCAGAGCCCTCGCACCATTCTATGCGAGGACCATGACACCAGCATTTTTTTTAACAATGTTGTTGAATGGAAGTTGCTCATGTCAATCCCACTTGTACAATAACAAAAAAAAAAGGAGCTGGGACACACATACACAAAGAAAAAAAATGTGACAAATATGGAAGATACATTCAAGCTTTTTATTTCAATAATAAAGACTTAAAAACGAAGATGGCTCTCCGAGTGTGTTAACTTAGCCATATCATATTTGAAACTTTGGGGCAGTTCGGCTGCACTTGAAAGGTTTTCTGCTATAGCAACTTGAGTGGCCCCAGATGTGCAATAATGAAGTCCAAACTATTCAACCATTTCACTCTTGTAACACAACTTTCTTGGCGGTCTTCCCAACCTTGACAGCACTGCCAGGACGCTCTCAAAATTATCATTCAAGTACGACGTTAATAAAGCGAGATACGTGGGAATGTTCAGCAATCGCGCTGGGGAAAAAAACAGCGACAACAAAATAATGATGGTGAAAGGCACACAACTTTTTCAGAGCCCAACAAGTGCGGAATATTGAGGCCACTGGACGGATTGCGCAGCGGTGGCCACGCTGCGTGTTGAGGAAACATGTGCTTGTCGACTAGGAGACAAAGCAGCTCTTCTCGGACTTTTGCTGTAAAGGAGCAGACAAAAAGATGGGCAGGGGGGGGGGGTGTTACTTTGGGTGCAGCATTGTATAATCAATATCGCAAACTTGCTACTTTAACTACAGAAGTCATGCAATGCGCTGGCACAGTCTTCTTAACAAGCCATTAACAAGTACATCAGCTGGTGCATCCTTAAAATTACAAGATCACACTTTTAGGGTAGGAATATGGCAAAGGGAAAAAGCACATGAAAAAAAGAAGTTAACACTAAGGTCTGGAGTTTAGGCTATATGGGACGCCACCATGTAGGGCTCCAGATTAATTTGGTTGTTTCCGGGAATAAAACCCATAATCTAATGCTTAGTAGCACCATGACATAGCTACAGGGCCATTCGTTTGCAGGTAAAAAATTCATGAGTGATTGAATTAAGATTGACAATGCTGACTTTAGGTTAGCTTTCTTATAGCCTTTCAATGAACATCAGTTGGAAGCAAGCTACTGTATTTCCTATACAAGTCCCTCTTACTGCCTTCTATAATGCTTAAAGCCATGCGGTGAAGGCATCAAGCCACGTTTTTAGTTTTAAAGGACCACTGATAGCGAAAGTTCTGTTTGCGACATTTTTTACAGCAATTTGTAGCCTTACATCTGGCAATACTAAAACTGAATTGTGAATGCTTCAACACATTATAATAAATGCCAGTGTTGATAATACAAAACGATTTTTCGTCAGTTCAAAACGTCGAACTAAATACCATAAGAAGAAGTGCCCCACAGCTGGGGAACGCCTGAGACTACGTGCACTCATGATTCTGCGATGCTGGGCGTTTTTTTTTTTTTTTTTTTTTTTTTTTTTTTTTTTTTTTTTTTAATCGGCAGGGGGGGGGGGGCTTGCAGGTGGTGAAGAATGAAACGATGTGGGCGCTTCAGCGTGTCCCCCTCAGAAAAAAAAAGAAAATCGTCTTCGCCTAAGCAGCCAGAACCTGACCCTGAGAGCAACCCAACAACAAAACTAGAGGGGAGATGAATAATAATCCGCAACATTGTACAAAACTGGGCAAGTTGGTTTAGCTTCATGGTGTAAAACGAAGCGCTTAAAGACAACACACAAAAGAGGAAGGACACAGGACAAGCGCTGAATCTTTATGCGCTGCATTTTACAACATGAAACAATAATCCTCGCCGGGTGTCAGTCGGGGTGTTGTGCGCACACGACAAATGTTCTCCGACGTCGACAATACTCGTCTTAGTAGTAAAACATCAGTTAGGGCCTCTGGTTACGTCTAACAAGAGACGTGTCTACATCGACAAGTGCCGATAACTCAGATGAGGACTCGCCCTTACTTAAAAACCAAAAAAAAAAACCTACCTTATAGGCAATCGCTCGTCGCTAACAATTAATTGGTCAGAAGTGCCCCCCCCCGCATGCAGCACTCGCACAAAAATACAAGCATCTCAAGTTCCTGACATCAGGAGTTCTTTAAGTAAAGCTGAGGTCATTTTTATTCTGACATGCTTACCCTTGACGAGGTCCTTTTCCTCTGCCCATGTTGATCGGGGCTGCACGACAACACAAAAAATAAGACTACAGCTATAAATCCTTCCTGCCTTGAAATCTTAAGCTTCGTAAAACATTACCGATTGTAATGTACTGAAAAACTTATAAGAAACGTGTTGAAATGCATGCACTGTTCACTACCAAGCCGTGGTCTCAACATCACCTGTTTTGACACTGTCTGAAAACACACAAGGGTTCAGTGACCAAATGCCTTCGCTCAAATTTACATCAGCCAAGACTTTAGCATAACAGTGATTAGGTTTGAAGATATAGTGGAATGCAAGGACATGAGAAGTGTGCAACATCACCGTGCAACTGAAATACCAAAACCTCAGAAATCCTTCAGAACAGCGTCAGTTTGCAGTATAGTTCAAGCTCACTATAACGAACACTTGATACAGTTAATTATCAATTACATCAGATGTGGTTTACAGTATAATTCAAGCTCACTATAACGAACACTTGATACAGTGAATTATCAATTATATCAAACTAAATATGAACTTAATGTTGCTCCCCCTTCATTTCCTGAACATTTATTCTTTTATGAAACCAAAAACCCTAAACTCGCTGCTGTAAGATTCAACCACAGTTCAACCACTTACTATATATAATATTCAAGAAACTTTCATTGTTACAACCGATAATTGCTATAAACGGGTTACAAAAAAAAAGCAATATATAGGGACATCAAGCTGCTGTGCGAAAATTATATCGAATTGTATGTGCCAACAGACATCACTGATAAGGATAACAAAGCTGCCAATTTTTTTGGACATGCTCAAAAATTCGTATGCTTTCACTGAATCACCAAAAGCGCCAGAGAGCCAATGATTAACGCCAGAAGTTTCATACACCCGAGTATTTGAATTTTTTTTTTTCCCACAAATCGCATGTCCGAAAGTGCATTAACAGAAGCCACCACCACATCTGTACCATATTGAATTTCATAACTAAGCTTTGACGTAATGCCATGCCGCTATGTAGCATACCAATATAAAAAGGTGCTGGGTTGCAGCATCTTGAATTTCAAGTTTTCTTCTTTCTATTTAATAATTTCACATTCAATTAGCTTTCAGGACGGACACCCATAACCAGAATTTATTGTTATAACCGATAATCAGCATGCTGGCATTGCTGAAGTGTATTATATCACTATAAGGAACAAACAAATGTTGACAGTACAGCCACTTTTCATTGTTTTAACTGATATACTGTTAAAATCGGCATCTTTATAAGTAGGTTCAACAGTACATGGCATGGAACTCTTTCAGTAGCATAAAAATTAAATTTTATTCAAAAACGGTTCATAAACGCATTATTTTTCTCCAAAACGCAATCGAAAATTAATATTGTACCAGATGACTTGGACACACTCAACCGTGCTGCTAGTCAGTTCATTTGGGCATTTACAATGGCAAATGCAGCTTTTACTCTACAAGAACATTTTGTATGAATTTTTGTATCTAAGATTTTTGTACGACCAGATCGGCGATTTTTATATGCTCTGTTATAACAAATATTTTATACATGCTGAACTAATTTGTGGTCCCAATGCTACTTTGTTATAACATGGAAGCTTACAAAAAAGTTCAGCTTAAACCAAGGACGACGCAGCGAGCGATGGAAAGTAAAATGGTACTTAAGTGTAACCGCATGGTACTTAATTACCGCACGAAAATGGTTATTTTTCATACGTCTTGGGAAGATCGTCTTTGCCAGCTTGAAAAATACTCCCGCACGAATTGCAGCATACGCAATTTTGCACAATAAAATGATGCTTTCAAAGATTCTTAGTTGTAGAGCAACAAAATATTTTGAAACGAATAAAAATGTGAAAGTGTGCAATTTTTGATTAAAGGCTAGTAAACAGTACAATAAAAAAACACTATATATGCAAAAATATTTACAAGAAAGAAAATTCAAAATATGCATATTGAAGATAAATGACTCAGGAACAGTATAAAAAAATAACAAATGTTACAGGAAATGTTTCTATTCACATAAAGAAAGAAAGTCGGAACCGCGACGATGCTTTGTTGCTCGTGCCATGCGGTGAAGCATTGCTTGGTTGTTCGGCAGACACAAATGAACTCGTACGCTTTTCTCGGCCAATTTTTGTTTTTTGCGATAAGAGCCTCCGGGTGTTCTAATATTTATGGATATCTGTGATGTTAATAACAGAGATCAGATGTCCTATGTACTTCGCTATTTTGTCAAGCATCACCTCTTCATATGAGCCACCTCACTCCGCATAGGTTGGAATTCCTACATATGCATCAAGCATACTTCTTAGCATTTTGCACATCGTAATGGAAAAAAGAACAATATCGCGCGAAGTTCTAAAATGCATTGCAGCACTGGGACGTGCCAATGCAGCGTATGACGATGATGCCACAGGAGTGACTAACGACACTAGAGGCTACATTGTGTCTGATGCAATGATACAACCAAAATAAAAGTTGCTGAAAACTGGCTGAGAAGGCCACCTTGACCCTTTAAACATGCGGCGGACCTTCGGAAATATTTGTTGTAAAACTAATTTTCTCCGTCTTTCCAGCAAGAGCTTTCTATTAAATATCTGGCATAAATTTCTGACCATTTCTGCTCAACACTGCCAAATTGCAATGCTGACACTAATTCGATATTTGGCTTACAAAGGTTCTTTTGATTACGAAATTGCAATGTCACTATAGCATAATCACGAGGGGCACACACTTCTGTCAAGTTCGCCAGCCTAGTGCATTTTTGCAACAACACATGCAAAGGTCTTTCAAAAACCGCAATGTTGCCGAAATTGGCATAATGAAATTGATTCTAAAAGTTGAGCAGCTAGACTAACTACTAAATAGTGCTGGGTGCACGAGAAACAAACTGAACATGCCAAAATTGACGAACCAAAGTGTCCTTCACCGGTGATCGATTTGAATAGGTGCGGTAATGAAAGAGTTGAGAGATAAGAAAAGAGCAGAGCGAGTCAGGAAACAAACTGGGGTTAAGGATATCATAGCTGAAATCCAGAATAAGAAATGGACATGGGGGCACGTAGCGCTTGTCATTAAGGGTAACTGACTGGATTCCCAGAGAAGGCAAACACATGAGGGGGAGACGAAAATTACGTGGTCCGATGAGATTAAAAAGTTTGGGGATATAAATTGACAGCAGGAAGTGCATCACCGGGTTGGTTGATCGGTCATAAGAGAGGTCTTTGCGTGGCAGTGGGCGCAGTCAGGCTGGTGACGATGATAGTTTGATTAATTATGTGCGAAATGCTCAGGCTCACCTGTGGCCCTGAAGTTCAGCTTCGTAGAGAGACTGCTGCAGAGCCCATGCCAAGGCTTCATCTTCAGTCTGCAGGTGAGACACACTGGCACGCTGGCTTTCAGTTCCGCACGCCGACGCTGTGGCCACTCGCTTGAGTGCAGGGCTGGAGGCCTTCTGCTGAAGCCTGGCCACGGCGGCAGCACTACAAGGCAAGCATGCAATTTCGGGGACGATGTTCATCTAAGCATTAAGGCCCGACCACACGTACACATTGGAGCACGTCAGCGCATGGCTGTCTTGACGCAGCCCCACACCCCCTCCCTATGAAGAGAGAGGGTGCGCAACATCGTGTGGACATGCATCCTTCCCTCTGCAAGAAGAAGCGACACCACGTCGGAAAGCCACGTGCTGACGCGCTGCAACGAGTACGTGTGGTCAGACCTTTACCTGCACATAAGCTAATGTCACAGAGGGAAAAAATTTGAAGATAGGGACACTGCTCATTAACAAGATTCACAATAACAACTCCGTATCAGTTATTACCTCTGATACTGAACTCGCTCATCTGGAAGGGAAGTGACAATTGCTAGTGAAGGTTATGGTTAAACTTCTCCGTCTTTAACAGTGCAAAAAACAACATGAGTATGCCAGAGTTAAAGTCTGAAAAGTTTTCTCAATTAGAACCATTTCTACAGAGAAAGTTCACAGAACCTGTTTGGTTAAATATCTCATTCTTGCAGAATGAAACTGTTCTTTTCAGGCACGAATATTTATACTCTACTTGGTACTGCTGAACAGTTCAGGATTAAGGATTACATTCAAGCATGTGAAAATTCCAGCCACACACTTGCAAATATATATATGTGTATATATATATGATATAGTTACTGCTGCTCTTATTAAGCAGCTGCCACATCTCCCCTGACCTGTAAGCTTTCGTGAATTTGTGTGCAGGTAAAGTATGACTGAGTGACGGCAGGCCCAACAATCCTTACGCAATGGCAACATACTCTTCGAATAGTCGTCATCCACGAGGAAAGCAAAGAGTAAGCTCTGTTAATTCTGAAACAAAGGCACAATGAGGCCGACATTTCAATGCAGAGGAAATTTTTAAGGTTAAGCTGAACAAGCGCATCATAAGCTGCTGCCGTTAGCATCAGAAAATTGATGCACTATGGCTTCTGTCCATGATTTCAGGATGGAATTACAAATTCAGCAGCAAATTACAAATTACAGTGGCAGGGAAGTTAGAAATAGGCAACATTAACCTTTGCTCAGTACAGTTTTTTCTAGCTCTGTCTACCTGCCTGCCTACACGCGAATCTGGTCTTTACAGTGGAAGAGTGTTCATTTGCTTGAGAGTACAGTCGAAACCCGCAACAACGAAACCTCGCGAGTATGAAATTCCCGCGGCAACGAAATATTTCCAGATCCCCGGCGAACATTCATAGAAGCCCATGTATTACGTATCTTGCTGCAACAAAATGTTTTTGAACAGCGATCCCGCATTAACAAATTTTCTACCACAGTGCGGGCCTTATTTTGCCCTCCCGCCAAAGGTTAACTGTCGAAAATATGCTCGTATGCCTGTTATGCGCACTCAAAATTTGTAAACGTCTGCTTTTGCTGCGCTAGCGTGGATACCGCTATTTTTGTTTACTTAAATCAGTGATAAGGTCTGTGTCTGGCAACACGCTTGGCCACACTGCAGCAGGCGATGGCAAATGATCATGCTGCGATGGCAAATGATCACACGGGCTTCACCACCATCGTGCAAGCATCACGCACGGATTGCGCTTCGGCCTCACCAGACGAAGATTTGGACAAAGGCGCACTTGACGGCGAGAGTGGCGGCAGTGGAGTGCCTCTATCCCTGACCAACGCCTCGGGAGAACTTCGAGCCATCGAAATCCCAGATGAACTCACCGTTGATGCGTTCGTTCGCATCGATCACGATATAGTCGTGTACGAGGAAGTGACCGACGAGGACCATTATCGAAAGCGTGCACGAAGCTGACGACACCAAGGACCAAGAAGATACGCACGCGGAGAAACCCAACCTGCGGGCTTGTTTTGGATGCACTGGACACCCTTTGCTCCTTCTTCGGCGCACATGATGACGACGTAGCAATGGACCACTTTTTCTAGTGCGAAGGGAGAGCTTTGAAGTTGTTGCATGGCAAGGGTCGGCAAAGTAAGTTGACCTGACTCCTGGCAATAAATTTTTCGTTCTGCTGGCCGTATCACTGTTTTTATGTCTCACACTCGTGGCAACGAAATTCTCGCGAAAACGAAGTTTTTCAGTTTCCCCGGCGATTTCGTTATTGCGGGTTTCGACTGTACAACAATAACTACATTCCATCTCACTCCCGAATAGTACTACTTATCTCTATCAACACACGTATATTTTAACACACGTATATTTTGGTGCATCGAAGAAATTGGTTTCCTTTCTAAATGGCATAAAAATATTAGTGAAATAGTGCTGAGAATCAACCACTCTGCCTAATAGGCATGCAGTGTATTTATTTGAATACATGTAATGCGTGTAGTTATCTATATAAAAAGAAAATCTTATAATTTGAATCTAATATGACTAGGTGCACATCATGATGTACTTTTGATGAATGCAGCAAATTTCAAAGGGATACAAGCACTGTGAGAAACTGAAGTTATTTTTTCACCACTGAACATCCTGCCAAATGTTACAGTGTCTATAATAAAGTAACCACCTTCAGTTATATGTAGTACATTGGCATCTAAATAAAGATGGAGCAAGTATGGAGGGGGTTGAACATTACCCAGCTAAGTTCAGTGTCTGTTGCTTTGTCTTCACTATCACCATTGGCAAGAACAAATAATACAAACAAATGTGTCCAGAGCACCTTAAAAAATATGTGTAAGTTAAAGCTTACAACTGACAGAACTCAAAAAAGGAATTGAAGTTGCAAGGTGCAAATGACAACAGAACATGTCACCTGCCTTGAAATTTGGCGACGAGGAGATGCAGAGAAAGGAGGAGCAGGAGGACTGGCAACAAAGCATTAAACAATTAACGTTAAGATTAAACTACAAAGTTTTAAATGCCAAGACCATGATACTATCATTAGGCAATGCAGAAGTTAACTGCAACTGCGACTGTGTATTAATCGCAACCAGCTAGCCTTCTTTAGCTTTCACCTAAATTAAAGTATGCAGGCATTTTCACATTTCTCCCCGGCTTAAATGCGGCCACCAATTCGGGAATGGAAAATGCTTACTCTAGCATAGCAGCAGAACACCTTAGCTGCTAAGCTACCATGGCACGTGCAATGTGCATTGAATGCAAGTGTCAGGCCAAATATATACACCGAAGTAGCAGCCTGCCTTGCTGTATAAAACACACAGCAACTTTCAAAGTGAATGCGCTAGGTCTTGCCAAAGCGTGGAATTCTCTCCTATCCCCCTGCTTGGCAAAACAATTAGGCGAAGCAGTGTGGTAATACCGTGGCACATATTCAACTAAATAAACAACATAAAAGCAAGAATTCCATGTTGGAAAATAAATTGAACAAGCAGGCATTTTACAGCTGGCATGTACACAAGAAAAGGATTTCATCTAACCAACTCCCTTTCATTGACTGTAAAATGCAATGTAAAATAACAAGAAAAACATTCACCTAGGCAATCCGCTTCACATGTAAGCCTAGCAAAAGTTCACACAACTGGCCAGATTCCTACAAAAAACATTGGACACTCACCCCGAGGGGGTCATTCCTTTTCCTGCGCAGTTATGGTCATCTGGAAACCTGTGCTTGAGACAATGGTTGAGGCTACAATATGTGCACTTCAGGGGAATCAGTTCTTTCTGCTTGCAACCCTTCAGAGAGCAACGATTGACGTAAGCCTGCAAAAAGAATTTTTTTCTTCTTTCATTACAAATCAACGAAAACAGTAGTGAAATAAGTGCAAGAAACTCCAGTCTATCAGCATGATATTTTCTTCCAAACTGCTCAAGACATCCAGCCCATATATCACAAGCGTTTGCCACACAAGTGTTTTTGCAGTAGTTCACAGCAAATGTACCTAATCACTCCATTCTTATCCCTCCGAGTGCTTCAGTGCCACCAATGGGTCAGAGGTTGAGCACGCAAGATAGACATGCCAGTATAGGCAGTTATCTTATTTGTTTATGTACAGTCTCCAAGAGTACAAATAAGTCATAATTTAGCTCTTCTATTTCCTGTAAGTTGCACAGAGTGCAGTGTTGGCAGAGCTGGGGAGGGGAGGCAGTACATAATACATGCACAAACATACATAAAGAGTGGTAAACACACCAACACACCTAAAATAATTTGTCTAAACCCCTGGAGTGCAGGTTAGTAGGCTTCGACGTTTAACTGTCAGATCATCGATTTCAAGGTATTTTGCCACCACTCAGCAGAATCTTTTAGCAGCAGATACTGGAAAGTGACATTAAAAATCACATCTTCAACGACTACAGAATGTTCCAACTGTGCAAAAGTGCTGCAAGCACCTTTGGGAGAATTTGAATGTCAATGTTGACATTTAAATTTCATTTCTCAGCACACAGTATAAACAAATCTGTCGTCTCTCGTCGAGTACACTTTGACAACAATCATCAATTGGTACAGGAACCACAACTCATGCGGAACATACTTTACTCAGCCTCTTGACCATCACAGGCGCATGCTTGAAATACGCACCTTGCGTTTTGCTTGAGCCGGATCAGACTGGCAGTCTCGGTCAATATGGCTGCTAACAGCTACATCAGGTAGGTCACCTCGCTTGCTTGGGACTGGGTTGTTACAGAGTGGGCACACGGGCACCTGGCAATCTTTGCTAAGGGCTTCGGTGCAGCCATGATTTTGGTACTGGAAGTGATCCTTGCTGCAAACGAATCGATCCCAGCAGAAGGCGAAACGTCAGTTGCTCGTACGAGTCATACTTCAACAAGGTGTGCTTATGTATGTACATCTTAGCAATGTTTGGAGCGAGAGCACTGTGCGAAGAACTATATATAAGAAAAGTAGCGATCGGGAAGCTTTTTGTTTATTTACTATTTCCCTCGGCCATATGCCAAACTGAACAAGTCAGAAAAGCAGCGATGTAAGGGGGAAAAAAAAGTCACGTTGACGTTTTGACAAAAGCTCTAGAAACAGTGCGGGCTGCGCGACAACTTGCGAACTGTCAGAGCGTCACAACCAATGCGTGACGCAAGCGGAACGGCCAGCAATTGTACCTTCAATAGGCCTGTAGCTGAAGGGTCACCCAACAATTGCTCAGTACGTACCAAAAAATTTGCCTGCAGGCATCGCACTTCACTGGCAGAAAATCTGAAAAAGCAAACACAAGCTATCAGACGTTTACGTATGCTACGGGCGAGAGAGTTCATAAATGCGCCACCCTGGAAACCGAAAGCTGGTAAACATAAAACTCAGCTATCTGAAAATTCGCACAAGATCACAAGCTGAGGAACTCACCTAGCATCTTGCAGCTGCTCTTGGAGCAATTGTTGCCCAGCTCCGGAAACTCCATTCTTAATCGCAATATTTGACACTCGCTGATGCGTAAACACTTTAGCAGCAACGAATTCCACCACTCCTCTTCACTCTCGAGACCGACGGTTCAAGCAGCACCACACTTCGTACGGATCGCACACTTGTTTGCTGTCTCATCACCCTTCTCCTATGGGTTATATAGCTCCCTCGCACGCTTCGTTACCACTTATCAATGAGTCATACTGGTCTCACAACTACTGCACTTATGACTGCACTCATCGCTGCCATCCATTGCAGCAGCGTCTGCAGCAACGCAGTTAGCAGCGTCACGATGCAGCGATCGCAGCGCTAAATATACAAAAAAAGTTCGTACTTAACTACTTTTCAAACATTTTTAGGACAATATATTTTTAATGATTTTGTAAGGCGCAGAACATAGTACAGGAATAAACTTTTACGAGAATGCTTACTGTTTGTGCTGCCATCAAGCAACAAAACATAGAAGGTCGTTTGCGATCGCTTCTCCGAATTCTGTCGTCCCATTAAAAATGTCGGACTCTCCGATGCCACCGAATCCACACGTGTTCCTCGACGTGCGAATCGGCGAAGAATTCGGTACGAAATTTTCCAACTCTCCGCCTTAGAACGATTCTACAGTGTCGCCTCCGGCGCCCCGAATACCAGCCGTAGCCCCGCCGTGGCTCGGCGACGGGCTGCGGCAATCGAAACTTTACGCGTGCGTCGTCTGTGGTGCAGCCAATTTACGGTGGTTTAACGCCTTCGTGCATCCTGACATTGGCGCTATCTCAAACGTTGCTCACCGGCACCTACGAATTCCTCACTCTAGCTAGTTTAACAGCTCGAATTCGCTATTTTAACCAGTGCGTGTTTGATCACGTTAGTCTGTTTACGACTTGTAGGTGATCATTAGAAAGTCAAGTATGCGGGTACTTTCACGTTGCATATTCCGTTTTGTCATTCCAAGCTAATGACTTTTTACGGAATTCCAGTCCCTATTCAAGATAAATAACCAAATATATTCGCTTATCACACTGGTCACTATTCAATTCATGCGCTTTGAAAGTTCGCCACCGTGAACTTTTAATGTTTTCGTAAAAGGTTCGCTATGGCAGCGATGTGTTGCGGTGTGTTCTAACGTTTGTTTGTATTTTTCTTCTGTGCAGTGGGGCGCATAGTGATCGAACTTTTTCGTCAAATCCAACCACAGACTGCAGAGAACTTTCGAGCCTTGTGTACCGGAGAGAAAGGGTTGGGAGTCAGCAGAGCGCCTCTCCACTACAAAGGATGCAGGTTTCACAAAAGTTAGCAACAAGACCTAATTATTATGCATGGTCCCTTAACTTGCTTTCGCCTATAACGTTTGCTAGTTTCATGTCTCTAATGAATCTGAAAATAGGAAGCAATGTCAATCTGTTTTCATCTGCCTGTTTCCCGCGTGCTTTCCATTTTCATTAGTTGTCACTGAAAGTTCGCAAGATTGGAAAATAGTATATTGCTTGGTGCGTTACAGGCAAGGACGCAAGGAAGAGATATAGGTACGATTTTGACATGGTGCTAACTTGTGACAAATTTTGCAGAAATTCATGGCCATTCTTATAAATGCATGACAAAAATGCATGACAAATGCTGCTCATGTCACAAGAAGCTGTGCTATTCTATGCGTGTGTTGCGTCTCAAGAACAAAATATTTTTTACTCGATTGCGCATTTCCTACGAGCGCAAGTTAGCAACAATGTTAGCTTGTATTCACAATGCACACGTACGATGGCACCGCGTAGTGACAAGAGATAGCTGTTCTTCAGGGAGGATAGGCGTTGTATTGTCCGTGTGACTCAATGCGTGGAAGCGTCTCAGTTTTGTTAATATCAATAGCTTCTGTAGTACATTACATGCGAAAACCTAATGTGATCGTGGGGCTCGCCGCAGTGGAGGGTTCTGGTTAAAGTTGAAGCACGTGGGGTTCTTTAAAATTTCTTTTTGTTAACAGATTTTTATCAATGTCACAGGGAGTAATAATTGAAAAGCAACATTATGTGCTGTGCACTTCAGTGCATCAACTGAGCTGTGAAGAATGCATGAGCTCTATTTCCAATGCAAGAGCAGGACTGCATAGGAATTTAAAGGGTGTTAGTACTATACTACAAATTCAATAAAATTGCATGGAATCAAAGGTTGAACATATAATGGAGATGCTGTTTTCGTCTTATTTTACCAGTGGCAGGCAAAACGTACAGATGGCACATTGAAGCATAGTTTCAATTCACCTGGCTCACTGTGTCGAAGTGTGAAGCAGTGTTCGCAGCTGCATGCTAGTCAAAAGCCCAGTAGAATATTCACCTGCTCTGACCATTTACGAAGAAAGTCCAATTTGAAAATACGCTCGGCGCACTTTTTTTTTCCTAGCTTAAATTTAAACTGTTACGCTCAAGCCAATCTGGACAAATGCGCAGCCACTGCAGGCTGCAGCGTTGAACGAAAATCTCAAATACATAATTGAACTGACTGTCTCTGTTGAAAATACAGCTTCTCCCCCAATGTAGATGTCTGAAAATACAGACCTCGAACAGTAATCACGTGAACACGTCATGTCTTGGTGCCAGTGTCATCATGATGGCTACAGCATTCAAAATTTATTTGCCATCAATCAGACACCAGATCCTCGTATTAAATGAGTTTCGAGGTGTCTCATTATGTTTGCTACCAATAGCAGCTTTGTAAAATGCAGCAACATTTGCACAGTCACATTGAACAAACTCTGAAAACTGAGGACGCTCTCGGTGAGTTACGAGAAGGACGGGAGAAAGCCCAACCTGCTGCGACTCAGATGCGCAGTCAACAGTTACATACTCTTTCAGTTTGCCATCTCGGATAACCTCGTGCGCCACCTATAGTCTGTGTGCATTGCAAATAACCAACACTATGACTAGCCATCTACCTGCTTTCCTTTTACTTTGCTGGCATGCTTATGTAACTTGTGATTAAAGAATTCTATTGTCGGCCCTATGTAAAACTAACAACCATCCTATGCCACTATACATTGTAAATGATGCAATTAACTCATTATGTAAGGCTTTGTGCACTTCATGAGGCCCATTACCAGGTGTGCAAAAGAGTGAGAACCATCCAACAAAAGAGCTCTTGCAGATCATGGTGCGTTGGTTGTGCACAAGGCTCTTTCCGATACCAAAAGCCACTTGTGTACAGAGGGGTCCACTGTGAAAGGGAACACCAGAGCAGCGTGTTGTATGCTCGGTGTAACCGCCGGCTGGCTGCAGCAATCACTTTCGCACAGGAGCAGTGAGCGTTGTGGGCGGTGCTCGTTTGTGGTCTGCTACAGTTTCGGCCGCGCTTCAGCTCGTCGCAAAATGCGTTCGAAGTCGATGGAAAGCAAATATATGTTACTTTCCCTCGAGCTAGAACGAAAATGATGGGAATGATCTATAATCAGATAAATGTCACTTGACTTGCACATCAGCAGAATAGCCGTCTTTCGTTTGCCCTCTCTTTGGATAAAGAATTGCTCACTTCAAGAAAGTTGCCTCGTGGTGCCTGTTATAGGCGCTTGTAAATTAATTGTTCAGCTTACGCACTGCAGCAGTTCGAATCTGCATCAGTGCAGATGAAATGTGCGCTCCACAAGGAAAAATATTCTTTAATATAGCTATGTTAGAAAAATACATCTTTACACCGAAAATATCAGTGAGGCAGTATTTCGGATAATCTAATTTTATTTCTGCCTTGCCACAGCTTTCTATCTGAGCGGGGCTATGAAGCTTGTAAACGAATGTCAAAAGCACGGAGATGGCTGGCCTCGCGACCAGCTGAAGCAGCGGCCGCAACTGTAGCAGACGATAAGCAAGCGCCGCCCACAACACTCACTCTGTGCGAAACTAGTTGCTGCAGTTGGCCGGCAGTGGCGCCGAGCAGACGACATGCACTCCGTTTTTTTCTTTAGCAGTGAACCCTCTTGTATATGACACGTGAAACTCCCGTGTCGGTGCACTACATAATCTCTTCATGAATATCTTCAGCGTGAAAATTGTCTGTTTTTCTTGATATAGGCCAAGATAATTAGTGGCAATAGCATTCTTGAGATGAAATGTCACTGATTCTGCCTTGTTAAGTCATCTCATTTCTTATGTTACAGTCATGCCAAAATTCATGGTCCAAGGTGGGGACATAACAAACAAAAATGGAACCGGAGGAGAAAGCATCTACGGCCAATTTTTTCCCGATGAAGACCTTTCAATAAGAGTAGGTGTTTACTTTCTCAAGCCTCTTGTGTCATTGTTAAGATTTATTACCGCTGCTGCCAGTGTTAAATTTGCCGGCAGCCCTCGTTACGCAACATCATCTGTACACTGCCCGCCATGAGGACAAGCATGCCCATGCTTGGATATTACGCTGACACCCAAGTGTGGGTGCAAACCTGTTATCATTGCCTAGTTATGCTTGCTCACACTTATATTAATGTTGTAACCATAAGTGGTAGACGAAAATGGTCGCTAAATGTATGTCTGCCGGTACATACTCGTGTCGCTAAACACGAGTACGAACTTCCACCAGTGCCTGCTTGTGCACAGCCGTGCATGTACATTTGTGTCAAGGCCTTCAGTTTGACCCCTACCACCGGAAAGTTGTTTTATCCTTTCCGTTTTTGTCATTATTGCTATGCTATGGCTATAGACTTCAAATAATGTCCCCTATGCCTTCTTTTCTTCATTGTTGTTGATTTCATTAGGTTGTGCCTAACAAAGAGACGTGCCCTTAATCTATTTGCCTTCTTACGTTCACTCATACCGAAGGTCTCATTTCAGCAGGCTTGTTGCCTCTAACTAGCACGCTAGGGTTTATTGGTTGGCAGCCAGCTCATTAAAATAATCTCATTCTACATGACGTCAGCTGGTAAAAAAAAGAAAATAAAGAAAGTTCCACCCTGTCTGTCATGGCTAGAGTGGCGCTGGCTATATCTCCAGGTTACGCATACAGAAATACCCAATAAAGTGGAGAAAAGAGCGATGATCACCCTAGATGAATCAACACAGCATCGGGCATGTTATCTAAAGGCTGTAGGTCCTCTCTCTACTGTTGGCAAAGTATTTTTTCATCCACTTCAATTCTTTTCCATTTATATACTATTATTAATACACTACATTTAAAGGACTAGAAGTAATGTCCCCTATTCCTTGACTTCATTGTTTGTTGTTTTCACTAGGTGTTGTAACACAGAAACAAGCCTTTGCTCTATTCCCCTGCTTTTGTTTTCTTTTCATGTGATGAGCCATCGCTTTGTGTTTCTCTGGTGCAGCATGACCGCCCGGGACTCGTGGGCATGGCCAACAGTGGGCCAAATACAAATGGCTCACAGTTTTATATTATAACTGTGCCCACACCCCACCTTGATGGCAAGCACGTCATCTTTGGCCAGGTTGTCAAAGGCATGGGTGTGGTCTCGGTGCTCGAGTACGTTCGCACCAATGACCAGGACGCTCCTGTTGAGGTAAGCAACTACTTGGCATTTCACATTCATATGGTGGTTTTGGGACGTTAAACCCCACATATCGTCATTATCATGGCATTTCACATTCTAATTCTGCCTATGCAACTTAGCGTTGATTAGTTGTTGTACTTATCTGAAATGCTTTTGCTCTGTGAATTAAAGCGGCGTCTTTTCAGTACCTTTTGCATTGACACTGTCCACTGCAACGGTAAACTGGTTATGGTGTTTGACTGCTGAACCATAAGTGGTGGGGTTGATCTTGGCCATGCAGTTGCATTTCGATGGAGGTGAAATGCTGGAGGCCCATGTGCTTTGCAGTGTCCGTGCACATGAAGGAACTCTAGATGTGGTTTTTGCACATAAATAACCCAGATGTTATTGCCTAAGCTTCTTAAAGCATTCTTTCTGAATATCAAACATCCTTTCCAAAATTTTCTAAAACACTGTATACAAAAAAGAAACTGTACAGTATGCTGTATGCTATGGTGCTTTTGTGCTCGGAAATGCCAAAGGGGAAAAAAAAAAAGCATTTGAAAATGTCTCTTTGATAGCGAGGTCATCTGTTATACATGACTAGCTTGCTTGAAATAGCTGAAGTTGTCGATAATTGCTTTCTAGGCACTAACAAATACCGACCCCCCCCCTCCCCCTCTCTCTCTCCGTAATTACAAAAGCTGAGGCTATAATAGTGGCTGAAAATACATTCTGGTAAATCAGCTAGCATTTTTTTTGTGCCCATTTGATTTTTCTAGTTCTCACTTTATGGAAAGGGAATTTCAACTCTCTATGGACTCATTTTCTCCTGAAGTGCACTTGCTCCGAGTCGCACACCACGAGTGCCTCTGCTTTTCATCCTTGCAGTTGTGTACACTTAAGATGTTATGTTCAATCTCTCGCAGGAATGCATAATTGAGAACTGCGGTGAGATACCTCCTGGAGGTGACTTTGGAATTTGTGAGCAGGACAACACTGAGGATGTTTTTCCTCCTTTTCCCGATGACTCAGACCTTGACTTTAGCAACGTGAGTGACTCAGGCTGGGGTCACACTTGGGCTTCTAATACCTACTGCAGTCTACAATGCTTGCAAAATGTCAGCAAGTGCCCAGAAATGTAACTCTGCTTTCCTAGGTGCTACATGTAAGTCGTTAGCCTCTCTACTCACCAATAACCACTCATTTTACACGAGTGGTTATTGAACTGTATACCAAGTCGGCAAATATGCGAGCTGAATAAGCAATAAATATACTGTCAAAGGTACTACATTTTCATGGTGGTTTGTGCAGGTTCACAGGCTTGTGCAGACAATACCGTTGCAGTCATAAAACTGCTTTCTTTTTAGATGTGAGGCATCTTATGGTAGAGTTAAATCCGGTGTGCGGCGTGACCATTCTTACTGCTCATGTGTGTCCTCTCTTTCGCCTCGGCAACGCCAATGCAGGCAGCATCCGCTAGCCTCCGCTCGCTGCACCCGTTGCGCTTGTGTGTTCCCTCCCCTTTCTCTCCTCTCTCATGCTCCATCCTCTCTCACCTTGAAATACCGATGCAGGCAGCATCTGCAAGCGATTTCTTTATTGAAACAGGGGTGGAAGTGCTGCACCAATCTGATATGCTGCGCCAGGCTGTGCATAAACAGTAATTTTTGTGAAAATTGTCGATTGGAAGTGTAAGCTGCCAAATTTAGCCAAATGTTATCGTCGACCAAGCAACACTGAGCTTGGCCACACACAAAAGGATGCGGCCGCATTAATATTCAATGTAGTTCGATCACATGTTCGCGCCCCGCCGCGGTGGTCTAGTGGCTAAGGCACTCGGCTGCTGACCCGCAGGTCGCGGGTTCAAATCCCGGCTGCGGCGGCTGCATTTCCGATGGAGGCGGAAATGTTGTAGGCCCGTGTGCTCAGATTTGGGTGCACGTTAAAGAACCCCAGGTGGTCTAAATTTCCGGAGCCCTCCACTACGGCGTCTCTCATAATCATATAGTGGTTTTGGGACGTTAAACCCCACATATCAATCAATTATCATTGATCACATGTTCGATCATGATCATGTGATTCGCTTCATTCATGGGGCTTGCTAGTGCTTGTCTCATCGCGATTATCGCCGTGGTTTTTGCACAAAAGTAGTGGCACCAACATGAGTAACTCTAAACTATCTAGTACTGCAGTAAAATTTGTGCCCGCTGGGAATGCGGCATGATCATGAATGGCAGCACACGTTTACAAATACAGGTGTGCATCTCCTGACATGCGCCATCGCCACCAATAAGCAAATGCAGTAACACAGGAGTTGTTACCCAGAGTGCCCACCAAAAAGTCTTCCTTTTCGCCGAAGTGTGGAAAGGATACTGGGCTCGCATTTTCGCATGATCGTTTGATAGCATGCAGTGGCAAAGCAGCATTTCGAAGCTATCACAGGGTCGGAGATACGCAGTGACTGAGATAGGGACAGAACGGTTCGGCTTTCTGCGATACATATTTGCGCTTTTCATAGCGTAATCTAATACCAAGCGACAACTGACAGTTTCATTGAAACAAGAATAGTTGCGTAGACTCGATCATCTCCTGGTTATTTGTATGCAGTGCGGCGCCTATGCTACCTACGCCGTTGCTGCTGGGTGGCTCAATGTAACGTCACGCCGGTTTGTCCTGTGAATTGCTCGTCCCCACTTCACTCCAGACCAAGCACAGATGAGCAGAGTAGTCTGTTAATTAGGGTGGGGATAACAAACTTCCACCAAACGAAGTGCGCCGTGAACATCTAGTCACCATGAAAACAAAAGATAAGCATCGCTTATACCTTGTTTTCTCCGAGTTATTTCTCTGTAAGCTGTGATGTTTAGTGATGGGAGCACAGATGCACACATGCATACACAAAAACACTTGTGGGTAATAAGTGTGGTGAGCTTATTAGTACTAAATGCTTAGTGAAAATCATTAGAATTTTTTTTTACTAGAAATAATTTTGATTGACAATGATGTTGGACCATAGAAAGTTGCTCCAAAACAAACTTGCATTGCTCCGAAACGCGCCTTTTGGTGCTCTGAACCTGCTCCAATACTCCCGTTTTACTGTCCCGAACCTGCTCCAAAACAGCATTATTCCTGCTCCCTGAGGTGTTACAAAACACTAAAGTCCATTTCCATTCCTCTTGAATAAACCAAATGCTCGCACTGCACTACCGTTCACTGGCCACCTCATACATATAGCCACTGGATCTTAACCTTCAAGGTGGTGCCGGTGGAAGATATCTCCTGTGCGTTGTTGAACAGTAAATATTCACATCATGCGTATTAACTAAATGTGGACTGCGGGTTTTGTGTTCAATGGGAGTCTTCTGTCTCTCATTGCCATTAGCAGTGATTTGAATGTTCCAGTTCGAAACACCAGTCTATCACTGCGTGCTTTGCGGCTACCCACGTTTCTCTACTGCTGCGACGAGTGCCAGCGTCAACGCCGCCGCCAGTGCAAGCGTTAGCGCCCGCTGCTTCGCATCTACACCCGGTTCCCTTTAGCGAGAGATGGTGTAATTTTTTCTTCTTAGAAGAGATAGAGCGGGCAACACCGTAATCTCTTGATTCAATGTCCTTAAACAGCAAAGCCTTTCTTTTTTAGAGCAAGCCTTCTGCTATTGTTGAAATGTCTTTTAAATTCATGTTCAGTATGTCATTGAATCAAGGACACAAATATGAGAAAGGAGACGACACACAGCGCTGTCTTGTAACATCGTTTTATCATTGCAGCCGTTTCATCTGCTTATATACATGACAGGGCCTGTGCAGAAGGAGGAAATAAAAGTATAGAATATAAATATAAAGAACATTAAAAATTATAAATTCTGAGTATGCACCTTCAAGTATATAGGCACATGAAACGGCTGCAGCAATAAAACTATGCTGTACAATAGCACGTCTTGTCTCCTTTCTTGTCTTTGAGTCCTCATGCCGCAAAGTTCTCCACCATAGTCTGGTACTAAGTGCTTCTCAGCTTACTAATGTCGAGAACCTGTGCTAAACGTTCTTGTATTACTGTGTCAGTGACCATCTGCAATTTCAACATGGCCTTTGTGAAGTGCTAATGAAGGCTGTTGAAAATATCAAGTGTAAAATATTGGCAATTCTTCGACCTTGCGAAGAATAACTCCTCATAGAGAGCTCATGCTGTACTCCAATTCCGAATCTACTAAATGCCTTGTGCGAGAATTCGCCTGCACAGCATATGCAGGAAATCGCATGCCCCTTTTATTGCATTTGCCCTTGGTACTTTCCACGGCATTCTGTGCACTAGGACCAGCTGTATTACTGTTGTTGTTTCAAGAGATAAGTCTTTATAACATTGTCTCAAAGAAATTGCGCCTTATGTTATGCTTATGACGGCTACCGTGTCAAATCTTTTTCAGATTGAGCACATAATGTGTGTAGCTGAAAAAATTCGGCAGTCGGGTAACCGCTACTTTCGGAAAGAAGAATATGTTTCAGCGAATGCCAAGTACAAGAAAGCTTTGAGGTTGGTATTTTCTGACTCCTCATGCATGGAACATTCTCCGCATGCTTGAGGTTGCTCATCACCAACAGTCAGGAGGATTGATTCTAGCTGGGCCATACTCAGCAGAGTTACTACCATTGTTGAGGCTATAAAATGCAGGATGCTGCATTTTAGTAGGGAGGTGCGATATTCAGTACAAGGGTAGAACAGCTACACCATTTGCGCCATTGCACGCTAAACTTGTTCACCTGTGCCATTCTGCGTCGAACCACCCCGGCTGGGCCAACCTCTCCTATCAGCGCCGTACTGCGCTGCAGCACCCAAATTTAGCTGCAAGGTGCGCTGTTCCCGAAAACATGGCTGAAATGTCATGTTTTCCATTCATCGCTACAGTTGTGGTCTGGTCAAGGCTGTGATCGCTCCAGAAGCAGCTGATAGCTCTGTAATGTCCATATCGCTCGTGTCAGCGCGAATAGCTCGTAAACACTTAAACACTTATACATGGTGCACTCTTAACGTGAAGAGGCTGTGCTAATAGAGTATCCTGGCTGTGCTAATATAGTGTTACGTTATATCAGATCTAATAGTTAGCTGCCAGCCTTACTTCGTATAACATAATTTCTTTCATATTCATTGCTCCTCCCTTGTGGTCAAACTGGTATTTTTTTCTTATAACTTGATGGCAGTTTTTAGAGAAGAAAAAGTTAGCAGCCGATCCACGAAGGGAATGTTGATGATGGAAGTGAAGCTCCTAGGCCGATTATAAAATGTTTATTAAATTATTTTAGCAGTGCGAGGTCGGTCGCCGGGGCGCACCAGTGGGTGCCGGTCATTCCTCGTGTCGGACACTACAGCACTCCTGCATTGCTTGCGTAGCGTCGCTGTGTCTAGTGTGTGCCACTCATGCAAGGAGGGAGATGCACACATCGCGTTCCATTCTGATCGACCTCATCTCAATGGGCCCTGGCGGTCGCCAAACACACTTTGGAATTTACAAAGTGACAGATGGATGCGCAGACGGACAGATAGATGCACTGACAGATGGACAGATAGATGAATAGACTGTTGCATGCACACACAGACAGACGGGCAGACATGCACAGACATAGTACGGTCTATTTTAAAGCTCTAACCTCACGGACATAATTTTCTCGCTGACAAACGACAGCGACGAGTGACAAAATTCGCTGTCGCAGAGGCCCATTCGTCGCCGCCACTTGTTGCGTTGCGCTGTCCTGTAAAACTTGAAAAGATCGCTTGTCGCCTGGAAGACAGCATAGAATTTTCTGGTAACATCGCTGCTCTTCTGGTCCTCGCTTCGGTTGCAATTTGCTCTCGATGCTTTTTATCCGCGTGTACTTCAAGGAATGCAATGTATCGACTACCTTTTTTACATTCTCATTTCATGTGAAGAGTGAGAGAGCGGTCGTAATTTGTCAGTAAATGTCGTTATCGAAGGTTCGTTTTGATGTCTTCGACGGTAGCTTGTGACAATTTGGTTGCTTGCTACCATAGGTCGGCGAACTCACTTATGGGTGGACTCACTCGGACTCAATCAGACCCAGATGAAGCCGTGAGTCTGAGTGAGTTTGGTTGAAGAAAATGTTCGTTCCGAGTGAAATCGGCCCTGGAAAATTCGTCAACATAGGAATGGCAGTGACTTCTTCAGATTTCTATATGCTTCAACCTGTAATACCCGTATTGCAGCAAAGCTGCTTTTCAGGCTCCGCAGCGGTCGGAAATGTATTGACTCTAAAAAAATGCTGGTTCCAACATGGAGATGATAGATGTGGCAAAAGTGGGGGCTCAATTAATGCTGTTTTGGACCTGAAATATTGGCAGAAAATCCAAAAAGTCTAGTGCTTTGCCTCATTCTTAATAAGACAGCTATAAAACACCACTCTACCACCGTTTCATCAACCTAACCATAAGAAACACTTTCATATGACTATATCATAAGATTATGCCTGATAATTTGCTTCAAATTTTTTTTGCAATTTCACTTGGAAATACTTAAAAACTATTCTAGGAATATACGAATTCACTGCACACCCAAAATTTTGCCATTCGCTCAGCTCTACATTTTACCTAAAAAAAAAAAAAAAAGACACCATTGAAGTGAAGGAAATGTATGATTTCATTGACCATGCTTTCATTTCAGTAAATGAAACAGCGCAAGGTCCAACTAAGTACCAGTCATAGCAAGGGAAACGTTTCTTTTTCCATATGGTTCCCTAAAATAAATATATAAGCTGGTCACATAAAGTTGAAATGGCCGCAAAAGTAACTACAGTCGAGCCCCTTTGTGAGAGACTGATATGAGAGACAAATGGGTATAAGAGACGCCAGTGTGCCTACAGTAAAATACGGCTTCGTAAGAAAGTGAATACTAGGTACCCCACTTATAAGAGACATATCATATAAAGGATAAGAATTTATGCCCATAGCATGCCTCTTATAAAGTAGCTAGCTGTATTATTATGTTCTCGTTTAGTGCCCCGCCGCGGTGGTCTAGTGGCTAAGGTACTCGGCTGCTGACCCGCAGGGCGCGGGTTCGAATCCCGGCTGCGGCGGCTGCATTTCCGATGGAGGCGGAAATGTTGTAGGCCCGTGTGCTCAGATTTGGGTGCACGTTAAAGAACCCCAGGTGGTCTAAATTTCCGGAGCCCTCCACTACGGCGTCTCTCATAATCATATAGTGGTTTTGGGACGTTAAACCCCAGATATCAATCAATGTTCTCGTTTAGTCATTATACTCGCTCAAAAACAATACATTTAGTTCTGGTCACTGACATTATTGACGAACACTAAACTCTTTGAGAAAAGCTTGGCTTGACGCAGCTTAATTTGGGGTACACTTTTGGTAAAACTGATGCATATACTATAAAATTTGTGTCTTTGCATCGCTTGCACGTGTGATTGTGTTTAATGGCTGAAATTGAAGATTTGTAGGCTACAATATTCATTTTTAGATGAATATTGAATGTGTTGAAACCGAGACATATTGTATAATTTACTTTATTAAACGCATTCCTTGCGATATTCTATGCAAAAGTATACTGTTGTACTATATTTAATTGAAACTTCTGTTCACTTCTTCATTGAGCTCGTACAACGTTGCGCCACTGCTTGTGTGGTCACTTGCTTTATCAGAAACGTCCGTACTGACTACGGAGAATGGTGTTCTCTGATTCTGATTCTTTCAGTTGGAGCATTTTACCTAAAGGGCATTGCAAGCAGTAGAAAAAAAAAATACCGATGGGCAAGTCTTAAGATACGTATGGCTCACAGAGCAAGATTTTCTGTGCTAGATATTGGTGAATCTGCTTCAGTATGTTTAACCCGTACACAGCCATGTGATTGCGGTGAACAATACCAGTGTAGAGGACTTACCACTGTGCATATAAATTGCAGCCATTGAGTATTGGAGAGAGGGCCGCTGCTCTGCTTTGAAAAAAAAAACAAGAAAAACAAAGGTGTTCCATTGTGACGCACACTTTTCCAAAAGTTCTGTGCAGGAAAAATGAACAACAAGCTTTTATGTGTTCAATGCAACCTTGAAGAGAAAAAAAATATCAGTGAACTTCATTCAGCTTTTCATGCTCTCAAGTGACATTGTGAGGCATGCAGAGTTTTTAAATAAGCCTCGGGTATGTATATATGTTGTATTTTGAGGTATCAGTATGTTGAACTACTTTGTGGTATCTGGGTTCAACCGAATAACAAAAAAAAACAATTGAAAATCATTGTTTTGAATACACCTCATCATGACTATGTTCAGCTGAAGTTACTGTGTCACCATTACTACTACATGACAGAGAGACCTGATGGCCTGAAGGGTCACATTGGTGGTGGCACAGAGGCAAAAGCAGGAAGTGGCAAAAGGAGCTTCATCGTGCTGCTTATTCTATGTACTGTATACAATTTAAGTTATGCCATGATTTTCTCTTTATACAAGTAAGTTTCACTTTTAGGTAACGTTAGCTATGCAGCATGCGGTGTAAGTATTTGACTGTGATCCATTAGTCATGCTACTTTTGTAGTTTGTTCCGCTTTTCGTAATAGCAGCACTTCTTTTTTCTATGAATCAAGCTGTCTTGAAACAAAATTTCTGCTGAAGACACTCGGTATGTGAGATCTTTGTTAAACCTGATCGAGAAAGCAATTATGTGTACCTTTCACTGTTTTCGCAGGTATCTCAACAGGTTACACTGAGGTGAACGACCTCTCCAAAGAGCAGGAAAGCAGGATAGCCAGCGTGGTGTTGCCTTGCATTCTTAACAGGTAAGTGGGGAAGCTTCTGTGCGTCTTAATGAACTGCAAAACATAGGCTTGCTTTTTGCTTTGTTGGAACTGAAACATTGCTTAATTTGATACGTGAAGAAAGACTAAAAGAATATGAAATCTGCTAATGAAGGTGTGGCTATAAAACGCACAGTTTACTGAGCTGCGTGGGCCATAGTTCACGTTGCGGGGCACTTTGTCACCTAAATCCAACCGTTCCGCCATAAAGTTGCATTTGCATGGTGTTCTACAGCACTGGAAGCTTCAAGCAATTTAACCTGCTGAAATTGGCTGTACAGACGTTCCTGCTGTTTCAGATGGTAAGAGGTCCTCGGGATTACATCAGTGTAGCAGCGGCATTTTGGCATTATCGACATGCTTTGCGTGGAATATTTCCTTACCACTTGTCTGGATGCAAACATTTTATTTCATACTTTGTTTGACTGCTCAATAATGGTAATGATTAGCAAGGAAAGCTTGGGGTTACAGTAGGAAGTTGGATACATTTTGTCATTACAGTGTCAAATTAATGGAAAAACAGTAGTCTCAGTTTTACTTGCATGTATTGGACCTGTAGGGGAGAATTCAGTGGGCACAAGAGACAAGTTCAAAGTGCCACTGCACAAGACAACCCAGAAGATTTCACATCTTTAAATGAAAAGCCATTTCATGTAACATCTTTCAGCAATCACAAAGATGATGGAAAGTATGCTGAATATTACAGCTTGGAAAGGACAACTGAGAATGAATGACTTGATGAATGATCTTACTTTAAAGTCTGCCAGTTTCCTTAGGGCGAGGCAGGGGTAAAAGGGGATTGACCCCCGTCCCTTCCCACCCTCTGTCTATCATGATGGCGGTGCTTCGGGTGACGGCTCGAAGTCCTTGGACGCTATATGTTACAAAACATTTCGCTAGGTGTATTTCAGCTTTCAGTTTTTTTCTGCAGTGCTGCGTCCAAGCTGAAGTTGAAGAGGTACCACCAGGCTTTGGATGACTGCGATGAGGTGACCAATTATGAATGGTTCTGAAAGTTTGCTTGATGTTATATTTACTGGAGTGAGGGTGGAGGGATAGTGTCAGCTTTTTGATACTACACAAAGTTATTTGAAATAGCTTATTTATTTCTGTAATTTGATTTCAAACCTTTCTTATTTTAATTGTTCTGCCCGACTTTTTTTTAAGATATTTGCTTTTATACTGTTTGTGTTATTTTTAGTAATGTATGTGATTTCTTTCAATTTCAAACTGCTACATACAGGGAGTTTTATCCAAGCATAAGCATAAGTGCATAAGCCAAGCATAGGCTATATAAATTTAAATTAGTCAGACTGGGATAATATCTATTGTCTTTAATATGGGCACTGTGGTGAAAAATTGCTTATAAAAGACATGCATAGGATTTACCGCTCAAAACCTACTTGCGTTTGATATTTGGGCAGCTATATAGATGCACAATATGACCACTGAAAAGGTGTCTAGATACTTGAATCTGTTAGTAGCCATTTTTATTGCACACCTGTTCTGTACACAGTAGTGTACATGTATCCATATTTGTAATAACCCATAATTCTGTGTGGGACTGTATATCTCATTTATATTTAAATAGATGAACCATTTTGTAAATTAAACGAAAATTTACATAGTCTTGGAAAGGTTATGATAATGCAAGCTAACCACGTTTATCTTGAATGATGTTGGTAGGCTATGAGTTTTAATGTCAACTGCTCATTGCCTGTCACTGTGCAAAATGTTTCTAAATGGAGTGAGGCAGCTGAACAATAATATTAATCAAGCATTTCTTGTTTTGCAGTGAAGCTGTAAAACAACCAATACAAAAGAAATTAAATTCAAGACGAGACCAAAGTGCATCTGTCCTATGGGCGCAAGGCCTCCTAGCGCATAGGTGCCACAAAATTGGGCAAGCCCCGCTACTCACCACTTGTCCACTAAAAAAATGAAGGGAACACTCGGATAAAGATTTTGGAGCAAACATAACCAGTAATTGAGAAATACTTTAATAATAATATCTGGGGTTCAACGTCCCAAAACCACGTATGAACCGTATGATTATGAGAGATGCCGTGCCGTAGTGGAGGGCTCCGGGAATTTCGACGACCTGTTGTTCTTTAGCGTGCATCCAAATCTGAGCACACGGGCCTACAGCATTCTTGCCTTCACCGAAAATTCAGCCACTGCAGCCGGGATTCGATCCCGGGAACTGCGTGTCAGCAGCCCCAGTCTTAGCCACTAGACCACCGCGGTGGGGTTTAGCATAGACTTTAATGAATCCTAAGAGCTAACCCAGTGAGAAATGCCAGGGCTGAACGTTTCAGCTTCGCTGGTTGACCATCTGTACGGAATGCTTGGGCGTTTTTTTTGTTGTTGTTATTGTTGTTGTTTTTTTTTTTCGAGAAAGCACAACTTTGCGCACATTTGCAGGCCCTCGACCTTGAACCAAGACACCCCAAGGCACTCTTCCGGAGGGGCCAGGCTTTCCATGGCATGCGAGAGTACGAGAAAAGCATGGTATGTTCCCTTTTATGCTGATTTTTTTCAACTTCGTGGGCTATAAAGCTCTTTGTGTGCAGTGTGTTGTGAATCGCAATGTGTTGGCTCATAACCTGAACTTTGCGCTACGGCAAGTGGTCTCCTGTACCCAGGCGTGCGTGCGCTTATTTTTTAGTGGGGACAGTTTGCACATCTTGTGCTCTCACCGAAAAAATTGCGTTTAGGTTGCAGAGTGCACGAAGGTCCCTTGGCTCACTGCAAAGGGCTAGCAAAAAAAGCGCTTTGTTCGAACACAGTGAAGTAATGACTGTGACTTTTGTAAGTTCGCGATCGTCTTGTGTATGCCTGTGCGTATGTTTCGTGCGTTCTTTGTGTGTGAGAAGCACGTGAAGTGCAGAGCTGTAAACGTTCTTAGTATGCACGCGCTCGTCCTTTGTGAGTTCCTTTCCTGTGTCCTCTGTGCTTGGGCAACACGCTCTAAGATTCTATCTGCTAGCCATTCGTCTCATGACATCCCAATATGTTGCTATTGCATTCATTGCATTGCCCTTGCAGCATCACTCTTTTTTGAATACACCAAGTTCAAGTGGAGTTAACGAAGGTTTGTTGTGCGCTGTAATTTCTTTCTCTCTTCTCTTATCCCGAAGAGTGTGATAGATGCTTAACAGGAAGGGGTGGCACGGGGGAAAGAAGTTACATCAAGCGCACATCACGACCTTGATCTCTTACTACTAACAGTGTAGTGAGTGAGCGTGCGGGCACGTGGTGGCCTCCCACAGCAGGAAAACCTTTCATTGTGTCGCCGTAATCAGCACGCAATACTTAAATCGGTCAATGACTGTGAATTTGAGTATATGGCATTATTTGTGGAAAGAAGAGAGAACAATTTGTAGCTGACTGTAAGAAATGCTTACAACTTCCAGGCCACATGGTGCGCTATAGTGCTTGGCTCACTTGTTCTTAGGAGCCTAGATAGGCTGCTTTTTCTGAGCATGCTGAAAAAGTGTACCAGGGCCCCGTTAAGGCGTTGCTTTGTGGTTTTGCAGGTGAACCTACAACAAGCACTCTCCCTCTCTCCCAACAATAAAGGTAGGTAGCGTTAGCCACCAGGCTTTTATGAACAGGTAGTGTGTGCTCTCGTCTTATGCCTTTGTGTCTGATGCCACTTCAGGTTCATTTAATATTAGTGCTATATTGCTTTGAAAATGTTAAAATCCATCCGGAAATAGTGTCTCAAGTATCATTTTCGGGCACAATATCAAGTCATCTCTAATGTGTCTAGGACAAATCATTTCATTATGCACACCAGTAGTAAGCGATCACGCATCAGCCTATACCTGAAACATCATAAAGATAGCTTAAATGAAATACACTTTAATTATGTTGTCAACTATTATAAAGAACATGTGTATTCATTATCATAAGCCAAGAACAATGCCGAAATACTCTATTGCAGGCCATCGACTGCTTTATACCTCTGTCTCTTGGTGCTAAGAGGTGGTTTAACATAACCTGCCCTTTGATAGTCCAAGGGACAAGACGTTGTTTCATAAAGAAAGCACTAATGCCCCATCTTGACGTTATATACAGCAGTATTACTAAAACAAGTGACGAGGAGCTGTATGACACACGTTATTTGCTGCCAAAAAGCTCACGCTGGAACCTTGCTCTTATGTGCTATGCAGTGAAGGTGAAGCAAGGGTGGGCTTCCTACGATTTTGTAGTTGTTCGCTTCAAAAATTTTTTTCGCCCTTAAAACAAAGATTACTCTTCTCAGACTTGCTCCTTATGTTACTGACAAACTGTTCTATGCAATAATATAAAAGCCATATTTTTACTTGAACTGCTACATTGCAAAAATTAGGCCACAATACGAGTCAAAATGCTGTTTTTCCTAACTTTGCCACAACATTCTCGCAACATTTTTGCTTCATTTGCTCTCAAATTATTTTAATCTCTGAATATAGAAACATGTAGAGCAGAAAATCCTAATATATTACTGGCGAAAATATTTTTTGCTTTTTTATAAAAAATGCAAAACATGCAGTATATTTCAATTTCTCACCAAAGCAAAAAATAAAAAAATAATGCAAAAATAGATGAACTATCATAGACATGAAAGACAAGTGCCTTGATATTAATGAAAAAATTGTTCCAAATTAATTACTCAAACCAGTAATATATAAACTATTTAGCACAGCACAGTTTCAATTGGGTGCCCAAAGTTTGAAGCTCCCTCTAGGCAACACAAAATTTTTTTTTGCCAATTATAACGCCTCAATAATTTCTTCTCACATTCGTATATACCTCCAGAATTTTTTCAATATTATCGTATGTGGTCAAAATTGACCGGGTGCCCTTGATATGGAATGACCCATATGACTACAACTACGGAATCAGGGTTCGTGTTGACTCCCTAGTGTGTAAACTATATATTTGGACTTGGCACCTGTTCTGCTATGCACTTCTCTAACCGATCCTCACAAATATACTGCTGGAATATTTTAAGAATGTGCTATCAACAAGCCCTAAAGGTGTTTTAGGAAGTCAAAACAAAATGTAGCTGATCCCTCTGTCTAGGAATCAGCATAACACGAAAGTGCAACATGTTTTAGCAGAGGCAATTGAGAGTTATTGTGCATTGTTTCATCACAAGGTCGAAGGAATGAATGCTACAGCAACAAATTGTAATAACGACAATCAGCTCGAAACTTGCAGCGCGCATTTGAAGCAGAAAGCACGCACGAAATCAGCATAAATAGGACGAGCACGGACCAACAACGGAACTTTTTCTTCTCATTTTTTCTTTACAATCTGTTCGGATATACTTTACAACGTCATATCTGTGACGGAAATATGTCAGCGGAGCCGTGGTGGACGCCAGCATAAAACACTTTTCTGTTGAAAACTGAATTCCCATGTGCAAATATGGCTTCACGGCAGTGCTTCACAGCTATGCAAAGAAGCTACCATTGAGGCAATATGTTCGTGTTATTTTTTTAAGAAGTGTCCCACTTAATGGGGCTGAGAGTACGCATTATACATGAGCAAATGCGTTATGTGTTACAGGTAGAGCCGGAATGCAAACATGATGCCATAACCGTGCCACAACATCCCGGATTTTTTGTTTCTGCCACCTTAACTGGCGGCATTAGTTCTGATTTTGATTGTACGTTGACCTCCCAACTTCGAATGTCAAACTCTGAATAAACGGGTCAGCCTACAGTTGTGTAAATGCAGTACAAGTAAAAAATGTGATTTGAGTATTTGGTTAAATGGCCCTTTATTGAGGGATGCTTGGCTGCCTTTCCTTTCTCTGATTATTTCCAAGATTGAACACACCGTAAACCAGCAAGGTATATGCCAGTAAGTACTGTAATTTCTCGTTATATTATCTACATAGTTGCTGTGCATTGACTGTGGCGTTCATTTTTCTGCAGCAATACTTTCAGAGATTGCAGCTGTCAAAGGCGAAATGCAAGCCTACAAGGCAAAGGAGCGCAAGGCCTATGCAAAACTTTTCAACTGAGCTCTTGGAATGGGGTCCATCATCTACATAGTTTCACTGTCGGGCTGCTGTGCCCTGTTAGAGCTTGGACAGCTCATCCACATCAGAAGCGCTGGTGCACACCTTAACAAGCTTTGTGCACGCTTCACCTGAAGGCGACACCAGTGGGCTGTGGCCAGTTTACTTTGATTAGCTCAAACCTAAAGTGCGCAGGCAGCGATGGACTTGTGCTGTCAACTATTGCCTTGTGTTTTTTAGAAAGGCATTTACAATGGCAGCCTATTTCCTTTGCTGCAAGTTAGGGTAAAGTGACCACACCTCCTAAATCTGTATAAAGTGATCCTAAACCACCTCCCGAGGACACATCAGAGAGAGCTAGAAGGTTGCACAATGTTACCGTTTTGTGACGTAACATATGACACTCGACTCCTGTTTTATCTAGTTTTCGTGCCAACAGGGCCGAGAGCAGATGAATTCTGAGGAATGCTGGCAGATAGTAATACTCCTGAAGGAGTGTGAAATGCACAAGAACAGCGGAGGACAGTATTCAAAAAAAAGGTTGCGTACTTAACTGTTCAACTGCAGTTTTTGTACAATTTTTATTTCGGCAGACGTGTACAATATGAGATGTGGCACTTCATAGTGTGAATCATTTTTGTTCATACACATGAAGTGCGTTTGTGCAGCCAATACAAATACAGCAGCATTGTATTGCAGGCACATTTATTTTCACCCAATGCGAATGCAACATGGCATGAAAGCTCCTGGTGCACAAATCATCGTGTGGAGGCTGTGCAAATGACTTCACTTCGCACCCACTACTATATGGAAAACAATTTATCTTGCTGGAAAGCCAGCTAGCAATACTGTAACAGTACGTAGAACAACTGATATCGCTCCCTGCTGTTGCTGGCTGCAGCAGTAGGAGGTTTTACACCTTGGGTGTCACTTGTGCTGCAGTTGTATTGGCCGTACTAGTTCTTTTCAAAGCTGGCTTGTATTTTTTTACGAGTTCTTGCACACAAGAGATGCAGTGGAGAATGTACATTTTAGCACAAGCTGAATAGGGGAGAAATTTGCTGATGCTGCATGCCAAGTACTGCTGTTAAAGAAGTCACAGGACAGGGAGTTGTTGGACATTGTGAAAAGAAGTCACCATTTTAAGGGTCACTCCTAGCCACCACTTTGCACATTTTTTTGCTTTTTGTGTGATGCGGCATTTTTTGCAAATTTTCTAAATGAAGGATTCTGTTTGTAGTCTTGAACCGTGACAAACTTGCCTTCACAGTATCTTAAATCAGTAACGTGGCAGTGCTCTGAGGTGGTGAGACATGAAAGTTGACAAAAGTTGTCCAGTCACTTCATTAAAACACTTCTCCCCCATCTATTTGTTTCACATTGCTTTTTTTTTTATTCCACCCACTTCTGGCACATTACGTACTAGAACCTGTACACAAATGCATGTACATACTTTTTATGGGTGCCATGTATGCTTGTCAGCCCATTTCTGTACATACCATAACACAATGTGATGAGACATTTGGGTTTTTGTGCTGAAGAGGTGTCTGGAGCGTTGTCTTTGCTAGTGCTGACTGTATGAGAGAGTCTTGTAAAAATACACTGGCTGTGAATTATTTGTCGCATTTGCCTCAGTGACTGCAAGTCTGCAAGGATATGGCAAGAAAAGTGTCCACAAAGGTAAACAAATTGAGTAATATGGACTACATTTTAATTTCAGCTTAAGGTATTCGAATGGAAGTTGCCTGTCACCCCTATCTGCATGCATCGGTCGAAAACAACAGCAGAATTTCTGCCGTGTATGAAGTACAAACAGGAGTAGTAACATGACCTTAGCGCTCGTATCTTCACAGTCGATTGATATATTTTGGTATCGGGCGCCCATAAAAAGTACATATGGAGTTTACATACAGCGAGAAACAATTGTAAACTCTACCAATATATGAGTCGGGTTCATGCGCTCCCACGTCGTATTAACATTTATAAACGGGGACACAAAAGGTGCTGTTACTACACCTGTCCATACTTCGTGCACTGCAGAATTCTGCTGTCATAGCAGCTTTAGAAGCAGATGATTCGTCAGCATGTGCACTGTGATCGTACCTATAGAACAATGCCTTTTATAGACTAACAGTCTCGGTGAAGCGCGTCTTCTCGTTGCGCCGACCAATAAGCATGTACGTTCCCCGGAAAACAAGATTACTTCGCACCAACATTCTATTTATCGCATAACTTCAATCTTAAAGAAAATGGTTGACACGTGTCTGGAACGTTAGTGTCGGATGAATTTGGCACGGCGTCGATCTTCGTCATTCCAGCGGTAGTCATCGTCTGCAACAGGCCCACGAGAAGGGGCATACCACACCCATTGAAGCGTTGAAATTCTTAGTGGCGAAGCTCCTTATAGCGGCACCCGTTCGTCTCTCGTAGTCGTAGTGTGTAACCAGTGTTACATTTTGACCTCCAAGGTGGTGCCAGCGGGAGATTTCTCCTGTGCGTTGTTGAACAATAAAAAAAAATTCGCAGCGTGCGCGTTAACTAAAAGCCGAATGCTCCTGTCTCTCATTTACCATTAGCAGCCATTGGCATGTACATTGAGCTCTATCTGACAGGAAAAGGTTGCTATGTTATACTCGCTGGGTGTAACCTCCTTGGCTTTAGAAAGGTTTAGCGAGCGTTGGGCCGCACTGCCATGAATACAGTGAACTAGTATATACCATGAACTCGGGGTGGTTAAAGGTGGGAAGTAGACCCGAAGCGCAAGCCGTAAGAAAGTGTGCGTGTGCCACCTCTCGTTTAGTCCTTGGAATGTCCGCTGGGTAGTGGTGCTCCTATATGGGGAATGTATCATGAAAAGATGCGAGATGGTGGTACTTCAAGTGTTGAATAGATGGACGAACGTACACACAAACAGATGCATGGATGGACGCATGAACGGACGCAGGGGCGGATGCATGGACGACCGCACGAACAGACGGGCGGATGGACGCATGGACGGTCACACAGACGTACGGAAGCAAGAACGAATGGACGGACGAATGCTTCGCCCCACTCTCCATCATGCACTTCGTGGATATGTTGCCATTTTTTTTTATGTTTGTAGTCTAAAACGAACAGCAGCGATGCGCATATAGAGGTGCGCAGAGGAACGTCGCAGCGCCCGCCCTCCCCGTGAGCACGCCCATGCGTGTAAAGGCCTTACCACACGTACGCATTGCAGCCCTTCAGCGCTTGGCTTTTTGACGCGGTGCCGCACACTCTTGTATAGAGAGGGTGTGCGGCTACGCGAAGCTGCGCTCCCTAAGTGGTGACGGTCTGCAACGCACGCGTATGCTATCGGCGTCAAATATGAAACCCGAACAGCAGCAATGCCGTGGTGATGGTTTAGTGCGCTCCGTCCATTTATCACCATTGGCAGTCGCGCGCATCCTGTTCGGCAGCACTGTACATATATACGTGCTGTCCTATGGTGATAAGTGAACGGTGCGCACTATGCCATCATGAAGGCTTGCTTCTGTTCGGGTTTCGTTTAACTCCGATAGCGCGATAGGACGTGTGGTCAGGCCTTAAGAGCTGCATTTCGAGCGACACGCCTATCTGGTGCTTTGGCTTCGCCACAGTGTATGTCTGAAATTAGTCTGAAAAGTTGAGCTCTTTATCACCCATAATAAGGTTCAATATTTGTCTGACGTCACACATTGCAGCGACGCACTAACGTACGTAAGAACCACCTTAAGAGCTGAAAGTTCGCTGTTGCGTTGGCTTTGCCGCAGTATACGTCTGAAAGCAGTCGAAAAAGCTGAGCCCCTTATCACCCATGATAAGGCTCGACTTTTGTCTGACGTCAGGAACTGCCGCAACGCACCTACGTGTACAAGATCTAGCATCCGAGCTGAAATTCCCCTGTTGGGTTCGCTTCACCACAATAAATATTGAAAAGCAGTCGAAAAATTGAGGCCCATATCACCCATATGATAAGGCTTAACTTTTGACTGACGTCACGAATTTCAGCGACTCACCTACGTGTAAGGGCCACCTTCCCAGCTCCCATGGTGCAATGGTTTCACCGCAATATGTAACGACATGTTCCCCTGATGCATTAGCTTCGCCGCCGTTTATGTCGAAAAGCAGTCGAAAAAGCTGAGCTCCTTATCACCTATGATAAGGCTCGACTTTTGTCTGACTTCACGGATTTTAGCGATGTACTAACTTGTAGTAAGAGCCACCTTCCGAGCAGAAAGTTCCCCTTTTGCGTTTGCTTCGCCGCAGTATATGTCTGAAAGCAGTCGAAAAATTCGAGCCCCTTATCACATATGATAAGGCTCAACTTTTCTCTGACATCACACCGTGCAACAGAGGATATACTCTACGTTTATACTAATCTCCCGAGCTGAAGCTTCCTCTGATGCGTTGGCTTTCCCGCAATGCATGTCAAAAAGCAGCCGAAAAAGTTGAGGCCCTTATCAACCCTGATAAGGCTCAACTTTTGCCTGACGTCACACCGTGCAAGGGACGTTATGTATTAGTCTCCCGAGCTGACATTTCCCCTGATGTGTTTGCTTTCCCACAATATACGTTGAAAACCACTCGAAAAGGTTGAAAGCCTTATCACCCATGATAAGGCTCAACTTTTGTCTGACGTCACACGTTGCAGCGACGGTCGCACTGTGCCCTCTTCTGAACTAAGTATACCCCTGATAGATTGGTTTCACGGCAATACACGTCGAAAACCACTCGAAAACGTTGTAGGCCTTATCACCCATGATAAGGCTCATTTTTATTTTGACGTCACACATTGCAGCGACAGTCACTCTGTGCCCTCTTCTGAGCTAAGTACACCCCTGATAGATTGATTTTCGACGTGTATTGCGGTGAAGCCACTCGAAAAAGTTGACGGCCTTATCACCCATGATAAGGCTCAACTTTTGTTTGACGTCACACATTGCAGCGTCTAGTTCTACCTTTAGGTAGCAGAGTAGTGCATTTGTTTTCCAACGGCGCTTGCTACCATTCACTGTGGAGAAGCTGGTGCACAGTCCGCACCACCGAAAGCGGTCACCGTCCACCTGGAATCTAAAAGTGACTGTCGTGCGCTCTGTAGCTCGTTAGCTGGGAACTGATGCTTTTATTTGCTTTAAGTTCATGTCCTTAAGCTTCGACAGCAATGTATTTGCGTGGATTCGGCACCATTCCCAAAAAACATATCTAAAATATTCGAGTCTGCTTAGGAGGGCCCTCCATCAATCTCGGAGGGCCTATATTTTGTGTTTGTGAGTTGTTGCTTATCTTCCATAGCTGGCGCTACTTGACCAAGCGGCAGCGGCGGTGCACGAAACTCCTATTTGATTGATTGATTGATTGATATGTGGGTTTTAACGTCCCAAAACCGCTATATGATTATGAGAGACGCCGTAGTGGAGGGCTCTGGAAATTTAGACTACCTGGGGTTCTTTAACGTGCACCCATGCACGAAACTCTATGGGTGCACGTTATTCGGCACTACGCTACAGTGTGCTGGAACTAGTACGCTGCGCCTTTGCTCTTTGCGTTACCGGACAGACGTGTGTAAGAGCTGCCTTCAAAGCTGAAAATTTCCCTGTTGCGTTGGCTTCACCGCAATATAAATATAAGAAACGCATTCGAGAAATTCGTTGAGGCTTTTATCACCTGCGATAAGGCTCAATTTTTGTCTGAACTCCCAGATTAAAGCGATGAACCTAAAACACGTTTCTTTTTTCTTTCGGAGGTGTCAGAAACAAGACAAAATATTTTCCCCCAGTGTATGAAGGGGAAGCCAACATCCTGCCATGACAAGTGAAGAAATGCTACTCTCGTCTTTTTCCTATGCCAAAGCGCCAGTCTGGCTGCAGATCCCTTGTTTCAGTAGCTCATTCAGAACGCATTGTCCAAATAGAGTGAACTATGGAGTGAATGACGTGCCTCAAGCTTCATGCAGTAGTATATCCTTCGATATCTCTATCAGCACTACTTTTAAAGCCAAATCAATTTTTTTAGTGAATTTGCATATTATGATCTCCTGGAGAAGTTCTTGAATTTATTTCATATGAACGATGTTCTCACTCTAACTTATGACTTATAATAGCTGTCAGCTTTTCTTTTTTTCTCGTTCACCTTGTAATCAACTTTTTTGCATGCAATTGTCAGTATCGGGCTTAAATTGTATGCTTGTAGTGTGATGTACTCCTATTGTTAGTGCCTCCAGGCTTTTGATCACCTGAAGGGACCTCCCTGCTTCTAGTTTACTCAGCGAATTTTGATTTTTATTGAGTACACTGTCCTAGTTTTGCGAGAGCAAGAACATTTGTAATGAGTACCAGCACAGAAAGTGCTTTACTTCAGTGCTAAATTGTTACATTGGCCCTGAAGTTGGTATTTTTAAAACAATTTACTTCTTTAAATATAGTACCTGTCTTTTGTAATAATCAAACTTCAATAAATCAATCAAACTTCATGTTTATGATCAATTAAAAGAAATTATTATAAATAGTAATTTATTATTACTGTTTTAGAGGAAAGTTGATAGTATGTATGAGCCAGTACGGCCTTATTTGAGCTAGTTTTGGTTGTGGATTTGGCCCGCTTCAAAAAAGCCCCTCATAGAGCAAGAAAACAATACATAGGTTAACAAACACTAAGAGAGTAGGTTTATTTTCCAGTTTCTGCGATCCGTTTAATGGCGCCAACAGCCATACTCGCAAACAATAAATAACTTTGAAAGTACACTGTAACAAGGTAATTATCGTCACGCCCTCTCCTGTTGGCTGCTCATGTTCTTCAGGTAGTTCCTGATCTCGGTGGTCATCTTGTCACGGGGAACTTCAAACTGAAAAGAGAGAGAGCCAGCCTTTTAAGACAAAGCTCGCTTGAACACTTACTTGCGATAGTGGAGTGTCAAATAACGAAGTTTGGTGGCTCATGCAGATTCCAGCAAGTGTGAACAATCAGAACTGTCTATAGCAAACACTTACATTGTCACATCAACATTGTAATAACCTTTTTCTAGAGCAGACTGACAAATGGACAAAGAGAGGGAACAACACCAGCACTACTATCAACTGAATGCTTTATTCAGCAAAGGAAAGTGTGTCAGTCTGCACTAGAAAAAAGTTATTACGGTGTATACATACAAACTATCTCATCTTTCAATATTCACAAGATACATATTCAGTGAAGTGCTGCACAGAGGAGCAAAGTGCAGCTGTTTGACAAGCATTTGCAAAAATGCACAGTGAATTTTGGCAACACCTAGGAAGCATTCAGAAACGTCCGTGTACATAAATAAGTGCAGTGCTTCTTTCGCATTAGCAGCCCAGCAGTAATTTTTTTAGTGCCAGCAATCTTGACCTAGCTCTGTTCCAACATATGCCGAGCCCAACTTAAATAAAGAAAGTTCCCAAACTGAAAGTCTACAACTAGAACTTAGAACTACTTTACAAATGAAAGCAGTACAACTCTCACTGAAATGAAGCACAAGCAACCAAATTTCAACCAAATAGACCTAACTACAAACTACCGTAATTACTCGAATCTAACGTGCACCTTTTTTCCGGTTAAGCGAGTTCATAAATCGCATGTGCGTTAGAATCGAGTACGAACAAAAAAATTACGGTCAATCTATTGCCATCGGCAAATCCAAAATGGCCGCCCCCTACGTGCGTCGGCATAGCGCGTCGACCATTTCTGCCTATGTGTTTCCCATGTGCGGCACTTCGTACGTGTGCTGAGGAGTTCCTCATCTAGTAGTGCATTTGAATCGACGGCGTGGATGGGCCGACTCCCAAAACTCGAGTGCACCACGATGCCGCTTTTAAAAGAAAAGTCATCACGTGTGCAGAAACGGACGGAAATCGGGCCGCATCGCGGTCGTTCGGAGTTCCCGAAACGTGCGTGCGGGACCGGCGGAAACAAAAGCAGAAGATTGTCGACAGCAAAACTTCAAGCAAAGGCTTCTGTGGACCACACCAGGGTCGGTTTCCGCAAATCAAGGAGCTGCTCGGCGAGTATGTGCTTGAGCAGCGAGTCGCACAGCGGCCCGTGACGACAGAACTGCTCCAAGTGCGGGCTATGCAATTAGTCTTGGAAAAAGGTCTAATGCGGAGCCAGTTTAAAGCGAGCAGGTGCTGGCTAACTAACTTTATGAAGAGGAAAGGCTTTTTCCTCCGAAGGGGAACATGCATATGCGAAAAGTTTTGCGGAGGAGTACAGTTTTCAGAGGTTCGTCCTAAACTTGCGGCGCAACAACGGCTACCTGCTTGGGCAAATCGGAAATGCCGATCAGATGCCTCTTTACTTCGACATGCCTGGCACCGCAACCGTCGAGAAGAAGGGGGCGAAGCAAGTTCGCGTGCTGACATCGGTCCACGGTAAAACTACAGTGACTGCAATGCTCTGTTACACGTCAGATGGGCACAAGCTTCGCCCGTATCTCATATTTAAATGGAAGACGCTCTCGAAAGGAGTAGCTTTTTCGAGTGGTGTGATCGTGCGGGCCAGCGAGAGAAATGGGTGCGCGTTGCAATTGATGTCTTACTTTTTTTTTTTTTTTCGCGGTGGAAATCGGGTGCGCGTTACAATCGAGGGCGCGGTAGAATGGAGTAAATACGGTATGCATTTATGCATCGACCAACCAGGCATTTTTTTCCTAAACACCTACCTCTTCCCTGGTGGCCACTTTCCTTAGTTTGACCACACCTTTTTGCAATTCTGATTCACCGATGATGATCGCCAGTGGGATCGATCGCTCCTCACAGTATTGAAGTTGCGCCAGCAGTTTAGGGTTCTGCTTGTAAGAATGCTCCACCTAGGATGAGTCATAAGTATTATCAAACACTTCGGTTGAGAATCTCACAACCAGGGCTGCAAAGCCCTATGCAGTCTGCATGCAGAAAGGCTACCTTCAGCCCATGGTCCCAGAGCTCAGAGCAGATCTTCATCCTCTCCCGAACCAGCTGCTTCTGAGCAGACGCCACAAAAACCTCCGTTTCATTCGTCCTCAGCTTGGCCTGTTCCGCCTGATCAAACCATGCAAAAAGAAAAGAATAGAATAAAATAAAGGCTGTGTGTTTGACTTCTAAACAGCACAGTGTTTACTTCCTCCTAGATTTGTTAATGCACAATACTTGATTAACATTTAATTGAATGAAATCTTTCTCTCGAAGCCAACTCTTGAATTACTTCTTCAAATGCACGAAATACAGAAATAATACACTTCTTGGGCAACCAATCAACTGATCTGAATTAAATTTGTATTTTATAGAAGGTTGCTACATGTTTACTTCTATAGACCCTTTTCATAATTTGCAAATGCGTTCTCTGCACTGTATATTTGCCCAAGTAATGGCGGAACATGATGTGCTTCAAGCGGAGGCACAGTCCTAGTTGAACGTGCTGAGGCTCGTGCTCGTCTTTTAAGAGTGTTTACATGAAAAGAACCGACTTAACATTTTCACCGCCATTGCGTGAGCACACCGCACATGAACCGGCTATTAGCAGTAAGTGAATAGCCACCATGAGTTGTTCAAACTGAGCTGAGTTGGAGGAGCGCTAACTTTACAATTTTGGAAAGGGTCAATTAAATTACTATTTGGGACACCAGAAGTGCATAACAAGAGTGGCTGAAAAAAAACAACAATAAATTTGAAGAAAACAATGGTTGGCCACAAATTAGAGAAATTTATTGTTTAAAGTCTAAATTTGCATTAGAGCACTTGAATTTGACAGACCAACTGTATTGGATTGCAGGTCGCACGAAATGTTCACGTTTATGTAAGCTGATCATGTGCCCATTTATGAGTGGGTGGCAAATCTTACCCACTGGAAAGCCATGTATGACAGCTTCAAGTAGGCCCTTCAACAAGTGCAGTCCACTTATAGCAATGTCAAAGTATCAAGAAAATCCCGTCGTTGTAACCAATAATTGATATAAGTGGGTCGAGAAAATAACGACAAAAGGGAGACTAAAACACTTTATTTGCATGCAAGTGAGCTAGTGCAACTACATAATTGTTTGCATAAAAGCCATAAAAGCTGTGTTCGATACTGAGACACTGGATCATCATAATAAGCAGTTTAATTTATCATAGAAAGCATACAAAAGTTAGTGGTGCTTCCACTGTTCATTGTTATATGCAATATATTGTTATAAATGGAATCATTATAAGTAGACTTGACTGTACTCATAGGGGTGTATCAAAATTAAATTTTGAAACAATCAACAAAAAATGTAAATGATCACGTTATTACCCAAGGGTGTCACGAGATATTGCAAAGTAGGCGTAAATCATAGTGACGAAATTAAATGGCTCTCACCAGAGCTCTTGCTTCAAGAAGAGTGAAAATTCGCTCGACGCCGACACTAATGCCCACGCATGGCACAGCCCGTCCCTTGGCATCAAACATGCCCACGAGGTTGTCATAGCGCCCTCCTGCCGCTACACTGCCCACAGTCTCGCCTGGCTGACCATCATCTGCACAGGAAAGAGACAGCACACAGGCTACGCATGAAATTACAAAATCAAAGGCTCCTAAATCAAAATGCCACAGTAGCCAGTATCTATGTTAGAGGCCACGGGGCATGCTTTGAGAGCTTGGACACTGTAAACAATGAAAAGCAGTGCCAGTGATGGTGGAACCATTCCACAAGACGACACTTGTTTTAAATTTCGAGCTCAAGATTAACCATAGAATTTAGGCGAGACAAGGTGATTGAATAGGCACGACTACAGATTTTTGTGTGATGACTGTGGTTCACGTACTTGCAAAAAATGTGGAAAGAACTATCCTGGTGATAAAAGGTTAATTCAGAGGGTGCGATGGCCTGAAACAACACACCATGAGAAACGCTATAGCGGAGAGCTCCATCAACCAAGCCCTCTCCAAAGGCTCTCCTCATTAAGGCATATTGAATAATATCTTTCTGTAAGAGACTCAAGGCAGAAATGCATCACAACACTTTTTTAAAGGCTGTATTAACAGCAGAGAGCAAAATAAATGAAACGCTGCAAGGTGATATTGTAGGTTACCAATTCCACAGCTATAGCCTTTCCCATTTCCTGAACTAGGGACAAGCAACGTTCCTTCCCTGCACAGTCAAACTTCCACACTCTGTGTCTCATAAGAATCACCGAGTTCTCATATACATAGCCACGGGCATTGCTTGTCTGCATGCAATGAGGAGACAATAGTGACACCACTTCATTTGGTAAGGAGATTTGCTTGTTGAAAAAAAAAGTCTGTGCAAATTTTCTTTAGCATTTTCACATTTTTTGCTGTACAAGTTAATGAAACATATTGCAGGCATGACTGTCACCACATTGTTAACGCACCACATTTGTATGTTTGCAGTGGCCAAAGCTTTAATTAACTGAGCCCGCAATGCTCCATAAGTGAGAGAATTGTTGCATTCTGCCTCACAGTGAGGTAAAGTACCTGCACTGAATTCGAATCAAAAACTGCCTGCTTGAGCATAATGGCACGGACCCCGAAAAGTGTGTTGCATTTTGCAGAAACTAAAATCAAATAAAAGTTGAAGATCAAAGTGACATTACAGTAACTATGTGCAGTGGAATTTTGACTAAGACGTTCAAAGTGAACAAAAGCTGCCAAAAGTGATGAGAATCCATAAAAATTGAAGCACTGTGCCAACAGCTCTGCAATTCCAAAGTACAGAAATTTGCAAGTTTATGTATCACAGCAATTACATACCTTGCAAATATTAGAGTATGTATAGCAGATAACAATGATATACAAAATATTACTCTAAAGTTTACCGATTGATAGAGTTCCACGTAGGTTGCAAATTGAGAAATTGGTCGACATGAGACACTGCAGTTCACAAAGCTCCAACACCTTTTTTTTTTTAAGTGAAGTTACAAAAGTAAGAGATTTCCCATACAGACAGACTTTGCATTGCCGACCACCTACATAAAGTCGAACCTAGACATATCGAACCTGAATGTGCTCACAATTTTTCATTATGGGTAATTCAACAAATGGTATTTATTTTATAAATATAAAATATTTCAAAAGAACTTCCCAACAGTTCAATACACGGGAGTCTGCCTGTATGAGGTTTATTCACTGAGGCTTGTAAAACTGAACTTTAGGCAGATGCTTTAGGCAGCTACTTTAGGCAGTCTTTAGGCAGATGTGCCTTGCCTTTCAAGCAGATATATTACAACACTGTGAGCAGTAAAGTCTGTGTTGCTGCTTTAAAGGGACACTAAAAGCCACTATTAAGACGACGTTGATTGTAGAAACCTCGTAGTGTTACTTTTGTGCCAAGGAAGGTCAGCACTTGCTAAGCTGGGGAACAAGGCGCCAAGAGGGAGGGTGCGCTCGATTCCCACAGAATCAAAAACAAATGAACAAGCAGCATTTTATTCATCTCTTGATGCACGGAAGGTTCTTTATTTAGCGCAGCTAGATCAATTACTAGTGATTAATTGTAGGTGGTTTGTCTGACTTCACCGGGATCATTCTGTGAACATCCTACTGTGGCCCATTTGTTCTCGTGCATTTACATTAATTTCTCGGTAAATAGGGCACTGCTGTTGATAATATTATCGTTTTAGACGTCATACATTGAGTTTTCACTCTTGACGTAAATCGTTATATGGCTTTAGTGTCCTTTTAAAGTGCTCAGCACAGACCATACAGACGAAAAATCTCACCAGTAAGTACCGCTTCAAAGATGATTCCTGTGTAGTAGTCGAGCCCTCGTGCAAGGCTCAAGTCGAAGGACACCTGCACCGTGAGTTTACTTAAGTCAAGAGTTGGCCAAGCAACCTCCTGCTAAAGAATAACTAAAGGACGATGTGACAAACCTGCTTCACTAAAATTAAAACCCCCCTTTGAATGAGATAAATCTCAACAAAGTTTCCTGAGCAATCTCTGAATGACAGAACATTGACACCTTTTACATGTACTACGGTATATATATGGGCCAAAAGAAACAAAGCTACAGCGTCCTCTTAAAGGGCCACTCACCAGGCTCCATACCGAATTTTAGTTAGACATTGGAAGTTGCTGGGTGTCCGATGAGAAAACATTTTGCCACAAAAATGTTTCAAATCAGTTCATCACGAGCGGAGAAAACAGGTTTTTTGAAGCGGTCCAAAACGAGGATGAAAGGAGGTGAGCCTTCGCAAGCCAAATCTCTTCCCCACCCTCTCCAGCAACCGACGATGAGGTGACGTGCGCATGAGGTGCCCAAACAAGTCCAACTCCCGAGCACGCGAGCAGCGTTGCTTTCTTGACCAGTGTTATTTTGTGGTCATCTGCCTGTTTCTGCGGGATGGTTTGGAAACGCTGGCTTAGACGCGGTAGAGTAGATGAGCACAATGAGTGCGCGAACGCATGCGAAACGCTGGCACATTAGCCCCGCATCTCGTAGCATTTCACGGGAAAAATGAAAGAAAAACAAGCACAATTTTTTATTGCACCTCATTATTTTTTTCAAGTTTTATTAATCTCTTAAAGCAACAAATACATCAACTACGCATGTTGTGTTAAATAACTTTTGCCATGTCACGTGGTATACTGTTGACAATGTCAGAGCAGAGTCGTATACGTAGAAGACCAACGTCATTGCATTGCCGTGTACGTAGGGCCATTCATACGCCCACGTCATGCCCTCATTCTCTAGGCGTGCACCAGCAGAGGGAAGGAAAAGCAGCATTCATCTTGAAATTTGACCCATTTTAGCAGCACGTAGCGTTGCAAATTTTGGAAGACGTGATCATGAACGCCTCGTCTACGCATTGCGCTTGTCAGCTCAAAATTGTCAAACCTGCTGAGTGGCCCTTTAAAGAACCCCTTCACCATGTTATAAAAATTTTGAGCTGATAAGCACAATGAATACACCGGGCGTTCACGACCACAACGGCCAAAACTTGCAACACTACATGCCGTAGAAATGGGCCAAATTTTAAGCTGAACCCTGCTTGTCCTTCCTCTCGTGGGCGCGTGCCCAGAGAATGAGGGGATCACATACATGATGGAATGGCCCTACATAGTAGTTAGCAGTGCTGTGACGTCGCTCCTGTACGTAGAAAACTGCCCCGCCGCGGTGGTCTAGTGGCTAAGGTCCTCGGCTGCTGACCCGCAGGTTGCGGGATCGAATCCCGGCTGCGGCGACTGCATTTTCAATGGAGGCGAAAATGCCGAGGCCTGTTTGCTAAGATTTGTGTGCACGTTAAAGAACCCCAGGTGGTCGAAATTTCTTGAGCCCTCCACTACGGCATCTCTCATAATCATATGGTGGTTTTAAGACGTTGAACCCCACATATCAATCAATACGCAGACAACTGCACTTTGATGTCTCCAACTATAGCACGTAACACTGCGATAATTATTTGGCCAACATGTAGTTTGTGTTATTTGTCGCTTGAGTAGATTAATAAAATTTGAGATTAATAATGAAACACAAAAAGAGAGTTTGTTTTTTTTTCAATTTTTGCTACGAATAGCAGCATGATGCAAGACTAATCTACCTCCGTTTCGCATGCATTTGTGTTTTCCCACTTTATGCAGATGCCACACCTAACAATGAAACTAACTTTCTATCACATTCCAGAGATCATTAGGCTCATTTATCATTACACTCATTTTGCTGCATCGCCTCTAAAGCAGCACATAGATATATTGAATGAAACAGTAGTTCTCTACAAAAATGATGCAATTTTATAGGCCAATACCGTTATAATTTTGAGGCACACCATAGCAGGGGATTCAGAGTTAATTATGACATCCTGGTGTTCTTTGATATGCAACCCAATCTTAAGCACATTGGCAAATGTGTTTTAATCTCACTGGGGGACTTCCTCGCTGGATTTCGTGCCAACCGGTTGTGCCCCGCGATCTCCAACGACAGCGCAGCTCTGGCCGACTGAGCTTGCCTTACGTCATCTCTTGACGCCAATTAGAGCTCTCGCTGAGTGGTTCTCCGTCCTCATACTTCTGCAACCGTGTCCATCTTTCCTATCTTCTCCTTACTTCCGTATGTGGATGTCTCTGTGCCTCTCTTTCTCTTCCTGCTCCTCTCTCTATCCCTTTACCTTTAATTCCTCCCTATCCTTTTAATCCCTCCTTACCCCCATTCCTGCGCAGAACTGTGAAGGTGCCCTCCATTGAGAAAGAGGCAGTAACGGAACTGCGCTTATTTCTGCCTTTTCCCCTTTCAAAAGTCACTTACTAATCTCAGTGAAATGCAGCTGCTATGGCGAACAATTGAATCGGCCACACTGTGCTTAGTAGAGCAAGCTCATCTCACCAAATGCCCTTTTTTTTCTTTTTCAAAGTACTTCTGGAATAAAACATGACACACGGAAGCAGAATGGAGCCTGACCTTGTTGGTGATACCATAAAGGTCACAATATTCTAAGAATAGCTTCATTTCCTCCAGGCCTCTCTTGGCTGCCGCATTAGTAGCAAGGCCATCAGACAGTAGAGCTGTCACAAGTTCTGGACCACCTGCCCAAGAAACAGCAAAAACATCACTGCTCTGTAAAAAGTTGTCGATGAGATCCAGAATTAAAAAACAAAAGACATTATGCACTCAGACGGCCTTTTAGTTTTTTCCCCTTTCGGTAATCATCTGAAAGTTTCACAATACTACAGCAAGAAAATGATAATGCAGAAATGGGTGCCATGAGATAAAGTGGAACGTTGAGATGAAGAACTTGTACATGTAAGAAATCCAGGTAGTAATCAAATACGAACTCAAGAGGCTCTCAACCTACAGCGAATAAAATCTTAAGATGACCATTGAATCATAAGACAACACACAATTATGAAAACTGCAGTAGCACATTTGATGACAAATAAAGATAAGTGGTTCTGAAGATCAGAAGTTTCTCTGACAGGAACCGCCATAGAAGGCACTCAAAAATAAGCAGTCTGCTTCTTTGTATCAAGAATAATATTTCACATAAGCGTAAGCTGAGATACCTTTTTTGACGACAAACTTGTTAATGTTGTCAGCCACTTCTTCAGCCAATCCCTTTTCAGAAACCATTTCCTTGCGGACATCCTCCCAAGGCAACTGAGAAGGACAATAATGTGGCACATAAGCGAAAACTGACGAACTTGGATAGCAGTAATTAATTTATTTACTGGTTTGTTGAACAGTGCACAGACGACACTTCTCTCCAGTAGAAGTAAAAAAATTAGACAATGCACATTGTTACGTTTTCCCTATTTCAATTACTATACTGAGGCATCAAGCTTATTGTAGCAAAAATAGGGCATTACATGGCTAATTAATATGCCAGTCTCCATGATATATATGCTACGCCAAAGCATGCAGGTCACACTTTTTTCTTTTACATTTACATTTACAGGAGTCTCAATTTAATTCCCATACCATCAAAAACTAGCATGACAGTTCGCTAACCTTATCGAGCTTGTCAACAGCAGAGCAGATGGTCTTGAAACTGTCTGCGGGTACACCACAAAATTCAAACATTCCATTGAGGATCTCTCGATGGTTGACCTGCAGAAAATTTTCATAATTTCACACAATTTCATTTAATGTGAACAGAAATCTGTGTGCCAAGGCAAAAGTAATATAGCAGAGTGTATTAACAAGCCGCGTGAACATGGCTAAAGGGACACAAAAGGCAAATATTAGCTCAATTTTGATTGTTGAAATAGCAGTCTAGAAACTTCGCAGTGCTACTTTTGTGCAAAAAAAAGCGCTTATTTTAAAATAAAATGACGTTTTCGTCCACATCAAGTTAGCACACTTCAAATCACCCGCCTGAAAGCAGTCTTCAAGGCATGAGCGTTGCCGCGCCCAAGTTGCCCGCCTTGCTGCGCGACCGTCAACACTACTAGCAGCAGAGCAAAAGTAGTGGGAGCCCCAGCAGCAACAACGGCCACTGAACAATTTTCTGCCTGCTTGGTTCAACTGAGCCCCACAAGGTGGCATGACCTGTCCAGTGTAACCACGCGAAAATCGAATTTTTGAACTACTTGCACCATTCCATATATTAACATTTGGCGGTTATGTTTTCTAAAGATCAAAAAGAAACAGACAAGCAGCTTTTTATTAAGTTTCTTAATGCACGGAAGGTTCTATTTTTGTATAGCTTGTTCGATTGCGAGTGATAAATTGTAATCTGATGCTATCACGTCATAGGGATTATTTAAAAAATGTACCACTCATAGCACACGTCATGTGATACATTCAGCTTAATTTCTCGGTAAGTAGGGACTGCTGTTGATAATACTGCCATTTTAGACATTGTCATACATTGAGCTTTCACTATGACATAAATTGTTATTTGCCTTCAGTGTCCCTTCAAGTCTCTCTGTGCCACCATACCTACATGACCTGCACATACACAATGGAGTTTACATCCCAATTTGGTCTTGTAAAATGCATAACGTGGCATCAAACATTAGCATCTCCTGAAGCACTCATTTAATGCTAATCCTCCCATGTTATATATGCCCTCATGTCCCCTTTACTCAATATCCTTGGGCACTTTTAAGGACAAATAAATGAAATGAAGTAAAGCGAAGGTTAAAGTCGAAATTCTGCACCAGCCACTAGGCCTTAGAATCCCTTCGATACGTCTATTCTCATTTATATAGTATCTAAACTGAGATTAGGTATTTCTGCTTATCAGCTATATATTTTAATAGATGAGAAAACAGATGGGAAGACAGAAGACGAAGCTGGTCATTAGATCTGGGTAAATGTATACAAGAAAGCAACACATGTATTCCATTCACTCTAAAAGTTTGTTCACCATAAGAGAAATTCCAGCAGCATATAAATGAGGGTACATAAGTACTTGCCTTTATGACGAAGCCATTAAAACCAAGGTCCTTCAGTATTTCAGCTAGAATCTTTACACACTCAACATCAGGCAACATAAGGTCATACTGTCCAGCAATGTCGAAATCCTGTTAAAATAGAAGAAAAGGACAAACATAGCACTGAATTGGGTCAGCTTTGCATAGCAACTGAAAGAATAAAATTAGGGGAACATATAGGAGTATATGTGTGGCTAATGTCTGATTAAACATGAATAGAAGACCACAAAAGTCCCTCATTTTAACTTGCTTCTAAGAGAATGCAAACTTAAAGTCAATACTGCCGAACCATTTTTCACTGCATGCTTACAAATTTTCCTTATATGCTTAGACTACTGCACAGCACAGGGTTAACTACAGTCCTCGCTGCTTTTAACTATGTTTATATTAGGGGTCTCAAACATGCGGCCCATAAACCTTTTGCAAATGGCCTGGCCCACATGCCTGCCTTCACCCTTTTTTTTATAAGTACGTTTATGATTTACACTGACATCGTAACTGTAGAGCATTTTTTCATGAGGCACCCATCCAGTAGCCATGTTTCAACATCACTGTGTAACAAAAGCACCATACAATTGAACCCACTCATGAAAATACTCAAAAACCATGAAAATTGTATTATTATACCTGATAACTGCTGTAAACAGGTTCCACGAATAAAAGAGAAGTAATAGGAGAGCAGACTGTCGTGAGACAATTATCGGATGGGAAATGCAAACAGACATAAATGATAAGGATAACAAAGCTGCCAATTTCCTGGACATGCTCGAAAATTTAGACGCCTGCACGAGGACGCCAAAAGCCCCATAGAGCACAAGTCTGAAGAAGTGTGATGCTTCGGACACTGAAATTCTTATAAGTCACAACTCTTTACTCAAATTCCATGTCCAAAAGAGCATTAACAGAAGTCATTGTCACTCCCACGCCATATCGGGTTTCAATTCAGCTTTGCTGCAATGCCTTAAAGGGCCCTCAATCACCTCAGATTTTTTTTCATACAGTTCAAGTAAACATGCACACTGTGTGCAGAATGCCATCCCAATAAGTGATGCTACACGTTGCACCTTCACAAGCTGTGGGCATGCCACAAATCCCAAGGAACAATACGTTTCTCCGGGCCCTCTTTCCATCTCCATAGAGACGTGTGTGTCGTCAGAAAGTTGAATCTGCGATGTGGAGCCCAAGCCATGCTCCAATTCGTCGAACAAGTATGACTTACAGTTAGTCATGCAAGCAGCTGCCCGTGCTCTTTATTGTTGTTCGTTGTGTAGCAGGTGGCATAGCTTCACATCTCGCGCAGAGGTTCTCTGGCATGGCATGTCACCATTTGGGTCCATCATACAGCAATTCTTTGAAGGCATGTGCGCAATACAGGGTCCGTACTGGCAGGATTTTTTAAGGAGCACGGGTCAGTACTGGCACAGTGGTTAGTCAACAAGCACGGAGTTGACGAAGTCATGACAACCAGAAGTAGACGGTGATTCAAACGGCGTGTCAGCAATGACAAATCCCCTCAGCAAGATTGGGTGGGGCACTCGTCAAGGAGGGCAAAGCAGCGTTTAGAGAGGATACCAGCGAAGGGTAGAGAAGGAAAGAGTGAAAGGAGCGATTGCCGCACATCGATCATCAAACATGTCTAGCTCCGCACTGTTTTGAAACATTTTCACAGCTAAGTGTTTGTTATAGACTCGTACACAACTTCCCAACATAACTACATTTTAACCTCTGGGTGGTTTAGGGGATGGATGCGGTGATGCGTGCCAAGAACTCAGAGGCACTGGGGGACATTAGCATGTGGGCGAGGATTCAACAGCTTGGGTTTCCTATTTTCTAGTGATCATACTGGTATTATTCATTTCTCGTTTTCTTCTTTCTTTTCAGGGATTTGATGTCCCATTATGTTTCAGCATGAACACCCAACAGTCAGAATTCATTGTTACGTATAAACAATCAGCTGGCATGTTGGCATTGTTGTAGGCAGGTTATTTCCTCATAGAAAAAAACACATATGTTGACGGTGCAGCAGCTTTTTCATTGTTATAACCAATATTGTTAATACCTGTATCGTTATAAGTGGGTTCAGCTGTACTTCAGAGGGGCGTTCAGACTTTCAGATTCCATAGGTCACAATATGGAATCTGAAAGTCTGAACAGATTCCAGGAAAAGTCCAGGCCGGCCATTATTGTCCAGATACAGGAAAAGAATTGATAGGTCCCTCAAAACCTAACATAATATCCCCTTCTTTCAGAAATGTTACATTTATGTCATCATCATCATCATCATCAGCCTGACTACGTCCACTGCAGGACAAAGGCCTCTCCCATGTTCCGCCAGTTAACCCGGTCCTGTGCTTGCTGCTGCCAATTTATACCCGCAAACTTCTTAATCTCATCTGCCCACCTACCTTCTGTCTCCCCCTAACCTGCTTCCCTTCTCTGGGAATCCAGTTAGTTACCCTTATTGACCAGCGGTTATCCTGTCTACGCGCTACATGCCCGGCCCATGTCCATTTCCTCTTCTTTATTTCAACTATGATATCCTTAACCGCCGTTTGTCCCCTAATCCACTCTGCCCTCTTCTTGTCTCTTAAGATTACACCTACCATTTTTCTTTCCATTGCTCGCTGCGTCGTCCTCAATTTAAGCTGAACCCTCTTTGTAAGTCTCCAGGTTTCTGCTCCGTAGCTAAGTACCGGCAAGATACAACTGTTATATACCTTCCTCTTGAGGGATAGTGGCAGTCTACCTGTCATAATTTGAGAGTGTTTCCCGAATGTGCTCCACCCCATTCTTATTCTTCTGCTCTTTTCCGAGGTTGTTGTACATTACTTTCGTTTTCTGCAGATTAATTTTAAGACCCACCTTTCTGCTCTCCTTGTCTAACTCCGTAATCATCAGTTGCAATTCGTCCCCTGAGTTGCTCAGCAATGCCATGTCATCGGCGAAGCGCAGGTTACCAAGGCACTCTCAATTAACTCTTATCCCTAACTGTTCCCATTCTAGGCTTTTGAAAACCTCCTGTAAGCACGCGGTAAATAGCATTGGGGAGATTGTGTCCCCCTACCTTACACCCTTCTTGATTGGTATTCTGTTGCTTTTTTTATGAAGCACTATGGTAGAAGCTGATCACCTGTAGATTTCTTCCAGAATGTTTATATATACGTCATCGACGCCCTGATTTCACAGTGTCTGCATGACGGCTGATATTTCTACTGAATCAAACGCCTTCTCGTAATCTATGAAGGCTATGAATTCTTAAAGTAGCAGAGCGCAACTCCTTTTAGGATTCCTGTGGTAAGGGCATCAGATAATTGTGACTACAACTGAACTCCTTAGTAACAATATCACCAAAGAAGTGATTTTTCTTTGTTTTCATAAAAGTTTTACCCTTCTTGATTGGTATTCTGTTGCTTTCTTTATGAAGCACTATGGTAGCAGTTGATCCCCTGTAGATTTCTTCCTTGTATATGCCTACATTTATATTGGCATATACAAATGAAGAATGCTTTCTGTGAAGTGACGTTAGCTGGCATATTGTTTAACCTTACTTCCTCTATTCTCTTTTCCAACTTTCTTCATCATTCTGGTCTATCGAGAGACTAAATTTGGCGACTCCAGCATGCCAGCTGAGTTGAGTTTGAGAGCCCTGGTCCATAGCATGTAATATGTATTATATAGCGACCCTTACTGATCAAAATCCTGACAATAATGGCCGGCCTGCCACTGGCAATTCGAAGAGGCAGACGAACACTTACACACTGGTAGAACTCTCGGTAACGTCCACGCGTCATGGCAGGGTTGTCACGTCTGTACACTTTGCCTATCTGGTAGCGCTTCATGTTGCTGATTTTGTTCATGGCCAGGAACCGGGCAAAGGGCACAGTCAAGTCGTAGCGCAGAGACAGAATCTCACCTCCCTGGTCTGCCAGGTCATAAATGAGCTTGCTGTCCTCCCCGTACTTGCCTGTGAGCGTGTCCTACATTTGGAAAGCAGGCAATTTAAGGTAGCACAGATGTCGGTCACCACAATAAAATTTCTCTATTCATTTTATTTATTCAAGTATCTTCAGTGTGGGCATTACAAAGGAGAAGGGATACATTAAGCAGGACAGAACTTTACAGCCAAATAATCATTGCAGGTGTTTAATACTACAGTGCTAAGATAGAGCAAGTCCTGAAACACAGTAAAAAAGCTAATGACATTTGCTTTCGATCTGTTTAGTGTATCTTCTTCGTGGTGTCCTATTCTGTTTAGCGCAATTTTTTCTCATTGCTATTTTAAGATTGTACAACAAAGGAAAATACCAAATGTGAATAAGTTCTCCAAGAGAGCCAATTTGCTGCCAAAAGTGACAATATTGCAGATGCATTATTAATGATGAATTGAAAAAAGATGATGTGAATATTTTAAAGCACTTGACATAAGTTGCTTTTGAAATGGATCAGCAGATGCCCTATAGAAACTTTTCTGTGCTTTTCACATATCTTGGCAGGGAAACTGGAGCTAGCACTGAGTGATTAAGACAAAACTATCTTGTAAATGAAAGGTCTGACTGCTCAGCTCCCTCCCTATCCAACTGCATGCAAAAGTAAAGTGAAGTTACACGACTAAGCCTGAATTAAGCTGAAGAAAATTTGAAACACTTAAGAAACAGGTCAATAGCAGGATTATTAGGCTCTATAATTCTCTTTACGTAACTTTTTAGAAAACTAGATAAAACCACAGAATGTTAGAAAATAAAACTCACAATCTTGATACCCCCAATAAACATATATCATAGTCTTCTGAACTTGAAGCTATTAAGACATCTAAAGAGACAGCATTGGCATGAATATATGTTGAAGAGAAAATGATGTGAATAGTTCGTAAGCAAAACCACAATAAAAACTAATCACAATAGCAAAAAAGCTACAAGTGTATCGCATTTTCTCGCTTTGCTAATACCCTGATAGCTACAGTTTAGATAACAAACACATATTTTTTTCTGGCAATCATAAAACTTATTTATTCATTTATTTACAGTCCGTACTACACCCGCATGGGGCATTCGTATTGAGGTGAAACAATAACATTGAAAATACAGATACAGAAATGTAATAAAATGTAGAAAGGCGACAAGCCACTAACATCGACGTGTGAAAATACAACAGTTCAGGCATGCGCACACACACACACATGCACACAGGCAGAGAGAGCGAAAAAAAGCTCTAGCATAGATCGCTAGAAGGAACAAATGAAAGTACAAAAAACTTTGAAGTGTGCTCAGGCTACGATAAAATATGATTTTAAGCACAATGGCATAATTTCCCTGGATGCAACTACAATTTCTTGAGTTTGTTCCATTGCTGAATTTATAGTGGAAAATATTAATATTTAAAAAGATTATTTCTGGTAGCGAACTCGTGCACTTTTAGTCTGTGATCAGTACGAGCAGTATGCGTAGGCTCCAATACGCAGTTTTCTTTGTTAAAACCTATTAAACCGCGGAGTATTTAGCGAAACAGAGACAAATGTAGGAATTTACACCTGTCTTCAAGAAGAGGCCATCCTAAAGTATAACTAATTTTGAAAGACCTAGTAGAAAAGTCATAATCACCTGTGATGAAACAGGCCACTTTCAGCTGGATATGTTCTAGAGCGTATACGTTCACTTTAGGCTGCTATTGTTTGAAAATTCACCTCACCACTTGCATATACTGTAACACATCTCAGAGCTAAAAGAAAAGCTTTTTTTAAAAACCCTTCTAAACAGTTATTATATTCAAACTGGTTCAGCACTAACCTGGTAAGAGCTTTTCTATGTTTCATTCACCTGTCCAAGCACAGGAATCCAAACATGGCCTGGCCTAAATCTTTCTAAAATAGCAGAACGAATTACTGTTTCTATGACAACCTGAACAAAATCGAGGTGCCAAGAGTGACCAACCTTGCTTAGTCGCTGAAACTTAAATCGTGCATTTCTTCACATTCAGGCAGCTATCTCATGTACACAGAAGTAGTTGTAATCACAAACCAAGTACGAGTCTTTAGAAGAAAATAATTTAGTCGCTTTGATGGCTACATGTCTTCTTAGACAACAGCAGAACAAAACTATCCCTCACATAGGCAGGCTTCATGATGGCTATACTTTGACCCTGCAGTGAGACAAGGTGAAATAAGGGGTGCGAACAGCCTGTGGGAATAACGAGAGATTTGCCTGAGCACCTATACACGAAAAATGAGTTGAAGTAAATGACGGTGGCCCAAATTAACACCTCTATACCCTGCACAAAAAAAAAAATCATGAAGTGCAGCTTTTGCTACACCCAATATAACAGGCAACAGCAATAAGATAAAAAAATAAATCAAACCGTACAGGCTCCTATTACTCCATTTATTTGTGTTCCTTGCCCATTCAATGTTCTTAATGCCTGAACGACTCATTGGGAAGCAATGCTCGATGCAATACAATAATTTGAAGCTTGGATAACTAGATAATTAAGCTATGTAACACTCCATTCCCAACTGAAGACACAACTAGTAACTCTACTGCGGTTTTACGTTGCGCAACACGGCAAACTTCAAGTGCCAAGCTTTACCTTGAGCTCAAAAATGGGTGTGTCGATGGCCTCTCCTCCGTGCCTCTTGAAGCATGAGATAATCGTGGTAAAAACCTTCTCCCGCAAGGCCATTTGGGCTGGCATGTGGTCCCTCGTGCCCTATGTAGCCCAAACAGTCACAATGCCATATCTCCGCAGAGGCACGAACAAACAAAACATAAAAACCACAGGCATACTCAATGGAAACTTGAAGGGCCACTAAAGTGAAACACCGAATCAGTTTAGACTGATTATACTCTGAAAACTATACTATTGTTAATTTCAACATTATAGGCTCATTATTAGAAGAGGAAATCAGGGCCAAGGTTTCATTTTTTAACATCCCGCTGATATGTCTGCATGTCATGTCACAAACTTCAAAATGTTTTGTTCATATATCGGCCAACTTGGCATGCCAAGTCTCCAGCTTCCTCAAAGGACAATGTACTTCGTGTTACTAATTGGGAACTATGTAGTAGGTCCCGTCGAAATCGATGTTGCGCGATGATGTGCGAACTTCACGGTGGCATCACCACTCACATTCTCTTATAATGTATTTTCTCAAGTGTTTTCTCATGGTGAGTAAGACGATTTCGGTGTAGTAGGACAGTAATTTATTAACACAAGAAAAATCTTATTTCTGTTTAGTGTCCTTTTAATGACATTTTGAGGCAGCTCTTAACTATTCAAACACATCCATACTGGCACCAAGTCGATTTCAATTCAGCAGGTTCTTTTCACCTGTCCTGAAAGTTTCAGTTTATCCCTTTCACATAATTTTCGAGCCTTCATGCAATCCCAAAGAGACAATGCACCACAATTTACAGTGCTTACATGGCACAGTTGGAAAGCTTTATGATAAGTTGATCCAAGCAAGCAGGTGATTTAACACTGAACGTTTTCTTCTTTATGGCCAAGAGAAAAACATTTCCTTGAGATAAGTGGGCATACACTCTACTCATTTACTTACTTTATAGGGACCCGAAGGTATGTGTCAGAAACTGATGCCTAAACAAAGTTTTTATATAATCATAAGAGAATGTTGTGAAGCAATGACGACACACATACCTTGGCCGTCTTGAGGACAAACTTGTGGGGCTCATCTTCAGCCAATTGGGCTTTCAGGTGAAGCAACTTGGCTACTTCCTCATCAATCTATAAAAAGCAAAAGGAAATGTACCACTTTTTTTCAACATCAGAGCTGTCTCTCCACATGACACAGTGTTATGTCCTGATAGCAACAAGACTGATTTTCTTCAGAGCAACAAAGATGCCGAATACACCAAGACACTGAGCTTGATGGTTCGTTGGCAGTGTTGCAATAACAATCTGATGCAAGTGCTTCATCAGGACCTTCACTAAGCGCAGACCCTGTGCGAAGCTATTTGTACATAGTCAGATATCAAAATGCAGAGGCAACGAGGAATACACAATGCAGGGGAGCTATTCTCATTGTGTCTACCTTGTTGACTGCCCCTTTTGGAGGCACTGATAAGCTGGACCTTAGCGAGCAGCACACTCCGTTTCCGGTTCTTTTTCCGTAACATTAGTTAGACGTCCAGAAGCTTTCACAACACTTCACACAAATGAGAGGGACGGAAAACTCTTCCCCCAATAAATGCAGGCCTCAGACATCCTCTTTTGATACACACCTCATAGGCTGGGTGAACATGAACGCTGATCAAGTTAGGCCTCGAGGTAGGCTTAATGCGGCTGCACGCCTAATGCACCTCGAAGGTCGGTGCACATTCCCTGAATTGTTCTCGAACATCTGAACACCTTTATATCCAAGTTCCAGCTTTTCAAGTTTGTTTAAATGCCCTGTTACAGTGCATTTCAACCATTTTCTCTTTCTTTTTACACTGGGAGTGTGCTGGTGGGTTAGGTGCTTCGACAAAGTCCAGCATGCCCCAACATCACGACTCGCTGTTTTTTCGAGTAACTGAATGTGCTCCGCCGAAGTGGGAAGTGTGCCAACATGTCCACAAGGTGGACACATTGAGAATAGCTCCCCAGTTTCTGGCAAAGCAAACCCTTGTAAAGACAGCCTCAGCATCTTTGAAACCTAGAACTAGGCTTAATATCCGACCTGAAAAGTGTTGCATCATTAGTTTAGCTTTCGATACACAATATGGAAACCCTGTGAAGATGCTTTGAAATAAGGATCATTATAATCCGTTGGGTTATGATGGCTGGTTGATTATCTTTTTTGTTCGACGTAAGCTGCAATACCACAAAAGGTGCAATTTGAAGAGTTGCAAACATGTAGTATGCTTTGATGAATTATCTGAAGATTGTCCAAGTTCAATAATTCCAAAGAAACAGTAGTACAATGCAAGGCCACTCACATTAGTTCATCAACACATGAAAATGTTCTTTGATGAATATTTTAAATATGTAAATACGCCTTAATTTTAAAATTTTTACTGATTTGTCTTCTCATGTTACGAGAAATGCAATATGTATTCTTGACAACAGGCTACATATGAGATTTGACATATGTAGCTGACATACTGTTGCTCCGGTTGATTAATTTGGTTAATTGATCAGCAAATGCTATCAGGGAGTGCAAAAGGCACAATGATGTAGATTGGAATGATTACAAGAACTGGTCATTCTGCACCTTCCATAAATAAAGCACTAGTTGCCAGTGTACCTTGAAATCTTCTCAGTCCCCCCCACCAGTTTTTTTTGTTTCATGTTTTCTGACATTGTTTGTTGCTTGTAGATGCAGTGAAACAAGATTATCCACTGCCTTTGTATTACCTTTTCATCCGCTCAGATGGCTGGAAGATTCGAGTGCAAGCTGACTTGTTTTCAAGTGCATTTTTGCTACTTGTCACTTCCTGAACAAACATGTATAAAACAAGCCAACTAATTTTTCAAAATCTCAAGAGTATAACTGGGCATGCCTGTTGCTTGTGAACCATGTATATGTGTCGAGAGACCAAGTTGAGCACCAAAATTCAAGCAGAACATTACGCTGCATAGCAACACAGCTCTCACCTGTGCGATTGAGTGCGTAGCCATTGACATCACACGAAGAGGCAGATGGCACATGGATCGCAGTGATGAGCATCGCAAGCATTTCAGTAGAGTGGCCATTGGAGGTCATGCAAAAACAGGTACAATGGGGAGGAAAGGAAAGGGGGAGAGGAGCAGAAGCCCTCAGAACATCCAGTCAAACTGGGAGGGCGAAGAGGGCGAAACAAATACATGTTTCCTGGCAGCAAACTGGACGTGTTATGTGCGTATTTCAAAACAATGACGAGTTCTACATTATAACGCGAGTATATTAAATCTATATGATTTTACTGATACAGTATGCTATCAAGGATACTGTGATCAGTATCCACACCCGCTGCATTAGCGTCGCATCATCGGCCAAGAAGTTTCTATCACATCTCGCGAGCATGTTCATCATTTCTCTCAAAGATATCCCATGAGAACAACGCTCCACGAGAATTACGCAGGGCAGTTCGTATTGGCTGGAACAAATATCGGCGAGGTTTTAGGGTTATAGAGTTAAGACACCAGTGGGCACGGTAAAGAAGCCGACTGTGGTACAATTTTGATCGCGGTTGGCTCTTCAGGGCAAGCTGAGCAAAGGATAAAAGCACGGACACTGCAAGTTTTTGTGGCAAATGTAACATGACGAAAGTGGGAAAACACACACAGAGAACTTTAGAAATATGACCCGAATGAAAAAAAACGCCAGTGACATGGATGACGCAACACCGGTGCTAAACTGGTATCCCATGTTCATTCATTCACTTTAGGTGAGGCAAAAAAAAAAACTGAAACTTGTGACCAGGCTTGGTTATTTAAAATACGCAATAAATCTACCACACGCAATTAGCACAGCTTTCATCAAGCACTGCTTACAGAAGAAACCTTGTCAGCTCTGTGAAGCGGTAAAACGATCAATCGTTTTGACAAGTAACAAACTATTCGCCTAACACCGCACATGTGCAGCTGAATCAAAGCCGCGCCGTACCTTTTCTTTCGGGGCTTTCTCGGCCTTCAGCGATCGCACAATATCGCCTTGCTGCTTGATGAGGTCATTCAACGCTTCTTTTTCAACAACAGACATGTTACAAGCTTGGCATATGCTCTTGGGTCCACGGAGTACCGAAAGTTTGGAGTTGGCACTTGGCAATTATCCTGACAATCAGAACTCGATCGGCAGTAGCTTAAAAAACTTTAGTATATGCACCCAACCATTAATATCAGAAAAAGCTTTGTGCACAGAAGAGAGCGCTAGCATCGCATTCAACAAGCCTGCTTGCATTTTAAGGTAACATGTCCTGTTGTGCATGAAACATGTCTTGTTGTGCATGAACCGGTCCTGTTGTGCATGAAAGAAGAAACTATTCCTTCCTCCATGAATGGCAATCAACCAGGAAACAAGTATAATTAAAGATTTAAATCTTCCAAGTAGCTAATAATTCCACGGCGCTTGATTTAATTTTGCCAAAGAAGTTCTCGTAATTCGCAAAATTTATCTGTAAAATTTAGCTACAAAATGATACAAAGGCGCTGTCTTGGTGCTACAAAAATGATTTAGTTTTAATTGCATGGAAGGACTCTGGGTTTATTACTTTATCGTTGTTAAATGAACTTTACTTTTTTTATTTTGGCACTATATGCGACATTAGCGCGACAGTTACTTGGCGGCCTTCGTCAACATTGATTTTTCTGGTGAGCGTGGCGAAAGTAAAGTAATGCACTATACATTTTGCAACTACGCGCCCCATAGTTGCCTGATAAATGTATTGAAAGCATTGAACGTGCTAAAAGCAGATGTGGTGTCGAAAACAGGGAGGTTATGCTGTCTGTGACGTTTTTACGCTATAAGGTTACTTTTGACGATGCTTTTAGCCTATGAAACCAAAGGTACAATCACCAGTACTTCTTTTTGTTATCAATAGCGACCAGAATATCATATGTGATCACGCGCACATGTGCGCAATGCTGGCCGAGCGCAAAAGCTTGGCCTTCGAGACCTGTAATGTTTAGCTATGAAACATAAATAGCTACATAATGCGTTTTTATGTTGAAGAGTAATATTTCAAAACGAATATAATATTTCATCAACAACTTTTTTCAATTGTTTCTGCAATTATACATGTAACCAGTCCTTTAAGTCTCTGTGTCGTCGTTCTGTTCTCGCGCTATAACTATCGTCATGTCATTTATACCAACTAGCCCAAGCTGCCAGATTTCTAAGTAAAATAATTGGTAGAAAAGCAATTTCTTTTAACCAATGGAAACGGCCGTTAGCACTGTGTAAAACATAACTCCGTTACTAAATATTGGCTAAAAAGGTTTTCCATACCGTTACCGTTAGCATAGATGAAAGGTAGGCGCACCCCAAAGCGCATGTGCGGGGTAGGGGTGGGGGGGAGTGAACAAGATATCATTTGAAGCTTTCATTTGAGAGTAACGCATTTCCTAGATCTCGAATATGGAACATTTTTGGACTCGCTCTGAATTTCGTGCCGACCGGTTGTGCCCCCGCGATCACCGAGCTCTGTCCGACTGGCTCGCCCTACGCCATCTCCTGACGCCGACAAGAGCTCTCGTTGCCCCGTCCTTGGACTCCTGCGACCATGTCCATCTTTCCTACCTTCTCCTTACGTCCTACGCGGCTGTCCCTGCGCCTCGCTCTCTCCTTCCTCTCTCTTTATCTCTATATCTTTAATCCTATCCTTTTAATCCCTCCTTATCCACATCCCTCGTGAGCTACTGTTGAGGTGTCGCACTATGATGCAGACAGTTACGGGGCTCGCTTTCATCTTATTTTTTCTTTTAAGAGTCACATAAGAACATTTCTGGAGGTGGCATCTGGCATCAGGATTCGTGAAACATATTGATGCTGATATCAATAAAGACTCAAGTCTATTTTCTTTTGTGGTTGTCTTGCAACATAAGTGACCGCATAGCGTGCCTCGTGAAAAAAAAAAAGAAACAATGCTTGAAACACGTATTGTACCTGTAAACTGATGGGCCTTTTTTAGGAGATAAGCCTGTGGATGCACAGCGGCGGTGACGTCACGCACGCCATGATTTTTGAGGGCCACTGAGTAGCATCATGGAGGAAGGAAAAACTTTTTTTTTCCTTTCTCCGTGCTGGGTATCGCCATTTGCAAATTAGCACGAAAAACACTTGGCCTCCGAGATTTCCTATTGACAACACCCAAGGAGGTTATACTAAAGTTTTAGTATAACCTCCTTGACAACACCCCAGGTTTGATTCTGGCGATCTCCACTGGAGGCGCTGTTCGGGGGCTGAAAAAGGCCTATTGCCAGAACAAATCATTAGGCGAGTGAATATTACGAGCACTATTCAGAGAAGTCACAAATATTTTATTCCATATGAAGCCGCGGGCTGCGTCGTTGAGGCCCCTGCATAAAAACACCTCTGCGACGCCCTACAACAAAGCTCATATCGACTTTGCCGCCCACATATGCCATCTTTTTTGCCTTCTCGAGGAAATCGCGCTCCTGTTACGTGCAACCGGAAAGACGATGTAATCCGAATCGCCGAGCCGCAGCGGCCCGCCACGCTTTCCTTTCCCATGAGCCATATGAGACGCTCACTGCGATGCGCCGCTTTTATTCCCTGTAGTTTTCCACGTCGTTGCTAAACCCGGTTTGCGGCCAGAAGCAGTTATTGGCACAAAACTTCCAAGCCTCGCATCCGTGGCTTTCCTTTCCCATGAGCCATATGAGATGCTCACTGCTATGCGTCACTTTTATTCCCTGCAGCTTTCCACGTCGTGGCTAAACCCGGTTTGCGGCCAGAGGCAGTTGTGCTCAGTCAACCCTTGTTGGCGAGAACTTCCTAGCCTCGCATATCCGTGGCGTAGCCGGGTTGTGAAACAACACGCATCCTCTTTGCCCGTCCTTTCGCGCTGCGTTCTACCCACTTGGACGTAATAATCTATAGGGCTTAAAAGGGAAAACGCCGAGCAAAAATACAAAGACGACAGAAGACTGGACGAGCACTGCCAGGTGGTCTTACCTCTCGCCTCTGTCTTCATGCCGTGGGGGAAGAGTTAGTTGCACATGCAGGTTCACGATGTTTTTAGGCATATGTAGAGACGTCACTTACCTTCGCTATGACATCACTCAGTAAGGGTTTTTAAGAGAAAGGGAACAAAGAAATTCAGCTCTGCAGAAATTCGTCCATAGGAACAGGGACTCCGCGTCGCCATTCGTACGGTCAATATAGTCCGCCTTTTACACTTTTCTGTGCTGCTCTGCCGTTTTAGTATCGCCAGAACGAGAACCTTCGGAGTAAAGAGGCGTCTCACGACATCTCCGCAAGGGGAAGGGCGCTTATGCACTATGGCATCGTGAAGAAAAGGTGAATTTCGTCAAGGAAACGTCATTCATTGGGGCGACGTTCTTCCCGACCAGTCGACATGCACAACAAGCAGCGCTGCGTGAAAAAGAAACGGGGCAAGACCACAGTTCTTTGCACAAGTATTTATTGTAGGAAAAATAATATCCGCGTCGAGTTTTGCTCGAGGAATCACAGTGTGAGCAGAACCCTCAGGTGACGACATCCCATTTTCCACAGGAGAGGCACGCGATACAAGTCGCGGCGCGCTCTTTAACGGCAAAGTGCCCCGATAGAGCGAGCAAGGAACAACGGCCAAGGCACCCATTCAACGTGGTGGCCGGGACGGCGACACCAAAAAAGCGTTAGCTAGCCTGTAAAAAATCTAACCCCCCCCCCCCTTTTTTTTTTCACGGAATACCGGGAGGGTCTTAGACGGCTGCGTTAATGCCAATGGGGAGGCACACCTTGTGTGGCCTTGTTCGATCACAACGCGTTAGAATTGTTTTTGTCCTTGGGCGTTGTATTATATCGTCTTCATAGAAATGTGTAGGTCTGTGCGACAATAAGATGTTGCCGTCATTTATGGTCAGAAGAATGTGGCCTAATCAGCAAAGAGCTGGCTGTCCTGCTGTAAATTACGCAGAGAAAGATGGTACCACCAACACTGGACATAAGTGTCTTCCTAAACCAGCTATTTCGTGAACTACATCACACTTACGGAAATGTTTTAACTATATCGTAATCATTTCGAAGTACCTCTGGTGGCACCGCTGGTAGCGACACTTTCATAAAAAAATACACACATTTTTTTCATTTTTCGGGGTTTTTGTTTGTAGATTTATGTGCACACCGACTGATTTTACACCCCAACAGCATTGCAAGACATTGTTCTCGCATTTTGACTTGTTCGTACTCTGATTGAGCTCATCAACAAAACGTGGTGCTGCCATCAACGCTTCACACCCTCGGTATTCCGTAAAGTTGAAGCACGAGCTAAAACTCCCATCAATGGCCACGCGGCGAGAAAAACAAAAGTACGTACAACCCAACCATCAAAAAGGGGGCAGGAACACGGTGAGGCCGCCGAATAACGTTCCCAGAGTGTTAAGCAAGGCTGGCCGCCTTCCTAAACGAACACGTGATTGAGCTAACAAGTTTTCTTATGTCCCCCTCCTTCCCCACAAGGAGACAATTTCCTCTTTTGTTTTGTTCATTATAGTGTTGTGGAGAGAAAAAGAATGGAGGAAAAGCTATAGGCCTAAAAAGAAAATGCATCCACACCACACTTATCGCTGGGCGTGTTCGCCGTTCACTATTGTCTTGGTTTCAGAGATTACGCACGCACATTTATAACGCGCTCGTCAGCTCAGAACACGCTTAAAACATGTGTATGCGGTATGTTTACATATACATATATATATATTACGACCTTGGATTGTATCTACACTTTCATGTCGTTTTCGGCAGCAAATCTCTCTGTGTCGATAACAGTTCACTGTAGGTGTGAGCACATCAATCGAGAGCAACGAAGGGCTCAATGCTACAGAAGACAATTACAAAGTAACGCCCGCCGCCAATAACAACGACTACTAGACCAACAGCGAAACAACAGTTAAATCCATTCGCATATCTCGAGTACGCCCTAGGTGTGCACCCATACCGGACAAGAACAACCTGGGTAGAAGCGGTCACACTGCGTCGCGAAGCAGCGACAGCGTGGCGAAAACGGTAACAGCCCCAGGAATAGAGCCCGCTGGAAGCGAAGCAGGCACAACCACTTGGCCAAAGAAACGACCCCACTCAAGTGCAGTAGGAAAAGCTCACTCGACTGTTCTTGCATGCGAAGGCACTACTCCAGCACAGCTGCGACGTAGAACGGAGCTTCGGACCGCACACACATTGAGCCCCAACCATGCGTAGCGCCATCACGCGGCGTGTTAACTCGGTGCCGCGCCCTCTCCTTATGTAGGAAGAGGGCGCGCGACTACACGAAGGTGCGTGCCCTCCATCTCCACAGGGAAAGTGCGCAGTACCGAGTCTACACGACACGCGCCCACGTGTTGCAACGCGCAAGTGTAGTTAGGGATTTACACTTTTGCCATTTCTCATACAGTTTAAAAAAAAAGCCAAAATGAACACACAAACACGAGCGCCGGCTGCGCCATGCTGTAAATTCAATCAGAATGTTCAACAACGTTCTTAGCCAGGTTCAATTTTTTGAAGGCAAACGTTGAAATGTCACGTCGCATAAAGAGAACGCAGTTTCACAGTCCAATGAGAGTTCTGAACAGTTAGGTCAAATGCTACAGAAGGCGTTGAGGCCTTGAAGAAATCTGCTTGTCGAAACGCCGGCTCCAGGGACAGCCCATGTGCACGAATATTTCACCTTTTGGCCCAATACAGTGTCACACGATGAAGTCGCACAACCAGTGAGTCTGCTTCAGAGTTGCTGTATTTGCGGACAATGCATTGACCCGTCCATGGTCGTGTCCAAGATTATTATTCAAGGAAGGAGGGCGGGGGCGGGCCGGCTCACCTATACGTGTGTTCGTGCGCGTTTCAGGTAATTTAAGAGGAGGGAAGCTAAACATGCCTCTGGTACCTGTTCAGTCTGAGCGATTCAAGAACAGAACAAGAACCGTGCTATGTTTCAGGAGCTAAAGTGGCGTCTTCATCCTTGGCCCGAAGTCAAAGAAAGTGACAATCTCAACACACACGGCCATTTGCCTTTGATACGACCTGGACTTGGTTCACTGTGTTGGCCTTCAAGACACAGGAGATGATTTTTCCTGTTCCTGTCCTTTCTTTCTTTCTCTTGCTTTTGGGATATTTGGATCTGGGACAGTCTATCATCATGCGGCAAAGGCTGCACAGTTTCTTGCACATCCTGCATATGCACTCGAATAGAGCGGTACAGGGGTTTATTCCGAAAATTTCCTTACTTGCGCTCGCGAACACTCAATGGTAAGTAAGGAAGAGAACAAGAAAGAAGGCAGAAATATTAACCAGACACAAGTCCAGTTCGCTACCGTGAGAAGGAGAATGGGAAAGGGGTGCACAAAGATGAGTGATAGTATTGGGAATATCTGGCTTGGAACGAGGGAACTGCTAACGTGCCGAAGATGGAACTGAATCGAGCTCGCAAGACCTCAAGATATGCCTGGGGTAGCTTGATTTAGTAATAAATACTACCAGAACCAGGTGGTACTTCTTAAATCTTCCGATTCTTCTAAGCTGACATCTTACACGACGAATCAACTCGACTCCCATTCTCCATAAGTGTGCAAAGTAATACTTGCATTCCTAGCCTTGGATGATTATTTTTCGTGAGGCATAACATTCCGCAAAAAAAAAAGTAATAAATAAAAACAACAAGACAGGTGTATTGAGCTGTAATGAATAGCAGAGATATTTGTCTATTTTTAAAACTTGTCCACGCCCAGGCTCTTTGTCTCTGATCACTTTTTAATATGTTACTTTCGTTGATTGGTCGTTGTCCTTTTTTCGATACTATGATTATGTTTTCACATTGAGCTTGCCTAAATAGAAACTGCATTCTAAAACAACAATAATCAAGTAACGGACGCCCATTCCGTATTCTTGGTGTGTTCAGAATGGAATGTTGTGTGTTATGGAACCATCATCACAAAAGAGCACATAGCCCATAACGAACGAGAAATGTCCATTGAGGACTGGCTATACAAAGCAGTTTGGCGAATGAACTAGTGATGCAAGCCACTGGAATTCAAACGACATAGTTTTTTTTCTGCCTGCAGAGGAAGCTGTTTTCGATAGATTTCAGATGGCAATTTTTGCTTACTATATGTGGCTAAGGCCATTTATTGACTGATAAAAAAATTTCCTCAGTAGTCTATAGCACCCCAATGAAGCGGCTAGGTTTTGGCATTAAAGAAAAAAAAAAGATTTCTGTCCGTACCATGCGAGAAAGCTCAATCGAAAACCAAGCTGCTTTCACAATGGCTTTGAGAAAGATGTAATGTACAACCGTGCAGCCGCACGTATATCTTCGTGGCAAGTAAAATAACTATCAGCACGAGCCCAAGTATAGAAATCAATACAAAGCTTTTGACACTTGACGCCACCACACCGTTTGCAGCAGCACTGTGTGAATTCAGAACCCACGTGCGCCTTGAAGGCATCAATACAGGTGCCTCGCGTGTCGGCTGGTCCCAGTTCTCCTACTACAGGATTCTGCCCACAAGACGCCTTCATACCATCGCACTGTCGCAAAGCAAGCTGTGAGCAAGTTGGAAACCATGTCAAACAAAGGAAGAAAATGGCAGCACTACAACAAGTGACTTTACGTAGAGTCCGAGCAACCACACTTCAGCTCTTTTCTAGGTTGTATTTTTTTTTCTCTGTAGCACCTTTAATCTACCAAGTAGCTCTTTAGTTTAATGTAACTGTTGGAATTGCACCTGCAAAATTTGCAGAGCATGGTCTATTTAGGACACAGCATGGATGCGCAACAGAGAAGTGGGACGTACGTTTTTCAAGCACAAAACAATTATTACAGCGAACAGGCAAAGGTCACGTTCAAAGAAGCCAGGTAGCCACTTCCAGCAAAGTCCAAGGTGAGCATTTAGCAATTCGTCCCAAGCTTAAATGTACAGGTTCGACAGGAACGGAAACAACAGGACATGTAGAGGGCTAACAGGTTCACTGATGACATCCTCTATATCAAAAGTCAGACCCCTGCACCATCCACAAGTGCCTCAGAAACCCTAGTTTGAACATGCAGTGAGGGCAACAGGCAAGCGGCATTAGCTGAGTACTGGAGGACAGGAACGCAAAGTGGCGTCACAAAGCTGAAGCCTGTGCAGTGGTCATGGCGAGAAGAGCAAGCACTGAAGGCTACGCCTTGATTGGACGGATGCTTGCTGGAGGGGGACACGCAGAACATCAGGGCGTGCATCACAGAAACTAAGTACTGCCGCTATACTATAAGCACGCAGGGAGCTTGAACAGTGCAAGCGCTCACTTTACAGGTGCCTTGAAAGCAGGTCACCGATGAAGGATGGCCTTCTACCACTCTGCAGTGACAAAACGAATAAGGCTTGTGATTCCCAGCTGCACGAGCCTTCAAGAAATAAAAACATGCACCATAAAATATTAATCGGAGAATGATGGGTTCACCACTATGTCTTGCTCATGTTAGAATGCAGACGATGCAATATTGATGGGTTCCACAACAATAGGAGGAAGCTTGAGCATACCGCTCGCCGCCTACACTCGGTTACAACCTTGAAAAAAATTTCAGCTCAGCACTCAGAACTGCAGTGTGCCTGCTCTTCAAATGTAAAAAATGTCGTGCTAGTCAGTTTCTGCTTGAATCGCAAATACTTTTCCTTGGATAATGTACACACTAAGCATAGTAATGATTGAATGCTTGTCATTGCTAGCTAAAACACAACGTTTGGTTGAGCAGCGATGTCAGAAATATTTACCAACACAATGAAGTTTCTGACCTATAAAATGACAACCAACAGAAAATCAAGCCAAGGAAAGAATAGGCGATGTTAATGTAATTTTGATATAAAGGTGAAGGAATTAAAGTGGGCAAAAAGACAACTTGTCGCAGGCAGGGAGCAAACTTGCAATCTTTGAACAAAGCATTTGATGTTAAACAATTGAGATACGGTGGTGGTTGTTGTCCCACACACTTAATCGGGTATATCGGTGCATTTAAACCTGGGAGTGTTGGTCAGCGCCAACCGTAGCTATGATGCGAGTGTGGAACACTCTGCTTCTGCCTGCTGGGGTCACGAAGCAAATGATCTTCATTTGGACCTAGTAAGATTCTTTCTCAATGCATACTTTGACTTAGTCGTTAATTCCCCTTATTTGAGCTAAAATCAGCTACACATATGTTTGTGTGAGAAAGTCAATTATGTGAAACACTTCATAAGTCCTTGACGTCAGAAAAACGAATAAGCCCTATTGATTGGAGCATATATGCCAATTCGTTTCAGGCGAAATGGCAGTGGCAGTGCACAATGTTGACATTCTTGCTTTCTTAGGTTGTAACCGAGTATGGTAAACTTGCTAGATTTACGCCTGTTAATATGTATGGGGTGATTTAGCTGGCAGGCGGCAGAGAGTGTAGCATTGACAGCGCAGTGGCAGACAATATGCCGAAGCAACCTGTAGCATTTGAAATAAAAATGAACAGAACGATTTGGAGCCGCATTTCGTGCCAGCGGTCTCAGAGTTTTTGGTCACATTCTGCAGTTTTGTTATATACCATTTTGCACGGCCTGTCATATTTTGCGAATCAGACCAGGACCTGTAGTTTTTTTAGCACACCACAACGGTGTGCTAAAACCCCTACTCTGTTGGATAATGATAACAATACCAGTACAAAAACGGATGTTTGCGTCGCTGTGCGAGCAAAGGCCTGCCTTACAGAACATCACTCCATTTCTCCACACGTAATTACCTCGGACAGCGTCACACACCCGGACAGATAGAACAAAAGTAAAGCACAAACAAAAGATCATTGTACGAAAAGAATGCTTGCCTGTCAGCACCACGCGCTCATTTGTCAAGCCGACAACGCAGGCATTATTATGTGTACATGTGTCGTCTGTATGCACAAAAAAGTTGGGTGTAATATGTGTGTGCACACGCCCACATTCATTGCCCGATGTGTGATGGCCGAGTCGGTTCACGCCTGCAGCAGAGTTCTGTCGGCAGGCACACACACACGCTCGCGCACTTTCTGGGCATCGAGGTGTCCCTTTGAGCACACTGACCACAGGCGTGGGGGGCATAAATATCCGTTTAAAAAAAAACAAGAGCAAAAGAAGCAGTGGTCCATCAAAATGTCCGAAGCGAAGGCAGCCTCTGCCGCCCAATGAGGCCGCGATCGTCGGCGACTTCTGCTCCTCTTCCTGCTCTTCCTCCTATCATGTGTAATATACAAATGCTCGTGTGTATCTGGTGTGGGCAATATATTAGGAACGGCTCTCTTCTCTCGGCTGCGGAGGTAGGGGGCGCTGCCGGCAGCAGCGGCGGGTCCGGGCGCCTGGGAAGTTGAGCAAGTGGCGACAACGGCCTCCGCTGGAGCCGGCGAGTTCTGCGCCCAACAGAGAGAGAACAATGAACAAATGTGTAAGAGAGAGAGGACACTCGAGTTACACAAGTTCGGCACACCATGCACCGCCGTACGCATTGGAAAGATCAATAACGCCAATTTGCCGCTCGGCGAAGAGACTCGTTCTTCTGGCTGTCTCGCGGCTGCGGCGCGCACGCGCCGCAAGGGGGCTTCGCGCGCTCCACCCACGCTACTGTAGCCCACGCGTCGTTCCTTAATGGTGCCGATTGCGCAACTGCACAACCCTGCCCATGTTTCAGCGCAAATAGAGACGTATTCGGCACCCACACGAGATCGTAAGTCAGGCGGCTTACACATATTTCAATGGCTGAGCCAGGGGGGGGGGGGGGGGGGGGGTATGCCAAGAGGCCCTCTTCATCCTGTGAGGATGACAACACAGTCCTACATAATTCTATTGCATATTGCCTGTGTTTGTGACGATATTAATGAGATGTGGACTGGCTCATACGCCATACCCATCTAGATGCCAAGCAGCTCTTCACACGTGTATAACGCCGTACGTGCGTGCATCCGTCCGTACGAACGCACCGCATTCCCCTCACCGTTTGTGTTGGAGCGGTGCCAAGTAAGTCACGCCGCAGCACGCTCGCCGCAGCGTCCGCAGCTGCCGGTTCCTCCTCTCACTTGCAACACTTCTGTCTATTAACTCTTTCCTCCACTCGCAACGCTCGACCTCACATCGAGTGGAAACACTAGGGAGTTTTAGAATAATGCTTGCAGGGGCAGCGGGCATATATCGGGCGCCATATGATTAGAATAGCGTTTGCTCCCCTAGGGAAAATTCTAGGGACTTTCGCCCCGACCGCTAACCATATACACCGAAGCTACTCCCAGCACTTCGCAGGCCTCGCGGGCAGTGATCGTCGCACGCTATTTCAGATTTTCTGCGTGCGGGCCGCGGACGGCGACTCGCGTTACGAGAATAGCACACCGCGAGCTTTTGCGGTGCGGTGCGGTCGCTGCTGCCACTGCGCATGCATCGTAACGCGAGTCGCCGTTCGCGGCTTGCGAGGACTGCGAAGTGCTGTGTGTAGCTTCCGTGCATTTGGTATTGCGGTCGGGACGAAAGTCCCTAGACATTTCATTAGGGGAAGCAAACGCTATTCTGAAACTCGTATGCCGCCCGCTATGCTCGCAACGCCCGCGGCGCCTAGACACGTTATCCTCCCTACTTATTCTCCCTACTCTTTCGGCTCGTTTATCTGCGATGAAACTTGCGCGAATCCCTACCCGCCTCCCGTGCGGTGGCGTGCCAACCCTTTCGCGAGTTGGGGGGCTGACTTGTCTCACTCGTCAGCCTGTATATAAGGGAAATAAGTGTGTACTCAAGGGCTCGTTTTTCCGTGTTTTTACACAATATTAATGCGATCTAACAGACAATAATGCCAAGGAATGTACAAGGGAAGTTATAAGAACCAATTGTAATGCAAATGCGAAGAAAGAAAAGTGGGTGAAAAAGATAACTTGCCGTGAGCAGGAACCGAACCTGCGACCTTCGAATAACGCGTTCCATGCTCTACCACTGAGCTACCACGGCGGCCATCCCCCCCCCAGCCACATTATTGGGGATCACGCGGAAACAGGACACACTATATCACGGATGCACCCACCACACCAGCGTTATAGCTTTAGGCAACACTATCTGAAAACACCAAAAATAAGAACAAATTATGGCAAACAGTTGCGAAGTTACCAAGCACCTTCAGTGCTCAATAGAATACATGAATTTCACGACGAAGTTATGGAAGCGTCAAGTGAATCATTTAAAAACATTGCTCTGACAAAGCTACTGTATGTATTTTCAATTTCCGTGTCTTAATTGCAAGCTTTAGTTGGTTACCTGGGCAAAATGACCTATCAGTGTATTGTGTAACATTTTTTTTGTAGTTTCTTTGCAGACATAACGTGTTTATTCTCGCTTTTCCACTTTTTTTGTACACATGTTCTTTTAATTTCGGTACTATTCAGTGCAATATGTCTGTATAGTATACTTTGTATTGACGCGCTATGTACGGCCTGCGTGCCGAACTGTCATAGGAGCAGAAGCCTTTGTCAGGCCACATGACCTTTAGCTTCTGCTTCGTTTCCGTTATAAACAGAAGAAATAAAGTCAATTCACTTCAATTAAAAAAAGTGCCGCCATATCCACTAAGTGAATGATGATGAGTGGGCGAAGCTCCGGAGGTAAACCTGGCAAACCATGAATCCTCCGTACATTTTGCCCTCTCGATTTTATTACAACGCTCCCCCTAGCGTACGTCGCCGCAGTGAATCGAACGATTGCCTTCCACCAATGACACGCGCCATATGTGACATCATTCCTATTTTCGGTGCCAGTAACCTCGGTCTTCTTCTCACCTGATGGACGTCAGTGCCGCTTCTGGTGCAGCGACAGGTGGTCGGAGCGCGAGAAGGAGCGCTGGCACTTGTCACACTTGAACGGCTTCTGGCCCGTGTGCTTGCGGTAGTGGCGCGTCAGCTCGTCGGACCGAGCGAACTTCCACGTGCAGCCCTCCCAGTTGCACATGTACGGCTTCTCGCCTGAAAAAAGACACGACGCGACGTCACACTATTTATTATTGATTCATTTGTTTGTTCAAACGGCTCGAGGCCATGCAACACGCTGCGGTCGCAAGCACGTGCACTTCGACGCGTGCTCATCACCACGTGCGACGTTTCAGAAGAAATATGTTTCGCGTCGCGCTCGTGTGATAAGAAAAGGGCGCCTCCGGGATGCGCTACACAGCGAACGCCCTGGGGCGGGGCGCACCATCTTGGTCACGACTACGCGGCACCCTCTCGGCGCTATCGGCGCCCATCCGCGCGCGAGGGCGCACCTCGGCAGCCCTCCGGGCAACGCCATGCTGCACGGCCGATTACGAAGGCGCGCGCGGAGGACCGCTCAGCTAGCGCACGAGTTGCTCGCGCGGTTGCGTCTCGCGCCCATCGGAAGAAGAAGAAGAAAAAAGGCCGGGGAGGGGAAACGCCAGCGGCGGCGGCGGCTCGGATGCGCACTGCACGGATCGTGGTCGTCCTTGGTGCGCGCGGAAGCCTGCGGCGACCCACATTTGCGTGCGCGCGCGCGCAAACGAGCAGCGATGAGCGCTTTCCTCGTTTCCGAAAGCAGTCGACGTCTCTTCTCCCCCTCCCCCACCACATCCCCGCGCAGCGCAGGAGAGTCGTGGCCAGCCGAAAGATTGGCGGCGGCTATCGAGCGGGGCCCCGGGGTCGGCCGCCACGGCACCGAGCCGGTCCCCAAGTCGTGTGTTTCGTGCGCGCCGATTCTATTTCGGTGCGCGGCGTATTCGATTTGCGAAACACGCCGCCGTACCAGCGCGAGAAACGCTATATAGCCCGCCGTAGTACAGCGCGGGCCAGCGTCCCATTTAGCGGGCCGAGCTGACCACGCGAGGTCAGCACGACGGGCCCCCGCCGAGGCCCCGCACGCCGAACCTGCACTTCCGGACGCCCGACCTGCGCCCCGCCACGCTTTTATTCCATCCACCCCAATCTCGAGCAGCATGCGCGGATCGGCACGCATTAGCGGTTTTCGTGCCGTTTTCAGAGGGCCAACGCGTTACATGCACTCTGCATAAGGAGCGATTGCAGATCCATTCCTCTGATTACGGAGTCGTCCTTCTCGGTATCCCCCCCCCCCCCCAAGTTCTACTTCTTCGTCCTCGCCCGCACGAGTCGGCGAGTAAACCACGGGGCACGAGTTCGTGCCCCGCCCCGCTTCTTTTCTCTTCTTTAATGACAACGACAGACCGCAGCAACGAAGCTTCGAAAACGAATGACTTCGGGAGCGCGGATGAATGCGTAATGCGGATGAAAAATGCAGCGCGCGTCGAAGCCAGTCCCAGTGCGCGATCTACGAGAGGAATTCGGCTCCGGTGATTACACCAGCGACGATTCGCCACAGTTTTCCCGCATTTTTACTTTTCTAACGCGCGTTCCTATCTATACATATAGGGCGGAAGAACGCCCCAGATCGAAGTCCAGGCCACCCAGGTCACGACCGCAACGGTCGTTTTCTAGCGCTCGCCAGCCTATATATATTCTTCTGTCTGGTGCAAGCATGCCTATCATGGCGGCGTATGTACGATTTTGCTCGAGTGACCATGTGTTCGGTCCCACACATCCTGTTGACGAAAGAATGCTTCGAGCAACGGCTGTTTCTATAAACAAGCATGCTCCAAGTCATGAAGGAGTACTCGTGGCACACATTTTCTGGGCTGTACTATGTCTATAGCCCACGCTTCTAGTACGTATATGGACGATGATTAGCAAGTACGAAGCTTGGGTAGCAATTAGGATACATCCTAACTTCATACTAATAACGTACTCTAGGTCGACACGACCGTGATGTAAAGACGGAGATCAATGTTTCCAGACGTCCAGTACAGCAGTACAGCCGCGTAAGATAAACTATCTTCGCTAATTTTAGCAGCCGCCAAAGTACGTTTCGAAAGATTACGTTGACCGTTTTCGCTACGATCCCATGAGCGCCGCCATCTTTGATCAAGCAGTGACGAGTCCAGTGATTGCCTCAGCTGCCCCCCCCCCCCCCCCCCCAACTAGAAGTTCTTACGAGAGAACTATTCATAACAGGAAGTGTAGATTAGAGCCAATCGTAATGCATTGCATGTTATACCTGATATCTGTCGACAAATCAAAGAGCCCTTAGTGAAGGAGACCTTCGAGAATTAAGCTCAAGAAAAATAGGAACAGGAACGCCCGCACTTTGTATACATGCAGATGATGCACGCTATACCCCGAGAAACCTTGCTACGTAGCATACGTGCACGCACGATGTTACAAACGCGCTGCACGACAGCAATCGTGCCGATCATCGTTTGCATTTCCAGCAGTTTGCCCACCGCCGAGGCTATCAGATGCCCCGCGCCGGGAGCTCCCTGAACTCATCCGCGGACGGCCTTCGCAGCGCTACAAGTCGTCGAGGCGAGCTGCAACCGAGGGAAAAACACACCGCAGCAACGCTGATGCAGGCGCCATCTTCAACTGCAGCAGTCTGCGTATATAGGGTCTGTGGAGGTGCTGGAGTAAAGGTTCGTAATAACTGAAGCCGTTGTTTTTGCTGCAGCGTATATAACGTACAGCCAGTCAGGTCTTCTGTACCATTATCGTTCACTGGCTTTTTTTTCCTCCTACACTGTATACATATTGCCGGATGAAAAACGAGCCGTTCTGCCCAGGGAGTGCATATATGACGGGAATAGAGATTCGGCCATCACGTGCGACGTGTTCGTACGTCCACTTGTGGCAGAAAATAACAGGGTCGCACGAGAACGACGCCTGCATCAAGCCTACCTTGTTCCTCCAGGTAGCTTTACGCTAAAAACACACAGCATCATCCGTGAATACATATACATAAACCGAGAGAGAGAGAGAGAGAGAGAGCTAGAAATGGCATGTCATTTTTGACGCAGTGAACGGCGCGTCGGGCATGACGCTTCAAACAAGAGTGCACAATGAACGCGCCAAGAAACTTGTGTAGTTGCAACCGTTCGGGTGCACAAATGGACCATCATGCCCGTCGTTTGACCTGCCAAGTCGGACTTGGCGGTCAGTGCGAACACACGCGAATGCAAAGGCAAACGACGTCCGCTATAGTTCGCCGTTTCAGCTCTGCGCACGGGCAACAGTGAACCTTCGGATTACACGTTGACTAAAGAAGACAAACAAATCAGCATAGTGCTTCAGTAACTGTTAAATACACACGTCGCGCATTCGTCGGCAAGCTGAATTCCCCATAAGCTTAGTCCGTACACCATGTACTGGTGGCCCAGCAGGGCTTCAGTAGACACCGTGGCACGAATGTCCACGGTGGAACGTGATATGTCCGAGATCCTTGAGTCCAGCTATGGAATGCAACAGTGCTGTTTAAGATCGCGCGGATTTTTCACGAGCTCAATTCTCACTATATTTTAAACCCCTGATCCCCTTCATGTGATAGTAAACCTGACACACGTCTGGCCAACCTTTCTTTCCCTTTCCCACGGCGGTCGCATTTCCACGAATGCGAAATGCTTGAGGCTCGTGTGATGTGCGATGCAAGTTCGAGAACACTAGATGGTCGAAATTTCCGGAGATCCACTACGACGCACCTCTTAATCACATCGTGGTTTAGGGACTTAAACTCAAAATATTATTATTTCCTTCCTTTTTTCCTTTACCTTTCACTGAGTAAGCCCCGAAGTATTCTACGGTCAGGAAAATTAATTGGAACTAGCCATGAATGTTCTTAAGTTGCATAGAACTACTGCTCGCTGCTGCTAAAACGTTCTACATCAAATAAACAAAAACGTAACAGCTTTGCCGCATAGGCGATGCAATGAACGCGATATGAACAAATAGGAAGGTCACGCGCATAATGGCAAGCAGATCGAAACGTGCCCCGCATTTCTCACGCGCAAAGGACGCACAAAACGTACTCACATGTACGGATTAATGAGAATACACGTCTCACGGTTGTTTACTTCGCTGCGTCTGCAAAGCGTGCTCTTTTCGCAAACGGAGACTGTGCAACAATTGTAGTGACTTTTGTGCGCCCGGTAACTACAACAGAATCGTTCCAGTGAAAGCCACAGGCCAGCCAAGACGCACGACCCTCCCCACCACGAGATAAGGGCGCGCGAGCGAGCGTCCACCTTTTCCTCCTAGCGGGGCAAAGTACGCGTGGGGGATGAAGCGCGCGCCGCCGCGCGCTCGTAGCGACATCTTTCTGGTAATGCTGAAAACACGATAGTTCCCCCCCGAGATGCCCATACCTTGCCGTTCAACACGTGTTTCTCCGTGGCTCAGTGGTTAACACCTCGCATTCACGACTAGGAGGTTCCAGGCTCCATTGCGTGCACCGGAGTCTTTTCCAGGATTATTTTTTCTTTCTTTCTTGGGTTTTCCTATATATAGATACGTATACATATACGGTGAGTGATGGGCCGGTGCCGGCGGGAAAATACAGCCGAGAGTTTCCATATAATTGCTATTTCAATAAAAAAAAATAGTTTAGGAGAAGGCCATTACAGATGTACGTGCGCGAAAAAAATGGGAAGAGATTGCGATTACACACGCGTGCCGAGTTAGAAGCGGCCACACGCATTTCTCGTGAATTGCGCCATCACCCGCAACCGACTGAGAACTTTCAGCCAGTCAGTGAGTTGTTGCTGCAGTATTACCTTGGCAAGAAAGAGAAAAGCGGTTGGGCGAGGCCCTCGTTCGAGCGACGTGAAGGAAGAAGTCTTCTTGACGCCGGCGACGACAACGAAGGGTTCTCGCGTGGCGGGAGCGCCCCGCCGGGGTCCGGCACGCCCGGCCGCTATCGCAGGTCCGCCCGCGTATACACGAGGCGTCGCCCCGCCGGCCGTTGCGCCGAGAGATGCGACGGCGGTGACTATCTTGTCCTTCGCGCATTCCCGCGCCGAGGGCGACGCTCGCTGTTCTTCGCCTTCAAGGCTGGGCGTTCTCCGACAGGGAACGCCGCAACTGCTTGCAATCGCGAGGGGCCGGCCCGGCGCTCC